ATATTTATTTAAATATATATGTATGTGTGTGTGATGTGGGTGTGAATTAGATTATGAGTTCTTCTAGACTCAATTTTTTTGGGTATATGAAGATAAAACTTAGTAGAGAATGATACAATTTAGCAATGGTAATTTAGTATATGAGGGCATTTGGATAAAATTTTGATTAGCTGAGTTTGAAGAGACAAAGAGAGGTCCAGATCGTTTTGAGATAAAACATAAATATATCCAATAGACGACGTAATTTCAATATAAAAGACGGTTCACATCATCTCATAAATACTGATTCGACGATCATAATTGGACTTAACTCTAACACTCCTATCTCTCATATAACTCTCTCTCTTAGACGTTTTAAACACGCTATCTCATCTCCTCTCTTTCTATCTCTATAAATAGATATAATAAAATAGCTAGCTTAGTTTGTCTTGAGTTTTTCGCAGCTCAGATCGATTCAGTATTATTGATCCGACGATTCTAATTAATTTACTTCCTACAGGACTCTACTACATTCTTTTTTTCTCTCATCATCCCCATTCATATGTCTTATTCAAACTCTCTCTCTTCATCCCCATATAAACAATTGGAGAGATTGACTTGGACAATTATATATATCTAATAATAACAAAATATATCTAATATCTATTAAAACTCTAATAATAAGGATTATTTCTAACAAAATATACATTCATTAACATATACCGTCCTATATATTTATCTTTATGTATCTATACCAATATCTATATCTATATAATAAAATAACTAAATTGTTTGTCTTGATTTTTTTGCCGCTCAGATCATTTTGATTTGATGGTTCTAATTGAACTTTTATTCTTTTTACAACTTTAATTCTCTTATCTATCATATAACTCTATTTGTCATCCTTTTTTTGTTTCCCCTATACAATTATTTATCCCATAAAACTAATTCAAAGTTTTTATATATCCGATGACATGTATTTTGTTACTTACTTCTTAATTTGATATTTAGTGTAAATAAAAAATAGCACATTGATTATAAATACGAAATAATATTCAACACGAAATGAATCTTAGTTTGTAAATTAATATATAATTTTATAAAAAATTGACATTTAATTTTGTCTATTTATATTCAACTCTGTCGAATTAATATCAAATTAATTTTTATTGTTATCAAATTAAATATTGAAATTCATTTAATCAATTTTTTTGGAGTACTAAATTATATTAATTTTTTGGGTATTAAATTAAATTTTATTTGATTTTATTAAATTTTTAATTTTTTTTGGTACTAAATTTGGAGAAAGGCAGTTGTAAAAATAATAATTTTTTTTAGGATGAAATTATCAATTTTCGTTAGTAACATTGACGGAAGAGAGACAAAGAGGGTCTTCGTGCAATGAATTTTAAACCTTAGGGGTCTTCATGTTATTTATAAAACGTCAGAAACTATCCGTGTAATATTGTCAAAACTCAGGGGATGTCCGTGATTTTTACACTGTTTTTTAATTAAACATTAATTTATTATTATTTTATCTTAAAAACTTAAAGGATTGTATTTCTAATAAAAAAAATTATTGGTTAGGAGGGTTTGTTAGTAGTCAAAAAAGAAATGTGTGTGGGTGTGTTTTTTTATATATTTATATGTGGAGGATTGGACATTTGGTGATCAAATTTATAATTATATTGTGTCATTTTAAGGTTAAATGGTAATAGTGGTAATAAATTCATAAGTTTTATAAATGAGCATGATTTGGTTGGTTTTATTTATTTCTTTGTTCTGTTATTATTATTTTTTTTGCTTAAGTTATTTATTACATGGGAATAGAGTGGATTGAAAATATGGTGGTTGACTTTGTAAGTATGTTGTGTTATTGGATTGAGTGGTAGTAGAGGTGATAAATTCGTTAGTCTTATAAATGAATAAGATTTTATTTATTACTTAAAAATTGTAAATTTTAATGGGTTAGTATTTGTTTTTTTTTAGAGGCATTTGTATATATGGTGTTGATTTGGGAAGTTTTTATATATTTTTATGATTGTTCCATTAATATGAAGGAAATGATCGACCATATATTTCGAGTCATTTTAAAAGAAGAATTAGTATAAATATTTTTAGGTTATTTCTTTTGAATTTGAACAATTGTTTAAATTTTTTTTGTTTGTTGTATAGTGCTTTCAAGCACGGGTAATGACTAGTTCACTTATATTGTTGATATATGCACAATTTTTATTTTATGGGGTTTATGTTTTTTCAGGTAAAGAAGTGTATTTGGTGGATTTGCTAGGAATATCAAGTAGTAGTCAATAACTATTCTTGGTGAAGCATGTAGGTTAGAACCATTGCAATTCAGTAACTTTAGTGCTTTACAAGAAGATATGTTAGTTGCAGATTGTTATTTGGTTAATAACGATGACAAGAGACTAGAAGAATTCGTTTTAAAGTTAACGATATTTGATTTTCATGTAACTGATTTAATCGATCTACAAAACATGTGTCTTTATTTAACTTAGTTATTAAATAAAGAATAGGTAAATTTTCTTTGATTAATTTAAAGATGAAGAAAGTAATTGGACACAAACAACAATGTGGTGAAACTGCTACTATCTACGTCATTTCTTTTTCCCTTTATTTTTTGTGCATTTGGTTAAGAAATGGACTTATGTCCTACTTCATTCATTTATTCTATGTTAATCATTTTGAATAAAACTTATCGTGGTTTCCACATTTAATTCCAATTTTTGAACTAATAACATCAGCTTGACACTAAATTAAAATAGTTTTAAAAAATGTTAAAAAAAACTATAGAACTAGGAATTGCAACTAATTGAAAGTTTTATAGATGTAGGAATCATTGTTTAATTTTAATTTCCATATTTTTAATTGTCTTGGTTCTAAATTTTAAAATAAATATTAATGCATAAATTATGCAATTTTATGCACCTAAAAGTGATAAAAGTAAGGATAAAAATAAAAGTCTAGAGAGAGATCGGGATTGACCAAAAAAAAAGAGAGAGAGAGAGAGAGAGACTAGAAAAAAAGAAGGAAGAAGGAAGAAGAAAGAAGAAAACTCTGGAAGCTAAAAAAAGAACAAAGAAAGGATAATTTGCAACTCTTGTACATTTGAACTACTCATCCAGAGATAGTGACAAACTCCATCTTTATGTCAAATGTATTTTATGTATGAGCACTGATATATTGAGTCAAACAATGCAATAATAATTCGCTAAAGATTTTCTTATAGAATTTCAGGATGTGGTGTTGAAGATGAAGTTGCAGTGATATGTGAAAAGGCACCAAATTTTTTTAAGGATAGAGCACAATATTGTGGCATCAATATTGTGATTGAAATTAGCATAATGGGAAGTTCCTAGGTGTTTGGAACTCTATTTTTCATTCTTCCGAAAGCATTCGATCCAAAACCATTAGCTATGGAAGGGAAAACTTTATTGCTTTTCGAACTATTTTTGAAGCTTTTCAAATTTGTGATGTGGGATCAATGTGTACTTGGATTGTGGGATGTATTACGGCTGGGTTATGCGGTCCAATTCATTTTATGATATGTGGTGCAATAGGGCTAGACTTAGTGGGTGCATTGTTTTAGTTCACAGTTCTCTTTCAAACTCTTATTCAAATTGATTTCACTATTATACAGAACCAAAGATCAATGTATACCCATATACACTTAGTCAACTAATATTTATTATATGTTTCTTATAGCTTTTACTAGTATATGAATTATATAGTTATACGTCCATACATATATAGTCAGTCCTTTTTTTTAAGGTTTTTGATAAGAGTACCAAAATGAATTGGAATCCAAAGGAGCGTTCCAACTACTAGTTGGTAATACTAAAAGCTAATGATTGTATATTTGTATTGTCAAAAAAATTTCACATTTATAATGCTTTTTAAGAGTTTTTCTTCTTGTTGAGGTCTGTTGTTAAGTAGCATTGTTTTGCGTTTTTGTTTTTTGATTTTTCTTTGTACGAATTTGCTCTCTTAGTCACTTGTATAACAACACATATGTACATATGTAGATATATTTTGTAGAATGCTAACCACTTATTTTTCATAAAACTGTTTTTTCGTCTTAAAATGCTACTTTAAAGAAATATTACTAAATGGTTAAAGTACCAAAGAGAGTACAACTTGGGGTCGGAAATTTAGCTGATCTAGGTTGTGAACCCACTTTGTATGGGGTTGCGCATCCTATGTCTTGGAGCACCGGGAGTATGCACGATCTCTGCATCTTTGGTGGACAAACTTTTACAATCCTAACTCATTAGATTTATCTTTAGGTTTTTGTGTTACATTGATTGAAAGGGATACCTCAAAAGGTAAATGAAAGGGATATCATTAAGTGTGAAAAGCAATAATTCTTTTAGTAATATTCCCACTGTAATGAGACTGCTCTCCAGCAAAAGTATTGTTTATTGGACGTATGTGTGTAGAGACTAGCCCTAAATACAATATGGTGTTGAAACGTTGTAGTTCTCATTGAACATTACTGGAATTTGCTTGACTCAGTGACTCATACAAAACTCATGGAAGTTTTCAGTTAATTTATCTATAGTATTTGTGCGATAGCATAAGGTTGTATATAGTGCACCACCTGTATCGGAGTGAGGGAAAGGTAAGCGTAGGTAGTCTTACCCTTATTTTGGAGAAGCTAATTCTCAAGACTCGAACTTGGCTGAGCACTTAGGTCTGAGCTCTAGAGCCTTTTCCAAAATATGATATTTAGAATGTCTCTGGTTAGAAGAGTGGTTTTATCAAACTTGATGACAATGATCCAACAAAGGGATGATGCCTAGGACCAGTTGTTGCACATTATTATAATTAGGTTTCGGTCAAGTTCATGAAGTTCCTTCGCTACTCGTGAGTTGCTCCCTCTCTTTCATTCTGCCTTCGTTCTTAGATATTTCATTTTCTTTGTAGATATTGTCCTATATCTTTGTGAAAAAGAACATGTTGAAGGTGGGATGATATTCCAGTTATTGGAGGATTTAACAGAAATGTCTACAATGAGAAATTGCAAAGACATTTTCGGTTATATAGAGAGTAAGCAAGACATATTGGGGAAGGTATGTAATGGTTTGAGTTTTCTGCTTGTACTTATGTTGTTGCTATGTGTGCCCCTTTTTTTGATGTTCTATATTATGGATTCCCTACTTAGTTGACATTGGTATTCTTTGTTCTTGTATGGTGTGGTTGTATCCATATAGCCAGAACTGTTTGCACGAGGAAAACTGGTGATGTTAAGAACCTGCAATCAACTTCTTCGTCGCCTGTCAAAGGTAGAATCTATATGGAGTACTATCGCTCTCCACACACACACATAGTAATTTCTTGATGCTTTGCTTTAATAATTTTGGAAATTCTGGTAAGTGATGCTGATGTTTAAATCTGCTATGACTGTTGTATAGGAGATATTTTAATTTATTTCTTTACTGGGGATGTGTGACTAGAAGGCAAATGAGGATGTTTTCATTGTTGGTTCTGTATGGCAAGAATGTAATCAGGTTTTTTTTTTTGTGTTTTACATTGGAAGGAAATGTACTGGTATTAGTATGTTTAGTTTTACTGTTCTGAATGCACCGCTAACCGTTATTACATATTAAATTATATACTCAAATAGTAAGGGTGAGCCGGTGAAGCAATTAATCCACATATTCCATGTTATGAATTCGTCTATAATTATCAAGCAATAGACATATTCATCAGTCAGGGAACCTATGTGAAGCGAAAGAAGAATGAAGCACTATTTAGTATATCTTTAAATATATGCCTACTTTGTGTGTGTCCTCGTGCATGACTCTAATCATTGTGTATGTTGAAGAAGCTAATGATAAAGAGCAAACCTTGAAGAAACCTAGTGCAATCTCACAGCAGTGAGCAAGTCTTGGAGCTATATAGTGTAATATTGGAGTAGTATAGTGCAATCAAATATACCTACCTAAAGGAGAAGAATTCCAAATTGGGATAAAGACTGAGGTTGTGATTGATGAGAATCCAAAGAATGTTGGATGGTTATGGCCTGTCAGTGGAGCACACCATGGGTTGTACCTTAGTAAAATCTGCAAATCTAAACTCTTTCAAANAAGGAGAAGAATTCCAAATTGGGATAAAGACTGAGGTTGTGATTGATGAGAATCCATAGAATGTTGGATGGTTATGGCCTGTCAGTGGAGCACACCATGGGTTGTACCTTAGTAAAAACTGCAAATCTAAACTCTTTCAAATGCATGTTCTTCATAAGAGGCTTTCATTGGTCATATGTCTCCTAAAGTGTTTTACAACTGCGTCAAGAAAAATGAAAAGAGAAAACCCTGGGAATAGTGTTCTATGGCCTACCAGACGAGTTCTTGTTTTACATCCAAACTTCCTAGAACAGAATGGAACCAGTGAAACAGACCAGGAAGGTTCTTGTCTTGTTCTCCTGTCAGAATGGTACTTTTCTCCTATTACAGGGGAACAAAACTGGATTCGTAATTATCTTAAGACAGTGGAACAAACCTGGATTTATAATTATCTTAAGACAGTGTTCTCCTTTTCTTATTATCATTTTTCCCCTCCTCACATTGGACATAGTAACATAAGTATTTTGCCAACATGCGTGTAGTTTGGGAATTTTCTTGTAATCTGATCCAAATCCATGAGGAATATTTGTTGTAAGTTTCAGATACCGATTGTTAATTTTTATGAAATGAAGTTCTTTAACCTTCAGTGTATGATAGTGCATTGTATGATCAACTCAGTTGGAGGAGAAGTTCCTCCTATAATTCACATTTGTATTAATACAATAGGATATGAATTTGCAGGCAAATGATGTGGTGTTTTGTGGACGAATTATAATGTTTCTTGCTCATTTTTTCCCGTTGTCAGAACGTTCAGGTGCTTGTTATCCGTGCATTACATTCACTTCAATTCAGATTCTCATTGTAATCATGCTGTTGTATAATTTTCATTATTGCTTACAGCTGTGAATATAAAGGGAGTTTTCAACACATCAAATGAGACAAAATATGAGAAAGAGGCCCCTGATGGTGTGAACCTGAGCGATTCAGTTCTCAATTTTCTCTTGTTTATTCTTTTTCTGCTCCTTATCCTTATTTTTTTGTCCATAATACTTGCTTTAAATAGCATAGTTAACATTTTTCATTGTTTTCAGGCCTTTCTATTGATTTTAACTTCTACAAAACCTTTTGGAGTTTACAGGTTAGTAATAAATAATTTGTTGGTTCTTGTCTCACAATGTGTTTGTTAAATGCTTCAAAAGTTTAACTTGTTGGAGAGAGTATAAGTAAAATATTTAATACTTCAACACGTNTTACAGGTTAGTAATAAATAATTTGTTGGTTCTTGTCTCACAATGTGTTTGTTAAACAACTATCTGCTTCAAAAGTTTAACTTGTTGGAGAGAGTATAAGTAAAATATTTAATACTTCAACACGTTCAACACGTCCCCACTTGTGTAGACTAGATTTTGGATCTCTAGCACATGGAAATCGTTTAATAATTAAGGTGACAGCGGGATTCGAATATAGGACCTTATACTCTGACACCATGTTAAACAGTCATCTGTTCCAAAAGTTTAAGCTGTTGGAGAGGGTATAACTTAAATATTTATATTTCAGGAGTGTTAAGCTGTTGGAGATGGTGTAATAAGTATTTATATTTCAACAGTATTCTTGCTCTCTTTGAACNCTGTTCCAAAAGTTTAAGCTGTTGGAGAGGGTATAACTTAAATATTTATATTTCAGCAGTGTTAAGCTGTTGGAGATGGTGTAATAAGTATTTATATTTCAACAGTATTCTTGCTCTCTTTGACCAAGATATTCTCGGAATGACATTATTGTTTATGATGTGAGGAACTTCTTGCAAGTTGCAAATAAGATGAAAAACTTCTTAAAAGCAAGCCTAAAAATCTCATTATGCCGTATCTTTTTTTTTTTTTTGATAACTAGAAGTTCATTACTAGATGCAAAGGAAGCGTCGCCAACTTACAGTATGGAACCAAAACAATACATGCTAAGATGGCCCCATGATGGCGCATCCATTGGTTGGTTGGATCAATACAATCAACTTTGTTAGCCTAGGTGAAAGACTAGAAATTTTTGGTTCAAAGAGAAGTGTAATTGATAGTTATTAGAATTAGTGTTATTATTTAATTTATAAGTACTTGTTTGACTATGAGTATTACTGAGAGTTTGATTAGAGAATTATTATAGAGTTTTAGTAGTATAAGTTTAAAAGTTTGGTTATGAAACTTCTTTAGAATTTTAGTAGGAGAATAATTTTATTTTGGGAGGGGACTTGCCCTATAAATATTGATGTAATCCCCACTATTTTTATTAGAGAGAGGGNGAGTATTACTGAGAGTTTGATTAGAGAATTATTATAGAGTTTTAGTAGTATAAGTTTAAAAGTTTGGTTATGAAACTTCTTTAGAATTTTAGTAGGAGAATAATTTTATTTTGGTAGGGTACTTGCCCAATAAATATTGATGTAATCCCCACTATTTTTATTAGAGAGAGTGNTAATTTATAGTAAATACTATAATTCGATTAGAATTATCTATTCATATGCTAATGAATAGAATTTNGGGATATAATAAAAACTTATTTTTCAGTGGAGAATTTTGTGGGTTTCTTGACTTAATCCTTGCGAGAGTTTGGTATCTCTTCTTCGTCTTCCTATTCTCTTATTTCTCCTTTATCCGTCATACATCAGTTTGGTATCAAAGCCCAACATTGATCATTCTTCATTGTCGTTGCATTTCTAGAGATCCGTCGTCATCTTCTTGATTGCTTTTACTACTAACATTGCCAAGAAATTCTCTTTCATCATCGTCACGTTTTAGTCCTAGTTGCTGCTGCCTACTAAGATTAGGTGAAAGTCCCAATTGTTGTGTTGCTGCACTGTTGGAGAGCTATTCGGGGAGCGAGAAGTTTCTACCTTGCTGAGTGTTGAAGTTTGGATCTTATCCCAAAACCAACCCATTTGACCTAACCACACGCCTTGGTAAAACACCTCACCTCCGAAATTCTAGATACACCCAATAACCTTTCCAAAATTACATATCAGATTCTGAATTTTTTGAAAATTATACTTTTGCCCATACAATTTTTGTAATTTCACTTTGCCCCCAAAAGTTTTTAAAATACCCTTTGGCCCCAAAAGTTTTTAAAATACCCTTTGGCCCCAATAGTTTTTGAAATTTCAGTTTGGCCCCAATAGTTTTTGAAATTATAGTTTGACCCCATAGTTTTTGAAATTATAGTTTGCTCCCAAAATTTTCTAAAATTACAAATTTACCCTAGAATTTTCAAAAAATTTCTCTAATCAAGATGGTGACCAATGTTGAGCTAAGTGCTAGAGTTGAAGCTCTTGATTCGTGATTAGATTCGCTCCAAGGATCAATGGATTCTCTCCAAGCATCTATTGCCTCAATAAAAGAAAATATAGAAGGTATGATGGCCATTGTCCTAAATAAAAAGGGTAAAGGAGTGGAGATGCATGCAAATCATGATTTTTCCTCATCAGCTATCAATCAACAACCACGGCTCACACAAGTCGCNGGATCAATGGATTCTCTCCAAGCATCTATTGCCTCAATAAAAGAAAATATAGAAGGCATGATGGCCATTGTCCTAAATAAAAAGGGTAAAGGAGTGGAGATGCATGCAAATCATGATTTTTCCTCATCGGCTATCAATCAACAACCAGGGCTCACACAAGTCACTCCACCACCCAGTTTGGGAAGACCCAAGATTGTTTGATTTTGATAAAGGGGTTAAACTAGAGGTTGGAAATTTTCGTGGGGATAATAATCTCGAGATATTCCTTGATTGATTGCATAGCCTTGAAAGTTTCTTGAGATAGCATCGTTTGAGTGATAAGAGGAAGGTATTCTTTGGAGAATCTAAGTTAGAGTGTAGCAAGGCTTTGGTGGGTAAAGTACCAACACATTCACTTTCATAGATCATGAGATGATATGAAGACTGTATGACTCGCAACTTTGTGCCTACTAATTATATGCAACGAGCTCATCTACAGTGTACATAGTTGAATCAAGGAAGTATATATGTCGATAAAGCTTGGCCACCCAATCAAACTTCCCATGGATTGAGGATGTGATGATTGTCATGTATAGGTAAGGACTCTATTCTCAGATTTCTACAGTGCAAGTAGACTTTACACCATAGCGGATGTAGTTCAGGTTGTCTCTCAAATGGAAGATGAATTGAAAAAGAGATCTTCTATGGCACCTCCAACTCAAATCGAGAGAACTGTCATATATGCAAGTCAAGGTAAGTCCACCAATAAACCCCAAGAGAATACTTTTATTCCCAACAAATCATCTTGGGTTGCTAATTCTTCTTCTCAAGAAATACTAATTCTAAGACAAGATGTTTTAATTGTCATGGTTTTGGTCATCTCTCTTTTTAATGCCTTCAAAATCTGTTGTGGTTGAAAATGAAAATTTTAAGATGCATAATGATTTTGACGAGCCAGAATTTGAGACACAAATTGTAGAACCTCTTGATGTGGGGGAGATTAATTTTGATGATTTAGATGATGATAATTTTTTGGGTGTTATCCGTCCTGTATTTATTACTAATAAAAAAGTTGCTAATGGTGAGTTTATTCATCGTGGAAAAATCTTTCAAACAAAAGTTAGTTGTGAATGACAGATATGCTCGTTAGTGATTGACACAGGAAGTTGAACAAATGTAGTATCAAAAGAGGCTGTGAAGAAATTAAATTTGAAAGTTGAACCACATCTAGAACCATATCATGTAGCATGGATTGCNGATATGCTCGTTAGTGATTGACACAGGAAGTTGAACAAATGTAGTATCAAAAGAGGTTGTGAAGAAATTAAATTTGAAAGTTGAACCACATCTAGAACCATATCATGTAGCATGGATTGCTAATACCAAGTTGAAAGTTGATAAGAGATGTCCAGTTACATTCACCATTAGAAGCCTTAAAGAGACCGTTCATGTGTGATGTGTTGCCTCTCAAGCTTTGTCATATTCTTTATGGTGCACTTGTATAAGATCGTGATGCACAACATGCGGGACGTGCTAATACTTTTCTTTTGCTATTGGGAGAAAGAAGTATACTCTTACTTGTGCTACAAATGTGCGTACACTGCAATTGAAAAAGAGTTCGTTTTTGATTCCGAGAGTTTATTCATTACATGGTATAGTTGGCCTTCCTCCTTACTTGCGAGGGTTGAGTTCTTTTTAGTGGAGGAGAATTGATGGTGAAGCCATTGATTGGTTGGATCAATACAATCAACTTTGGAAGTCTAGGGGAAAGATTAGGAATTTTTGGTCCAAAGGGAAGTTCATTGGCAGTTTATTGGTATGGGACTTGGTCTATAAATATCGATGTAAGCCCCACTATTTTTGTTAGAGAGAGTGATGTAATAAAAACTTGTTTCTCTGGGGAGAATTTTGTGGGTTTCTTAACCTAATCCTTGCGAATGTTTGATATCTCTTCTTCTTCTTCTTTCTATTCTCTTATTTCTTCCTCATCTGNAGAGAGAGTGATGTAATAAAAACTTGTTTCTCTGGGGAGAATTTTGTGGGTTTCTTGACCTAATCCTTGCAAATGTTTGATATCTCTTCTTCTTCTTCTTTCTATTCTCTTATTTCTTCCTCATCTGTCCTACATCACCCCCATCTCCTCCAAAAATGCTAAGATTGGAGCTAAGCCCGAAGGGTAGTAACCTTTTATCCATGCAAATAAAAATATAAGAAAAAGATTGTTTAGTCTGTCTATGGAAATTACCTTATTGAAAGGCATCGACTACACAACTAATGGTAGATCATATTTATGTTGAGATTTCCTTTATCATACTCGAACGGTGGGACTTGGCGCGGCGGTAAGATTGCTTTAGGTGTCAGGGGCTTGAGACGCGGAAACAACCTCTCCTTATGCGGGGTTAAGGCTGCGTACTGGGTCACTCTTGTTAACTTGTTTTAGTTCTGAAGTCAACTACATACTACAGTCTTTTGGGTGATGATATGACATTTACAAAAGAGATCTGCAAGGGCCTGTTGGATAAGGTTACAAGAATAAGTCTTCTCTAGAGGTCACTATACAACTCAAGCATTAACATGAAATTGAACTGATAAATTAGGTGCCTGTCTTGGTTGCAACCACATTGTGACATTTTTTTTGGTAATAAGGTGTGCTATAGGACATGCGCAATTAAACTCTTTTCCATAAGATGGCTGTATAATTTGATGTTTGCAGCGGAAGACAAGGCATTTTTGGAACTGCTTATGGCTTGTTAGTGGGAGCAAAACAGGTTAATACTCAGCATTTTAGTTGGCAATGAGAAAAGTTATTGGCAACAGTAACTTCCAAGAATAAGAAGGCTAGCATTTAAGGTAGTAAAAAGTGATGAAATCAGATCCAATTGCACAATGGATAAATTGTAGTTTAGTGGAAGAAAAAGTGTCAAAAGGCTGTTCTAGAAACTAGATAACCTTATGACTGTTCTAGAGTGCCTAGGACTCCAAATAAAACTCGAATAACCTACAATCATACATCGCTGGAAGACTATATCTCGTGTGCACAAAATCTAGAAACTATTGAAATACACAGTTAGCCTGCCTCATAAAATACAAAGAAAATGGTTCCCAATAACTTAGTAGCTAAAAATAGTTATCAAATAAGAATTCTGTAACTCTAAAGGTGAGCACACAAGGTTTAAATACTCTATCCACCTACGCTAATAAGATATAAAGAAAATGATTCCCACTAGCTTATTTTAGCTTGAAATTATTATCAAATAAGATTTATTTAACTACAAAAGTGACTACACAAGGTTCATAGCTTGCTTCATGCAGATTTGCAAAATTCCCGAAATGTTCGGTTTCTTGTAGACATGCTCCATGTCATTCTCTCCTGTTGTTTAGAATTTGAAATGCAGATGAACCATGAGCTTTGGACTTGCATTCTTTTAGGCTTGAGATCACCAATTTTGCCCGATATACCTGTCCCCTCCGAAACAACGAGAAGAGCAGCAAAGTCATCCTTTTCTGGTCATAGCATGAAATCTCTCCATAATCACAAAAATAATGAAGACAGTACATATAATCTCTAAAAGTAAAGACTACTTAGTTTAAAACCTAAATCTCAACCTTATTGTCACACATAGCTTTGACTTTTTAAGCTTTAGAATTTTGATTTTCGTATTTTTTGATGCTTTCTTTGGTAATCTCAACAATGGAAATCTNATAATCTCTAAAAGTAAAGACTACTTAGTTTAAAACCTAAATCTCAACCTTATTGTTACACATAGCTTTGACTTTTTAAGCTTTAGAATTTTGATTTTCGTATTTTTTGATGCTTTCTTTGGTAATCTCATCAACAATGGAAATCTTNCACACATAGCTTTGACTTTTTAAGCTTTAGAATTTTGATTTTCGTATTTTTTGATGCTTTCTTTGGTAATCTCAACAATGGAAATCTTTTTTTTTGTTAAATGGAGAAATTTTGTTATAGAAAGGAATAATGAGTGTAATATAACGTAGAGGACCAAATATCCTCAAAAAATAAGCCAAAAAAAAAGGAGAAAGAAAACTAAAGAAGAGCAGCCATCCAATTCCTTTGAAGATCCGACAACGGCAACCCTCTAAAATTTTCTTTGGCTTTGGTCCAAAGTGAAGTCATATAAACTAGTTGTTCCCATAGTAATTTAGAAGGTAAAGAATGACTAGAAAATTCTAGCATTTCTCTACATCAATACACCATAGAATTGTCATGAACGCGAACTGTTATAGTACTTAAACTTCCTTTTTCTTTGCGAAACCTGCTCCACTGAAGGGCAAACTCAAGCCTCACCAATCAAACTGAATAATGTATTCCACAACTTCCATGCAATACCACACCACAGTGAATAAATAAATGAGTATTGGATTCTTCGGTACTCAAACAAAGTAAGACAAAAATTAGGTTCAGTGCATTCTAGGGCCTCCTAACTTGTAAATCGTTAGTGTTCAATTGATTAAGGACACAACAGTCCAAACAAAAACGTTAATTTTAAAAGGAACTTTGACTTTTCAAATATACTTGGCCAAAGAGAAAGAATCATTGTTGATGGAGCTAACAAATGTGAATAGAAGGATTTACATGAGAAAATCTTAGATGTATCCATTGTCCAGATTCTTCTATCATGCGAAGAACAAGGTTGAAACTCATTGAGAATGTGAAGTAAATAAGTCAAGTCAATTACTTCCCTATCATTAAGATCCCTAAAGAAATGAAAATCCCAAGAACATAAGCCCGTCCTCGGTGCAAAAGAAAGAAGAAATAGGAGCCTCATGGACTGAGCATAAACGATAAAGACGAAAAAATATTTTATGAAAAGATATATCCCCAATCCATGTATCCTTCCAAAATAGAGTTTTGGATCCATCTCCCACTCTATATTGTGTCAAAGGAAGAAAAGAAGGGTAAATTTGAGAAAGGAATTTCTAGGGGCTCATATGAGTTGCGGTATTCCGTTACTTAGTATTCCACCCATTCCTCTAAAGGTCATATTTACTCCTAATTACCTTATGCCAAAAGGAGTTAGGTTCTAACGGAACCTTCATAACCATTTTCCTAATAGAAAAATGTTTTTAGACACCAAATTACCAAGCTCCAATCCCCCTTCGTCTATAGGCTTACAAATTGTCTCTCTACTTACTCTTATCATCTTCNTTTTTAGACACCAAATTACCAAGCTCCAATCCCCCTTCGTCTATAGGCTTACAAACTGTCTCTCTACTTACTCTTATCATCTTCCGTCCCAGATCGAAGAAATTCCCTCATCATCTCTAAATTCCTAGCTACAACAACGAAGATTCTCAAGATTGACAAATAGCACAAAGGGATGCTAGACAAACATGGTTTTATCAAAGTAATCCGTTCTTCTTGAAAAAAATGTCCACTCCTAACCATCTAATCTTTTACGAATCCTTTTAACAACTGGATTCCAAATGGAGGGTAATCTCAGATTTTTCCCTAATGGTAACCCAAAGTAAATCATAGGCCACTCATATATTGAACAACCCACCTCTGATGCCAAATCTCTGACAATCTCCTCACTAATGCTTATAACACCACTTTTGGACATATTAATTTTCAAACCTGGAACTTGCCCAAAAATTTTAATCAACAAAAGTACATTATCAAAACAATCTTTTTTATCTGAATGAAAATAAATAGTATCATCTGCAAACTAAAAATGCGATACAGAACATCCTCACTATCCACTCTTGATCTCTCAGTCAATTCTACTCCTTTGATCTATTAATCATCTTGCTCAAGAGATCCACCACGAATATAAGTATAAAAGGTGATAAAAGATCTCCTTGCCTTAAACCTCTAGATGCATTGAACCACTTCCTAGCCTCCCCATTCACCAATGCTGAAAAAGTTGAAGAAGAAAAAAATCGCTTATCCACCTCTCCCAAAAACCCTTGTTTTTTAATACAACATCCACAAAATTTCAATTTATCCGATTATATGCCTTTTCAAAATCCGCTTAAACACAACTCCTTTCTTCCCTTTTCTCATAACTTCCTCCACCACCTCATTTACCACTAAGAGTTGTATCTAGTATCTGTCTTCCTTGAACGAAAGCACTCTGAGCCATGGTTATTATATCTCCCAAAACATAACAGTTTTCTAGACAACACTCTAGTGATAATTTTATACAAACTAGTCACAAATTTGTTGAATTTTATAATACCAAGTCAAATATTTTTGCACCATTAATGCAGGACTCGAGCTACGGTGGCCGGTCTCAGAACTTGAAAGTGTAGACACCATATAGTAAAAAAAAAGAACTAAGTTTTTGGGAGGCTTGTCTGACCTGACCGAATCAAGTGCATACATTTATATTGACTTCCGAACTTGATCCATTTGTAAATGATCAAAATTTTGACCACTTCGAAAGTTTAAGTCCTTTGCTCGTACTAGCAGTAGTCATGAATAAGTTGTAGTGACTTGATGATTTGATGGTTTCGGCTGTGGGCTATAAGGGCTGTAAATTTCTGTTGTAATATGTTCCTAATAAACTTATTTGTTTTCAGGAACATTTTAGTAACCCGGCTTCCTTAGCTACTGCTGCTACTACTACCAAGTGGCATAAATTTACGTCCAATTTAATGGTACATCTCTTCTCTGCTCCTGAATAGTATATGGTCTTTATTCAGCAGGTATACTTGTTGCAGAAGTTCAGCTTAATTTTTTCATCAGTTACGTCAATTGCTTTTGTTGTGCGATGTGCTGTTTAGGTTGTATTGGATGCCTTTGAAGCTCAGCCTTTAAGTGATGAAGAGGGTGATGCAAATAATATTGAGGATGAAGCAGCAACGTTCAACATCAAGTATCTCACAAGCAGTAAACTAATGGGTTTGGAGGTATGGAGTGCTGTAAAGTGTTAAAACTTTCATATGAGTTACTCAAGTTATTTTGAGTTTTTTGAAATATTATCTTGAACCACGGTAAATTTCTCTTTGTTTTTATTAACTCAGCTAAAAGATCCGAGCTTCCGCCGCCATATTCTCGTTCAATGCCTAATTTTGTTTGACTATCTGAAGGTAAAGCTATTCATCTTACATGTAATCGGTGAATGAAATCACTCAGTTTGGTGTATTACATCATCATAGTAGGAAATTTTTATACTATGTTCCTTATGCTAGTAAATTGTAAAAAGTGAATCCTGAGAGTCAAGTGAACATTGTCTACATGCATGGTGGTTGTAAAACTTTTTTAAATCATTATTGTTTATGATTATTTTGTTACTTTCAGAGTTTCAAGTAAGACCTATCCTGGTTTAGGTCCACAGATCCATGTAACTTGATATTCAGGCAGGGTGGGTAGATTCCTATATCTTGGTAGCACTCTACTGAAAGATGTTGAATTTATGCCAACTCTCTAACATGGTCAATTAGGGATGGCGGCGGACCGGGGTGGAGCGGGAGGAGTAATCTTCACCCTGTTACCTGTTTCAAAAATACTTATCCACTCCCGTTATGGGGGAAATTTTAATCCCCGTCCCAGCCCCACGGATAAATTTTGATCTCCATTCCCACCTATAACGATTAATTTTTATGATTTTAAGAAAAAAATTAAAAAAACCTATGATTTACAAGGATAAAAACTCATTATATAACAAATTGATCAAACATAAAAATTCACAAAAATAATATGTATAACAAATGTGTGTTTCACTTATATATATATATATATATATATTACGGGTTTAGCGGGTGGGGATAAGTTATGTTCATTCTCGTCTTTATCCCCACACGGGGTTATACGGGTATTCCCGTATATGTCTACGTCTAATATGTATAGTTCATCCCCTATCCAAACGGGGCGTGTTTGAACAAATACTTATTTTTTTCCGATTCACTTCCATCCCTATGGCTATGGTCAATGTTTGAAAATAGTTCGCTCTAGAGTAGATACTAGATATCAAGTAGCGCTCGTGTCTTCATAGAGGTTACCCATATTCAATGAAATAGAATCTCAATATATCTGAAGACAAGGATTAGAAATCACGGATATAGACACGGGAATACGATAGAATTCCAAAATATGGGACATGTATACGGCGAGGATATGACTAATTAAAATAATATATATATATATAATAACAACATTAATAGTAACTAATAAGATCTAGCGAACATTAATTTTTTGATTATAATTGAATTAAATCAAAGATTCAAAATAAACATCCACCATTTCATCTAATATAATTGCATAAATTAGCATTCATTGAAGCCTGAAGTAGGTATGTTCTTCCTTCTCCTCATTGCCGAAGTAGATGTGGAGATTGGTTTGATCGAAGCCTTTTTCTTCTTCTCCTCTTCTTATCTCTATCGCAATTCTGGATTTTGAATGAAGGCCCCTTATGTTAAAATGACATTTCCCCCTACCCCCCTTTTTCCAGCCCTAAAAATGACAAAGCTTGTTTTTTTCCAACCCCCTTAATTTTTAAAAATAACAAATGCTATCTTGTTGTATCCCTACGTATCGCCCACATTTTTGAGTTGTATCCGATTATGNTTTCCAACCCCCTTAATTTTTTAAAATAACAAATGCTATCTTGTTGTATCCCTACGTATCGCCCACGTTTTTGAGTTGTATCCGATTATGAAAAAAAATTTATGCTCAGACGTGTGTTTGGCCGTGCCCCACGCGTATTCATGTCAGACACGTGTCTGTCTACCACGTTGACCCCTAACGAGTATTCATGTTTCCTAGGTTAAGGATGTCTTTGTCCTGGATTCTCCAATTGTTTGATTCAGACAACCTTGTGTGCTAAAAGAAAGCTGAAATTGGAATCTAGGAGAAACTTATGCATCCTAAGCCCTCATTGATGCTCCAGTATTTAACATGAATTTTTTTTATTTTATTTTTAAAATATAATCAAAGAGAAGTTTACTGGGCAAGATATTATTTTGCCGCATGCCTTATGGAATGAAGGCTACAACTTACGTATTAGTTGGAGGATGTTTGAGTTAATTTGGTATGTTAATAATGCATTGTTAGCCCTCTGCAATATAGGAAATTTTGGTTTACCAGGGAAATGATCAAAATTTCGTTTCGACGTGATCGAAACAACTGAAATATTTTTGTTTATGAGTAGATTGGAACGAATTAGTGATTGAATTGAAATTTTAATGCATGGAGGTAGATCGAAAAATTTCGAGGTGTTTCAAATTATTTTTGTATATTTTGGCCAATGCTTCACAATGTTTTGGAAATAAATTTCCAAATTTTTTATGCGTTTCCATCCATTTTTGAAACGTTTCTAAAATATTTATGTTTCTTAGGTGACCAAAATAATATACTAATACGATATCTTGATTGACCTGGGGTAAGAATCAATTTTTTTGTTTCGGTGTATTGTTTCGGTCACCTAAGAAACGAAAACATTTCGACGTGTTTCGGAAACATTTTGACCTGTTTCAAAAATATAATGAAAAAAATAAAAAATTTAAGAATTATTTTTTCAAAATATTGGTCAAAATATATCAAAGAGTCTTGAAATACTTTGAAACATTCCGAAATATTTGTGCAAATGCATTGAAATATTACAAAACATTTCGAAATATTATAGAATACCTTGAAATATTAGAATTTCGATATCATAACTGATTCGTTTCAGTTTTCTTGAAAACGAAAACATTTCAACCGTTTCGAAATGAAATTTTGATAATTCACTCTGGGAGATTTTAATCCAAGGTGCTTGCCATGGCCACCAATAACACTGCCACCACCTTGTCTCATTAACAACACAACTGCTCCTCATCAATGGATGCATGCATGTGGTTAACAAAACGGAAATGAATTGGAGGGGCTGTATTATAGGGGCATGTTTAGTTGAAGGAGCCGGTTTAAAATTTTTATTTAATATAGTTGTAAATTTTTTCTTATGGCAAAGAGACAATTGTGCTTTAGAGGTTCACTAGGAGTCTTTAAGTACTATAAGGGTTGTATATGATTTTATTATTGCTTATTATCTAGAAAAAAAGATTGGTTGTTCTGGCAAAATTCCACCTTCATTTGATGGTGATCACTTAAGTGTTGGTCATTTCTTTCTTCCGATCCGCCAATCATACAGATTCCAATGCTGCTGAACATGAATCTATCAATGTTTTATTGTTAAACGTGGGAAAATCTGATTTCACATAAACAAGAGTTGAGGTCAAATGATTGGTATTGAGGGAACCTAGCTGACAATTTGGTGGGTAATGGGACTAACAGATATTTTTATTTCTAATTTTGACGGAATCCCAAGAGTTTTAGCAATAGATATATTAGTTATAGTCTTATATATTTGAGCTAAGAAGCTTGGATACAGACATGGGACACGACACATTACAAATAAGTATGTTTTGTATATATCAAGCTATAAAGTATATCACAAGTATAGATGTAATGTTTGAATTATTAATAAGGAATTTGCTATTTATGACAAGTAAAATTTAAGTCTAGTCATCTGATGTGAATTTTTAGATTAAAGGATCATTGTAGTCATTATTCATCAATTTTTTGATCGACAACATGTAGCAAGTATACACAATTACAATGAATGCTCTCATCTTCTCAATTCTTCTTCTTTAGCAAGCCTTTTATGTATCTTTTACTTTTATTAATAAATTTCAAGTACAACTTTATCCCGACTAGTCTCAACAATTACATTTATGTCATAGTAAGATATGTGTCAAATTTCTAAGCTTTATTAATTCATGTCAACACAGGATTTTAGTAGTAGACAAGGTAAAGTGTCGGGCATGTCACCAAAGGAGTGTTGGTCACGTGTTCGAAATTAAAATTTTGTCTTTTTAATTATGGATATGGATAAAAGAGTACCGGACATATGTCCGAGGAGTGTCTGTGTTTGACATGTGTTTTACATGGATAAGTTATCTTCTTTAGAATGTCTGTGCTTCCTAGAATTCGAGTTTTACGTCGATTGCATTTCATGCATGTGATTCCTATGAAGGTTCCCATAGCGGTTGATTTTGTTCTAGGACAATTTTGATCTCAGTGGCTGAAGTCCTGGATGACCCCGCAAGAGCTTACTAGCAAGAGACTTGGGTTTATCTGAAAGAGTTCTATTTGCGGTTCATTTTGTCTAACCATGCAAGAGATCAAACTTGCTGGCAAAGTTTAGATGAACTAGATCATTGTGAGAACCCAGTTTCCTATGATCTATCAGTTCGTGTACTGAAAAATGCCACTTTGACCAGGAGTTTTTCCTTGATGAATGTAAAAGTTGATGGTAATGTTGGAGGCTTTTGATATTCTATTGGCAATTTCTCACGGAGTAAACAATTTTTATTTATAAAGTTTCACTAGTAGAAAATTGATGTGAATTATTCACATTTTCAACCATGCCTCAATACTGTTTGATATTTGAGGTGATCAAAACTCTAGATTGCTTTGCTGTTACTATGTAATTCAAAACAGATTTGATTACTGCTGAATTTTCAATTCTGGTTTCTTGTCTGTTGTCTTTCAGCAATTCGAACCACGGAGATAATTTAGGATTTAGGAAATATTTGGTACATAGAATAATGTGCAATTCTGCAGCTTCTGGGTAGACCAAGTAGAATTGAGTGATTGGATATAGTTTAAGAATATGGAACATGATTGCTTATGCTATAGTATGTGGAAGAATATAGGAACCAGATATGGAAATATCAGGATTTGGGATTATGTTCATTAAAATTTTTTAGCAATAAGTTGGGCAATTTTGTGAAAAATGTCAAGAATTTTATTTGGTTTGCTTAGAATTATTCATCCACTTTATCATGACTGAATTTGACTNATTTTTTAGCAATAAGTTGGGCAATTTTGTGAAAAATGTCAAGAATTTTATTTGGTATGCTTAGAATTATTCATCCACTTTATCATGGACTGAATTTGATTTGCGGATGTTGTTGTTTCTCAAATCTGGAGACCTTGTGCTATTTCACCTAGAAAATTTTCTTTGAAACTTCTCCAGGTTGATATTTTTATATTTTTTGACGTCCCCCTTATTTATAACGGGGCAGAAAATTAATGTATTCAGGTGGAGTCAAAATTAAATTACACTCACTTTTTCATGTTGACAAGTGTTTTTTGATCAAAAAGTTGCTTGTTATTTTGATGTTGTGCATTTTGATTGCAGTCAGTACACATGCATTGCATGACTTCTTATGTGTTATGTCACTTTAATTCGTCCCTATTTATCTAATGATTCATCTGTTTTTATAACTTTTGTAGGCACCAGGGAAGAATGACAAAGATTTGCCATCTGAAACAATGGTTTGTGATATAATGTTCACGTTTGTTTTTGTAAATTTATCGTTCTCTTTTCCTGTTGTAACTGGAGTAAATAGTTACACTAATGGGAGAATAAATATTGACGAGTAGAAGATGTTGTGTGTGTGTGTGTGTTTTTTTTTTTTGGGGAGGGGTGTTGGGGGAGAGCAACATGTGGGCAGCAGAAACAGACAGTTTTTTTTCCTATACAAAGAACCTTGTTTGATTCTTGCTGAATGGGGGAAATATTTGTGACTTGATGTCTAAAAACTATCATTCTCATAACTCTTAAATGGTGATGCTGCAATTTGAATTGCGGTGACTAAAAGTTATGTAGGTATGGTATGGTGATTATGTGGCAACAGAACAAACAATAATGCTAGTAGGAAATGTATTTTGTTGTTAAACCTTTAGAGCTGTTAAAATGAGATAGAAGATAACTCAAACCGATGTTATTTAAGGCTAAAGGCGCACACGCACTGAGGCGCCAAGGTCTTCTGGGACCTAGGGGTGAGGTGCGAGGCAAAGCAAGGGCCTAATTGAAGTGAGGCACACATTGTAGATAATATGTAAAAACAATAAATTACACTGCAAATACAAGTAAATGTACTAATTTCAGAAATTTTCAATTAAATACTGCATATTTCTTAAAACCAAAGACTAATTCATAATGTGAAGAACTAATTGAATCCACAGAGAAGGTTGCAAATTAGAAGCTAGTTTCATAAAAACAAAATGACAGNCATATTTCTTAAAACCAAAGACTAATTCATAATGTGAAGAACTAATTGAATCCACAAAGAAGGTTGCAAATTAGAAGCTAGTTTCATAAAAACAAAATGACGGAAAATTAGAGAATGATGAAGAGCGATCAGAGAGAGATGCAAAAAGAGAGGCTGGTGAAAATGAGAAAAAATCTGAGACCAATGGCCCAAAAAGGATAGTAAGAAAGATAACCATAATTAAGTGAAGACATTAAGGATATCGGTGCACTGAAGGCTTAAGCATCTGGTGCATTGTTCATGTGAAAATAGAATTGAGCTGCAAGCATAGATAGTCAGCTTTAGGAATGAGAATCAGTTGGCTCCGTGATAATCTGATATTTGGTAGTTAGAAAGGAAAATTGCTGTAGTGGAACACGGTTAGTGGGGAGCTTAACTGAAATGGTCTTCATTAGAGGCAGGATAACCTCTTCAGCGTATTTAGATAAACTTCCTGAAAGCACTATCTTGATAGCTTATTTACTCTTACCTAAGGGCTGCTAATTGTATTGGATAGGGATACTGCTTACTCCCAGATGTGTCCAATACTTTTTAATCATTTCCACAAGTTTGGAAATAGACTTCTAGACTGCGATGTAATCTGATGCTTTTGATCGCAAGCCTGGCATGCCTTTGACATCTGGATGTCTTCTACAGGATTAGAACAAAAATGTTGGGAAAAGGTGTAATATATTTAGTCCACTTCTCTAAATAACAACAAGGAAAATTTAAGGGTAAATCATGTTGGTTTAGTTCAGAGTCTGTGTTAATGCAGCATGCTTTCTTACGTGATATGTGATTATATAAATTGTAAATCAATATGATATCTATATTAGTAGGAATGAATAGATATTTATGAACTTCATAAGAATGATTGTTTATGTGATTCATGTACTAAGTGTGTGAATATCCAAATCCTAAATTTTATGAGTTTGTTGTATATATGTGCGTTTTGTTTTGTCCGTGTCAAGCATCTGTATTTTATAGACCCCTGTAGATTGTCGCAAAACGGAGTCTCACATAACTCTTGAGATATCAGTCTTCAATGCTACTGTCAGTTGCATATTGTGAAACACCATGCCTTTATATCAATCCAAAACCTCACTTATTCTCTAGTTTCTGCATGCACATTGATCAGGCAATCAATGTTAGTGATCTTTTGTACAGCGGAATTCAAGTTGAATCTATTTGGATTGATTTTTTTTTTTCCTTTTTTTCTTTTTCCATATAAATGGAAAATATGTCCTTGATTCCATACAATCTTGTGAAATGGTCAATCCCAATTGTGGTAATAATTCTCCTGTTTACGCTCTCGTGTGGCCAAGAGTGAAGAGGCTCCTTAAACATATAAACCAACCTTAGATAGTCTTAATTATTTAGTGTGGGATACAAACTCTTTTTACACCCTCTCATGTGGGACTTATGCTCAGACGTGGGGCTAACAAACAAACCGACTAAGATGCATACCTGGAAATGCAAAAGGGCAAGAGCCCACTGACCTGAAGGCTAGCTTTGATACCCTGTTAAAGCATCCAACTCAATACCCATTGGCAATGAGTGGAAAGGTCCCTTAAACATATAAACCAACCTTATATGGTTGTAATCATTCGATGTGGAATCAATGTTCTCGTTTATCATGTTTCCTCATTTCCTCATCTTTAGTTGTTAAGGCATTTGACCTGGTTTAATGATGCAAGTCGAAGAACTATTTTTACCCCTCTGCTGCATGACAATCTGCACTGTGTATACAGTTGAGATGTTCAGTTGCATGTTTAAGCCAAGAATTTAATTTCTTCCATCTTGGAAACAAGACTAACCAGACACCTTTGGTGATTCTAGAAGGAAGAAATAAGATCGTGCGAGGAGCGGGTGAAGAAGCTTCTTGAAACGACTCCACCAAAAGGCAAAGATTTTCTTCATAGCATTGAGCACATATTAGAACGTGAAAGGAATTGGGTGAGCCTTTTTTCAACTTTCTCTCTCTCTTCTCCTTTTTACTTTGGACTGTTCACTCTTGTGCTTACCTTGATAACAAATTGGGGTGTTAGGTGTGGTGGAAACGTGATGGTTGCCCTCCATTTGAAAAGCAACCAATAGAAAAGAAGTCAGTTCAAGATGGAGCTAGAAAACGGTATGCAAGTTAGATTTATTTTCTTATCTTGGGTTGATTATTATTTTCTTGAGTGTTGATATATGCCATCATTGACATGCTTAGAAGGAGGATTAAGGTTGGAGACTTGGAGATTTGAAAACCATCTGCTTGATGTATGATTTGTTGTCAATATCTGTGTGTTATGGAATTGACTGATAATGACCAAGGTTGATTCCCATCTAGCAAAAGTGTAAACCAAGAAATTGGAGCTTTTTGGTATTATTGACTAAAGGGATTCCGTACATGGTTTAAACTGGTTGTTTATATTAAAGATAAAGTTGATGCATTATTGTTTATCATGGTTTTGTACCATTTTGAAATCCTATATGCCATTCTGTACTGTGATATGATGTACGGAGGAACTGATCTTCAACTTTAATAGGATTTTTTATATATTGACCTCCAAAATGGGATATATCGGGATACAAAACAAAATCTCTTTTGGTTCAGTCGAAATGAACAACACATACACAAAGTTCTACCGCTGAAACAATTTTATTTCAGCTGAGATGCACCAACATATTCTGGATGCCATCACGATGAAGTTGAAAAATATCTTATGCATGTTTTGAAAATAAATCGTAAAAATGTTCAAGAGAGCAGAAACATCTCAGGTTGGTTGGACTATGAGAAAGTCGTTGAGTTCTAATACAAACCTATAATCAAGAAAGGAAGAAGAAGAGTACAAAAGAAAAAAATAAAAAAGATAGTATTTTAAAAAAGAGATTAGTTAGGGTTCCCTCCCTTATATGTTGTCATATATACTTGTTCAAGACAAAAATACTCCGNTTGCGGATGTTGTTGTTTCTCAAATCTGGAGACCTTGTGCTATTTCACCTAGAAAATTTTCTTTGAAACTTCTCCAGGTTGATATTTTTATATTTTTTGACGTCCCCCTTATTTATAACGGGGCAGAAAATTAATGTATTCAGGTGGAGTCAAAATTAAATTACACTCACTTTTTCATGTTGACAAGTGTTTTTTGATCAAAAAGTTGCTTGTTATTTTGATGTTGTGCATTTTGATTGCAGTCAGTACACATGCATTGCATGACTTCTTATGTGTTACGTCACTTTAATTCGTCCCTATTTATCTAATGATTCATCTGTTTTTATAACTTTTGTAGGCACCAGGGAAGAATGACAAAGATTTGCCATCTGAAACAATGGTTTGTGATATAATGTTCACGTTTGTTTTTGTAAATTTATCGTTCTCTTTTCCTGTTGTAACTGGAGTAAATAGTTACACTAATGGGAGAATAAATATTGACGAGTAGAAGATGTTGTGTGTGTGTGTGTGTTTTTTTTTTTTGGGGAGGGGTGTTGGGGGAGAGCAACATGTGGGCAGCAGAAACAGACAGTTTTTTTTCCTATACAAAGAACCTTGTTTGATTCTTGCTGAATGGGGGAAATATTTGTGACTTGATGTCTAAAAACTATCATTCTCATAACTCTTAAATGGTGATGCTGCAATTTGAATTGCGGTGACTAAAAGTTATGTAGGTATGGTATGGTGATTATGTGGCAACAGAACAAACAATAATGCTAGTAGGAAATGTATTTTGTTGTTAAACCTTTAGAGCTGTTAAAATGAGATAGAAGATAACTCAAACCGATGTTATTTAAGGCTAAAGGCGCACACGCACTGAGGCGCCAAGGTCTTCTGGGACCTAGGGGTGAGGTGCGAGGCAAAGCAAGGGCCTAATTGAAGTGAGGCACACATTGTAGATAATATGTAAAAACAATAAATTACACTGCAAATACAAGTAAATGTACTAATTTCAGAAATTTTCAATTAAATACTGCATATTTCTTAAAACCAAAGACTAATTCATAATGTGAAGAACTAATTGAATCCACAAAGAAGGTTGCAAATTAGAAGCTAGTTTCATAAAAACAAAATGACGGAAAATTAGAGAATGATGAAGAGCGATCAGAGAGAGATGCAAAAAGAGAGGCTGGTGAAAATGAGAAAAAATCTGAGACCAATGGCCCAAAAAGGATAGTAAGAAAGATAACCATAATTAAGTGAAGACATTAAGGATATCGGTGCACTGAAGGCTTAAGCATCTGGTGCATTGTTCATGTGAAAATAGAATTGAGCTGCAAGCATAGATAGTCAGCTTTAGGAATGAGAATCAGTTGGCTCCGTGATAATCTGATATTTGGTAGTTAGAAAGGAAAATTGCTGTAGTGGAACACGGTTAGTGGGGAGCTTAACTGAAATGGTCTTCATTAGAGGCAGGATAACCTCTTCAGCGTATTTAGATAAACTTCCTGAAAGCACTATCTTGATAGCTTATTTACTCTTACCTAAGGGCTGCTAATTGTATTAGATAGGGATACTGCTTACTCCCAGATGTGTCCAATACTTTTTAATCATTTCCACAAGTTTGGAAATAGACTTCTAGACTGCGATGTAATCTGATGCTTTTGATCGCAAGCCTGGCATGCCTTTGACATCTGGATGTCTTCTACAGGATTAGAACAAAAATGTTGGGAAAAGGTGTAATATATTTAGTCCACTTCTCTAAATAACAACTAGGAAAATTTAAGGGTAAATCATGTTGGTTTAGTTCAGAGTCTGTGTTAATGCAGCATGCTTTCTTACGTGATATGTGATTATATAAATTGTAAATCAATATGATATCTATATTAGTAGGAATGAATAGATATTTATGAACTTCATAAGAATGATTGTTTATGTGATTCATGTACTAAGTGTGTGAATATCCAAATCCTAAATTTTATGAGTTTGTTGTATATATGTGCGTTTTGTTTTGTCCGTGTCAAGCATCTGTATTTTATAGACCCCTGTAGATTGTCGCAAAACGGAGTCTCACATAACTCTTGAGATATCAGNGTTTTGTCCGTGTCAAGCATCTGTATTTTATAGACCCCTGTAGATTGTCGCAAAACAGAGTCTCACATAACTCTTGAGATATCAGTCTTCAATGCTACTGTCAGTTGCATATTGTGAAACACCATGCCTTTATATCAATCCAAAACCTCACTTATTCTCTAGTTTCTGCATGCACATTGATCAGGCAAATCAATGTTAGTGATCTTTTGTACAGCGGAATTCAAGTTGAATCTATTTGGATTGATTTTTTTTTTCCTTTTTTTCTTTATCCATATAAATGGAAAATATGTCCTTGATTCCATACAATCTTGTGAAATGGTCAATCCCAATTGTGGTAATAATTCTCCTGTTTACGCTCTCGTGTGGCCAAGAAACTGCTAGAACATTCAATCCAAAACCAAGTGGCAAAGAGTGAAGAGGCTCCTTAAACATATAAACCAACCTTAGATAGTCTTAATTATTTAGTGTGGGATACANTTTTTTTTTTCCTTTTTTTCTTTATCCATATAAATGGAAAATATGTCCTTGATTCCATACAATCTTGTGAAATGGTCAATCCCAATTGTGGTAATAATTCTCCTGTTTACGCTCTCGTGTGGCCAAGAGTGAAGAGGCTCCTTAAACATATAAACCAACCTTAGATAGTCTTAATTATTTAGTGTGGGATACAAACTCTTTTTACACCCTCTCATGTGGGACTTATGCTCAGACGTGGGGCTAACAAACAAACCGACTAAGATGCATACCTGGAAATGCAAAAGGGCAAGAGCCCACTGACCTGAAGGCTAGCTTTGATACCCTGTTAAAGCATCCAACTCAATACCCATTGGCAATGAGTGGAAAGGTCCCTTAAACATATAAACCAACCTTATATGGTTGTAATCATTCGATGTGGAATCAATGTTCTCGTTTATCATGTTTCCTCATTTCCTCATCTTTAGTTGTTAAGGCATTTGACCTGGTTTAATGATGCAAGTCGAAGAACTATTTTTACCCCTCTGCTGCATGACAATCTGCACTGTGTATACAGTTGAGATGTTCAGTTGCATATTTAAGCCAAGAATTTAATTTCTTCCATCTTGGAAACAAGACTAACCAGACACCTTTGGTGATTCTAGAAGGAAGAAATAAGATCGTGCGAGGAGCGGGTGAAGAAGCTTCTTGAAACGACTCCACCAAAAGGCAAAGATTTTCTTCATAGCATTGAGCACATATTAGAACGTGAAAGGAATTGGGTGAGCCTTTTTTCAACTTTCTCTCTCTCTTCTCCTTTTTACTTTGGACTGTTCACTCTTGTGCTTACCTTGATAACAAATTGGGGTGTTAGGTGTGGTGGAAACGTGATGGTTGCCCTCCATTTGAAAAGCAACCAATAGAAAAGAAGTCAGTTCAAGATGGAGCTAGAAAACGGTATGCAAGTTAGATTTATTTTCTTATCTTGGGTTGATTATTATTTTCTTGAGTGTTGATATATGCCATCATTGACATGCTTAGAAGGAGGATTAAGGTTGGAGACTTGGAGATTTGAAAACCATCTGCTTGATGTATGATTCTGTTGTCAATATCTGTGTGTTATGGAATTGACTGATAATGACCAAGGTTGATTCCCATCTAGCAAAAGTGTAAACCAAGAAATTGGAGCTTTTTGGTATTATTGACTAAAGGGATTCCGTACATGGTTTAAACTGGTTGTTTATATTAAAGATAAAGTTGATGCATTATTGTTTATCATGGTTTTGTACCATTTTGAAATCCTATATGCCATTCTGTACTGTGATATGATGTACGGAGGAACTGATCTTCAACTTTAATAGGATTTTTTATATATTGACCTCCAAAATGGGATATATCGGGATACAAAACAAAATCTCTTTTGGTTCAGTCGAAATGAACAACACATACACAAAGTTCTACCGCTGAAACAATTTTATTTCAGCTGAGATGCACCAACATATTCTGGATGCCATCACGATGAAGTTGAAAAATATCTTATGCATGTTTTGAAAATAAATCGTAAAAATGTTCAAGAGAGCAGAAACATCTCAGGTTGGTTGGACTATGAGAAAGTCGTTGAGTTCTAATACAAACCTATAATCAAGAAAGGAAGAAGAAGAGTACAAAAGAAAAAAATAAAAAAGATAGTATTTTAAAAAAGAGATTAGTTAGGGTTCCCTCCCTTATATGTTGTCATATATACTTGTTCAAGACAAAAATACTCCGTAAACTTATGGCACTGAAAAATAAAAGGAAATAATTTATCACTCCCCTCAATGTCACACATTCCCTGCTTGCTTATGGTATTACGAAGAATTTTGTTTGGAGCTCCCTTTATCAAAACTAAGTTTTTTTATCTAGCCACAATCAATTGCCTCTGCCTACACTATGCCACTTAAGTTTCCTGCAAGTGAAGTGGAAAAACCAGATGTAGGCTTATGATCAGTTATCCAACCAGCCAGATATGCATGTGTACAATTCATATTGCAAAATGTCACTTCTTTGAAATAACCACCCTTTGCCAGTAGATTTCAAATACTGAGGAATTAGATGGACTACTTCCATATGTGACACACAAAGGGAATGCATAAATTGACTCGCACTGTGAATTGCATAGGTTATATCTGGGAGAGAATGAGATTAATAAATTCACTTTTTGATCCATTGCTGACATTTTCCCCCTGCCAACCACGGCACCTTCAATATCTTCCCTTGTGATTTTGCAACACCAAAGTACCAATGGCTCTACACTCGATCAAAATTGTCTGCTTAAGAACGTCCAGAATATATTTTTCCATGGAATACAGATACACTCTTGAGTTTTGGCAATTCCAACACCCAAAGAGTAATTTAATTTTCCTAGGTCATATATCTGGAACTTCTTAGCAAGATCAACTTTCAAATTTTGTGCTTCCTCGAAATCTTCGCAAGTTAGAACATTATCATTGACATACACAATGAGACAGTCACTTTCTGGCAGAAGGTGAACAAGCCAACAAGGTATGGTTGCCCCGACTCTATTTGAAGCCATGTCCCAGTATTGTCCGAGTAAATCTCAAACCATGTTCAGGGAGATTGTTTTGACCCATACAAAATCTTCTTGAACCTATCTGCTTTGCCTCCTATAAACACATCCTCCTCTACTCTATGTACAGGCAAGGATCAAAATATCGTTTTGAAACAGTCGAAACATCTGAAACGTTTTTGTTTCCAAGGAGACCGAAACGAATCAGTGATGAAATCGAAATTCTAATATTTCGAGGTATTCCATAATGTTTCAAAATATTTTGTTATATTTCAATGCATTTGCACAATTATTTCGGAATATTTCAAGGTATTTCAAGATTTTTTGATATATTTCGACTAATATTTTTAAAAAATAATTCTTAAATTTTTATTATTTTTCATTCTGTTTTCGAAACGGGTCGAAATGTTTTCGAAACATGTCGAAATGTTTCCATTTTCTAGGTGACCGAAACAATGCACCGAAATGAAATTTTGATCCTTGTGTACAGAACATCACAAACTTAAGACCAAGCTAGGTAGTTACGCATGTACAATTTCAAAGTTGTAATTTGGTGTGCAACATTCTGACAAGGGGTTCCAATATGACCTACTTGTGAAGATAGCTAGTATCTCGCACAAAGATCGAAATAACATTTTAATCTATAGTTTCAGTCGGATAGTAAATGGGAATGTTCCAAAAATAGTGAAGACGGAGAAAAACATTGGAGACATGTTGAAACAAATGGAAACATAAATTAAAGTTTCTATATTAATATAGATAAGCTTAATAATTGTGGATGTTTATTGTCTTAACATCCACTTGCACTAAATAACATCAAGTTGGTGAATAAAAAAGAAGATTACTATGACGCAAAAGTCATTCCAAGTTTCAACTAATGTCAAAACTTCATCTTTATCAAACAAACAATTTGAAAGAATATTGAGGTCTCATAATACAATGCTCATGAGCATCATATGAAAGTACTAATAGGAGAAATTGTGGATCCATGCCCATATCTTTATGAGACATACCTTGATCCATAATCATACGATGCAATACCATAGCTAGACCCATGATGTTCACTTCCACTTACACTCATACAAGACAAACCATTAATCATATCGAAGCATTTGTTTAGAGTCATGATCCTCATCTTGTGTGACATGTAAATCCTTGCTCTTCTGTGAATACATGTCTATATTCACAAACCAGTAATATGCTTACCACCACCTCCATCTCAAGGAATGTCACCATCTCCATCATCGTCGTCTTTACTCTCGCCATCATTATTGTTACCATCATTATTATGATCATCATCGCTACTTGTAAGAGTGACCAGTTGCTTACGTCTCTGTGGATCACCCAAGCCACACTTGAGCAACATTAGCTAACCCAAAATTCAAAGTCCACTTGACGGTCCAAATAAGTACAAGAAGCAAATCTCTAAACAACTGAAGGAACAATCACCTCTAAACAAGTATAGGGAAACAATTGATTAGAAAACCAACAACACCCAACATGCAAACTGGTCGAAAAAAATATCCATAGACAGTGGAAGAAGAAGAAACAGTGGTAGCCGTAGCAGAGGCAAAGAACTGTTCTACTGACCCCTAAATTTGTCAAAATCCAACCCAATTCACCTCCAGCTAGTTCGAATCCCAAAATTAGTTGTCAAAGGTGCTTAGTCACACCCCTTTGACCACATTATTACTAGAAATTTTGAAGAGAAACCCTAGAAATCGCACATAAAAGAAAATGAACAAATTTTCTCAAAAATACTCAGAAATTCGAAACACTTACCAAATGAACTTGAAATCGAAAACAAAACACATCATTGGGAAGCCCATGAGAAGTCAATCAATACGGTGGTCTTCATTGTTGCAAACTGATGACGTCAATCGCTAATTTTAACAGATTTTTTTTTTTGGCTTCTATGATGTATTCTTCGTATTTGGGGATCGCAATATGCTCTAATACCATGTATACTTTGATAAAAAAAAGTCAAGAAATAAGAGAGAGAATAGAGAAGAAAAGATAGAATATTATTACGAGACATGAAGTTTGTGCAACATTAAACCTAAAATACACGATAAAGATCCTTATATAGTAGGGTAACATAAAATAAAATAAACTACTAAATTATCTCTAATACTAATTTGCTATATATNTAATCTATAGTTTCAGTCGGATAGTAAATGGGAATGTTCCAAAAATAGTGAAGACGGAGAAAAACATTGGAGACATGTTGAAACAAATGGAAACATAAATTAAAGTTTCTATATTAATATAGATAAGCTTAATAATTGTGGATGTTTATTGTCTTAACATCCACTTGCACTAAATAACATCAAGTTGGTGAATAAAAAAGAAGATTACTATGAGGCAAAAGTCATTCCAAGTTTCAACTAATGTCTAAACTTCATCTTTATCAAACAAACAATTTGAAAGAATATTGAGGTCTCATAATACAATGCTCATGAGCATCATATGAAAGTACTAATAGGAGAAATTGTGGATCCATGCCCATATCTTTATGAGACATACCTTGATCCATAATCATACGATGCAATACCATAGCTAGACCCATGATGTTCACTTCCACTTACACTCATACAAGACAAACCATTAATCATATCGAAGCATATGTTTAGAGTCATGATCCTTATCTTGTGTGACATGTAAATCCTTGCTCTTCTGTGAATACATGTCGANCTGACAAGGGGTTCCAATATGACCTACTTGTGAAGATAGCTAGTATCTCGCACAAAGATCGAAATAACATTTTAATCTATAGTTTCAGTCGGATAGTAAATGGGAATGTTCCAAAAATAGTGAAGACGGAGAAAAACATTGGAGACATGTTGAAACAAATGGAAACATAAATTAAAGTTTCTATATTAATATAGATAAGCTTAATAATTGTGGATGTTTATTGTCTTAACATCCACTTGCACTAAATAACATCAAGTTGGTGAATAAAAAAGAAGATTACTATGACGCAAAAGTCATTCCAAGTTTCAACTAATGTCAAAACTTCATCTTTATCAAACAAACAATCTGAAAGAATATTGAGGTCTCATAATACAATGCTCATGAGCATCATATGAAAGTACTAATAGGAGAAATTGTGGATCCATGCCCATATCTTTATGAGACATACCTTGATCCATAATCATACGATGCAATACCATAGCTAGACCCATGATGTTCACTTCCACTTACACTCATACAAGACAAACCATTAATCATATCGAAGCATTTGTTTAGAGTCATGATCCTCATCTTGTGTGACATGTAAATCCTTGCTCTTCTGTGAATACATGTCTATATTCACAAACCAGTAATATGCTTACCACCACCTCCATCTCAAGGAATGTCACCATCTCCATCATCGTCGTCTTTACTCTCGCCATCATTATTGTTACCATCATTATTATGATCATCATCGCTACTTGTAAGAGTGACCAGTTGCTTACGTCTCTGTGGATCACCCAAGCCACACTTGAGCAACATTAGCTAACCCAAAATTCAAAGTCCACTTGACGGTCCAAATAAGTACAAGAAGCAAATCTCTAAACAACTGAAGGAACAATCACCTCTAAACAAGTATAGGGAAACAATTGATTAGAAAACCAACAACACCCAACATGCAAACTGGTCGAAAAAAATATCCATAGACAGTGGAAGAAGAAGAAACAGTGGTAGCCGTAGCAGAGGCAAAGAACTGTTCTACTGACCCCTAAATTTGTCAAAATCCAACCCAATTCACCTCCAGCTAGTTCGAATCCCAAAATTAGTTGTCAAAGGTGCTTAGTCACACCCCTTTGACCACATTATTACTAGAAATTTTGAAGAGAAACCCTAGAAATCGCACATAAAAGAAAATGAACAAATTTTCTCAAAAATACTCAGAAATTCGAAACACTTACCAAATGAACTTGAAATCGAAAACAAAACACATCATTGGGAAGCCCATGAGAAGTCAATCAATACGGTGGTCTTCATTGTTGCAAACTGATGACGTCAATCGCTAATTTTAACAGATTTTTTTTTTTGGCTTCTATGATGTATTCTTCGTATTTGGGGATCGCAATATGCTCTAATACCATGTATACTTTGATAAAAAAAAGTCAAGAAATAAGAGAGAGAATAGAGAAGAAAAGATAGAATATTATTACGAGACATGAAGTTTGTGCAACATTAAACCTAAAATACACGATAAAGATCCTTATATAGTAGGGTAACATAAAATAAAATAAACTACTAAATTATCTCTAATACTAATTTGCTATATATTTAAATATTTATATGTCCAAAATAGATCTAGAAATTGTCTACAAAGCTTTGACTCAATTATTCCACATAGTTTGTAGTTTTGACTTCTAATCTCTTTTTGAAAATGTGTTAAAAAAATTTCTTGTGTTGGGTGGGGGCAAGAGGGGTCTCTCCCTTAGGGCCCAGGATTTTTTTTTGGTTGTCGGTTTTGGGGGGGCGGGGGGAGGAGGAAAAATCAAATTTCACTAACATTGTAAACTTTGTCACTTTGTCTTTCCCTTGAGACAGTTTACTAACACGATGCATCTCATTTATGCATCCTACATAAATTGGCTAAATTACCGTGTATGGATCTATATTGTCGTGAAACATTCATTAAAATAAATTGGCATTTGGTATGAGAGACAATTGCGATTGTTTTTCTTTGTTTGGCATTGATAATTGCAATTGATGCTAGGCACCGGCTATGGGGTGGTACTAGAGACCAGCATTTTTTGACTTCTAATTTCTTAATCAATTGTAGTCTTATATTGTTGTAGTTTTCGACTTATTATGTTTCAAAGTATCAAAATTCTTGTCTATGTTTATCTTGGTTGGCTTTTGATTTTTTGATTTTTTTTATCCTTTCTTGCAGTAGGCCACGGTGGAGATTGGGTAATAAAGAACTCTTTCAATTGTGGAAATGGGCAGAACAAAATCCGGTGCGTTTTATATCCTTTTGTGAGTTCTTGGTTAGACAACATGTTGGTACTGAAAATTCCCTTGGGGGTTTTGAGGTGTGGTGAATAGGACTTTTGGAAATTTTTTACTCCCTTTTGGTCCTATCATGTTTATAAACTTTCAATATCCAATTATTATTGCTAGTTTGCTTCAATAGATTAGCTCAATATTAGTCACTCAATAGGGTTGCTAATGTAGTTCGAATTTTGAGGAAGAATGATCCTTGACGGACAAGGTGTAGAAACTACTCAAGGTTGACCTTGGTCAACTAGGTTATACCCTGGTTGATTGGCCAGTAAACTGAGGTATGGGACCTGGTTAGAGCCAGTCGACTGTGTCTATTAGGAATGAGCCCAGATGAAATTTTAGCTCAGTTTTGATGATTTAGTACTTAGGCTAAGTGGCTTCTTGGTTACCCGCTTTTGATTAGACATGCTTAAATTACTAAATCAAAGGGTATATTTACGAAGAGAGCTTGTATCCCATGTTGAAAGATTAGGACCACCTAAAGTTGTTTTGTATTGTTGAGGGACCTCTTCAACCATTACTTGTTGGTTTTGTATTGGATTGCTTTAACATGGAATTAAACTTGGGCCTTCTGTGGTTGGTCAAGCCTTTCATCCATTTGAATTTTATGGTAATGCTTGTTTGTTTCAATTTTGTATGTCAGCCCAAAGTTTGAGCCTGGATCACAAGTGAGGAGTGGTGTGAAGATAGCTTGAAGCCCACCTAGAAAGATTAGGACCACCCAAGAATAGATACTTCTCTGCCAATATTGTTTTGGGGTTAGAGGCATCTAACAGTATCAATGTTAGGACTAGGTAGTGTTAGTCTTTTGCTGGTAATGGGGTTTTTCTATGTAACTGATGAACTAGATGTCAAGAATATCAGTAGTACCATATTTAATGAAAAAATTCAACGCTCTCAGTGTCCAGGGGTTGAGCAAAAAGGATGGTAGTTTTTAATTTCCTTTTTTCATACAATATGACGTCTTCTAAATTTATTACCCCAGTATATGGCTTGATTCAATAATTACAGATCATAGTGAAACATTATGCAACTCTAGAAAACATTAGTACAGTTCATAGAGAATAAATTGTAAAAGAGAAAACAACATATGTTGCAAGTATAAGAGGCCCTGACAAGCCTAATGGACTACCTATTGCATCATTCTTCGAAAAATTCTATATAGCTTATTGGCACAATGGGTTTGATGTTTAATATTTTAAGGAGATGCCCATCTATTTCCTTTTTTGAAACCTCACAATGACGGTGGTATTCGTATTTCATTCCTTGGGTGTAACTAGGAGGCAAATGCAAATGTAATGTGTATTTTTTTGAAGTTGAAGCCAGCAGGATGTAACCACGATTCAGGATTATTGATTTAAGGTTCTGCCTAAAGTTTGTTTCTGGTTGCTTTGATTATGGACGAATTAACTAGGCACATTTAGGATGAGATTCTATGGTGGGCTTAATTTGTTAATGATGTACTATTAATGCATGAAAGTAATATAGGCATCAATATTTAAGTACAAAATTGAAGAGAAACTTTAGAATTAAAACGATTTAAGTCCAAATAAAATCAGTTATATGGAATGTAATTTTTTGTATAAATGGAGATTGTAAGAGTGAGGTGTAAAGATCGAAGACCAAGAGATACCAAAGAGCAGATGGTCCAGATATTTATGGTCAATTATCCACAATGAGGAGAGACTAGGGATGATGTCACTTTGAATTAAAACAAGATGGAGTAAATGGAGGAATCCATTTGGTAAATTATAACATCGGGAAATACCTCTTAAGCGAAATATGTTTTATGGGACGACCATTAGAGCAACAATGCTTTATGGTACAGAATGTTTAGCAACTAAAACCCATGTTCAAACATTAAGTATGATTGAAATACATATGTTCCTCCATTTGGTAAATTATAACATCGGGAAATACCTCATAAGCGAAAAAGTATGTTTTATGGGACAACCATTATAGCAACAATGCTTTATGGTACAGAATTTTTAGCAACTAAAACTCATGTTCAAACATTAAGTATGATTGAAATACAAATGTTAAGATGAATGTGTGGTAAATCTTGAGAGGATGGAATAAAAATAGATATTTCGATGAAAATGTAGAATTAGTCCCTATAGAAGATAAATGCAGCGGTAATCGAATTGGGTGGTTTGAAAATATTTTATAGTAGTTGTACTGCACTAGTGAGAATGAATTATGTGATACGTATCAGTGGTGATGGTAGAGGTAGATCTAAGTAGAAATTAATTTTGATGGAGGTAGTAAAAATAGACATCTTGCGATTTAACAAAAAATAGGGCCCTTTAGAGAACAATGAAGGAGCATAATTCATGTAGCTGGTCCCAAATGGTTGGGATAAGGCTTTATTGGGCTGAGTAGTGTTGTTAAATGTAGTGGAGCTAGAATTCAGGAAGTGGGTTGGATGGTTTTGGTATTGTCACTTTCCTAAGTAGTGTTTGTGAAAAATTTCTTCAACTTACATTGAAATTTTGTTCAACAAAGATGAAGGCACTTCAGGTCTAAGAGGAATTCGACAAGAACAATGACACATTTGGTTGTAAATTGTTTGTTGCCGCAATAAAATGTTAAAATGGAATTTACTTGGATATTGACTTTTCTAAAAATTTAAAATGTCAAACGAGACTTGGGACTTGGTTGGAATTTTAGGTAGCTTCTAGTTGTTCCGGATTCAGTAGCTTAACCTATCACTACGTAGTCTCCAAGGTGTCATTTATTATCCAGTTAATGATGCAAGGGGCATAGTTGTGCTCTGCCTATATAGTTTTGCAACATCTTAGAATGATCCTACTTTACCCCATAGCTTACTCTGACCATATGTTTTATTTACATTTTTAATTGTCTTCAATAAAATACAGTAATGAAGTCTACATTGTGGATTATGAAATATGTCTAATACTTTCATTTCCCTTTATCTTATGTGATACATCACATCATACTGATATTTTAATAATTTTAGAATGTTAGATCATGATTATCATGCCTTATTTCTTTGCATCTCCAGAATGCTCTAACTGATCCACAACGAGTGCGCACTCCTGCGGTCGCAGAGTACTGGAAACCCTTGGCTGAAGATGTAAGCATTTACCAGAAGTTATCCGAGTTGTATTCCAGCATAAATACATTGTTATGAATTTCCTTTTAATTTTTTCTCTTAATGGAAACAATAATAGAATGTTTATTGCTTATCTCGGACATATATTTACCTGAAAGAGATCTATCTTCTTTTGAAATTACAGATGGACGAATCTGCTGGAATAGATGAAGAATATCACCACAAAAATAACCGGGTTAGCTTTGTCTTTTGCTCTTCTTGTGCTTTGTACTCAATTGTCTTTAGGTCTTTGGTAGACTGCCATTAGGCCTTAGGCTATCTAGCCACCACCTTCTCCAAATTTGAAAATATTAGATTCAATAGATATCCAAATGGCAGTCTGTAATTTGCCCACTTTTTAGAAATGCTGGTGTATCAAATGCAAATGTGAACTATGCATCTTATTCTATGATGATATGTTTTGGATTATATTACTTTTATTGAAAAAGCAAATAATTTTACTTCTGATGCAGGTTTATTGTTGGAAAGGTCTTCGATTTTCAGCCCGACAAGACTTGGAAGGATTTTCGAGAGTAAGATTTATCCTACTTATGAGATGTTAAATTCCTTCAGCAGCAGCTAACTCTCTGTGAAACGAATCTGGTCAACTTTATTGCAGTTTACCGAATATGGTATTGAAGGGGTTGTGCCCCTAGAACTTTTGCCACCTGATGTGCGGTCTAAATATCAAGCTAAACCAAGTGACAGGTCTAAGCGTGCTAAAAAGGAAGAAACAAAAAATGCTGCACAGCAAGCCGAAGAAAATCAGGTACATTGGAAAAGACTTGTTAAGTTTGTGTCATTTGGGACACTATATTCCTGCAAAAGGTTAAGTAAAAAACAAGTAGGATGTAGAACTCTTCTTTTTGTGCCAAATAGAGAGGCGATCCCCTTTTTTTGGTTTTTACTCTCCGAAAAAAGATGGAGAGATTGGGCTTCTCATTTTAAGCCTACAATGAATCCTTGCCTTCGAACTGTTAAATGTGTTCTTTTTTCCTCATATTTATACTTTCTCCTTGATGAAAGTAGTGCAGTTAAATTCTGAGCATCAACAATTACTGCTTGGACTGAAATTTTCAATGGGAACATTTTGGTTGTTCTTATAGTAAGCACAAAAGTGGCTTCCTTAGCAGAGATGTAAATGAAAATAAGGATATGCATTCCTTAATCAGGCCTTAGGAACTGGGATGTGAAAAAAAACTTGCATGCATGAGTTGAGTTCCCAAACTATTATACACTTTTTAGTTTGTGAACAGAAGTGGGCATGCCATTTCATTGGATCACATGGGGCATAGTTTGTCTGTAAGCTAGAGTCAATGGTCTTCAAACAAGTAGTTGTTGTGTGCAAAAGCTTGGTTAAAAATCTGGTGACCAAAACATGCAAAACCTTTACACTCAGTACTTATACATCTGTGCTTAGAAATGGGCATGTCATTTTGCATGGGTTGCTCTGGGCAAAGGTGATTCATAAATTAGCTGGCCACACTATTATTGGGACAAGATTGTCTAAAAATGCCTCAAGTTCTGTTCCACATGAGCAAGGTTGTCCTGAAATGCAAGTTTTGGTNTGTATCAAATGCAAATGTGAACTATGCATCTTATTCTATGATGATATGTTTTGGATTATATTACTTTTATTGAAAAAGCAAATAATTTTACTTCTGATGCAGGTTTATTGTTGGAAAGGTCTTCGATTTTCAGCCCGACAAGACTTGGAAGGATTTTCGAGAGTAAGATTTATCCTACTTATGAGATGTTAAATTCCTTCAGCAGCAGCTAACTCTCTGTGAAACGAATCTGGTCAACTTTATTGCAGTTTACCGAATATGGTATTGAAGGGGTTGTGCCCCTAGAACTTTTGCCACCTGATGTGCGGTCTAAATATCAAGCTAAACCAAGTGACAGGTCTAAGCGTGCTAAAAAGGAAGAAACAAAAAATGCTGCACAGCAAGCCGAAGAAAATCAGGTACATTGGAAAAGACTTGTTAAGTTTGTGTCATTTGGGACACTATATTCCTGCAACAGGTTAAGTAAAAAACAAGTAGGATGTAGAACTCTTCTTTTTGTGCCAAATAGAGAGGCGATCCCCTTTTTTTTGTTTTTACTCTCCGAAAAAAGATGGAGAGATTGGGCTTCTCATTTTAAGCCTACAATGAATCCTTGCCTTCGAACTGTTAAATGTGTTCTTTTTTCCTCATATTTATACTTTCTCCTTGATGAAAGTAGTGCAGTTAAATTCTGAGCATCAACAATTACTGCTTGGACTGAAATTTTCAATGGGAACATTTTGGTTGTTCTTATAGTAAGCACAAAAGTGGCTTCCTTAGCAGAGATGTAAATGAAAATAAGGATATGCATTCCTTAATCAGGCCTTAGGAACTGGGATGTGAAAAAAAACTTGCATGCATGAGTTGAGTTCCCAAACTATTATACACTTTTTAGTTTGTGAACAGAAGTGGGCATGCCATTTCATTGGATCACATGGGGCATAGTTTGTCTGTAAGCTAGAGTCAATGGTCTTCAAACAAGTAGTTGTTGTGTGCAAAAGCTTGGNAAAGTACTAATAGGAGAAATTGTGGATCCATGCCCATATCTTTATGAGACATACCTTGATCCATAATCATACGATGCAATACCATAGCTAGACCCATGATGTTCACTTCCACTTACACTCATACAAGACAAACCATTAATCATATCGAAGCATTTGTTTAGAGTCATGATCCTCATCTTGTGTGACATGTAAATCCTTGCTCTTCTGTGAATACATGTCTATATTCACAAACCAGTAATATGCTTACCACCACCTCCATCTCAAGGAATGTCACCATCTCCATCATCGTCGTCTTTACTCTCGCCATCATTATTGTTACCATCATTATTATGATCATCATCGCTACTTGTAAGAGTGACCAGTTGCTTACGTCTCTGTGGATCACCCAAGCCACACTTGAGCAACATTAGCTAACCCAAAATTCAAAGTCCACTTGACGGTCCAAATAAGTACAAGAAGCAAATCTCTAAACAACTGAAGGAACAATCACCTCTAAACAAGTCTAGGGAAACAATTGATTAGAAAACCAACAACACCCAACATGCAAACTGGTCGAAAAAAATATCCATAGACAGTGGAAGAAGAAGAAACAGTGGTAGCCGTAGCAGAGGCAAAGAACTGTTCTACTGACCCCTAAATTTGTCAAAATCCAACCCAATTCACCTCCAGCTAGTTCGAATCCCAAAATTAGTTGTCAAAGGTGCTTAGTCACACCCCTTTGACCACATTATTACTAGAAATTTTGAAGAGAAACCCTAGAAATCGCACATAAAAGAAAATGAACAAATTTTCTCAAAAATACTCAGAAATTCGAAACACTTACCAAATGAACTTGAAATCGAAAACAAAACACATCATTGGGAAGCCCATGAGAAGTCAATCAATACGGTGGTCTTCATTGTTGCAAACTGATGACGTCAATCGCTAATTTTAACAGATTTTTTTTTTTGGCTTCTATGATGTATTCTTCGTATTTGGGGATCGCAATATGCTCTAATACCATGTATACTTTGATAAAAAAAAGTCAAGAAATAAGAGAGAGAATAGAGAAGAAAAGATAGAATATTATTACGAGACATGAAGTTTGTGCAACATTAAACCTAAAATACACGATAAAGATCCTTATATAGTAGGGTAACATAAAATAAAATAAACTACTAAATTATCTCTAATACTAATTTGCTATATATTTAAATATTTATATGTCCAAAATAGATCTAGAAATTGTCTACAAAGCTTTGACTCAATTATTCCACATAGTTTGTAGTTTTGACTTCTAATCTCTTTTTGAAAATGTGTTAAAAAAATTTCTTGTGTTGGGTGGGGGCAAGAGGGGTCTCTCCCTTAGGGCCCAGGATTTTTTTTTGGTTGTCGGTTTTGGGGGGGCGGGGGGAGGAGGAAAAATCAAATTTCACTAACATTGTAAACTTTGTCACTTTGTCTTTCCCTTGAGACAGTTTACTAACACGATGCATCTCATTTATGCATCCTACATAAATTGGCTAAATTACCGTGTATGGATCTATATTGTCGTGAAACATTCATTAAAATAAATTGGCATTTGGTATGAGAGACAATTGCGATTGTTTTTCTTTGTTTGGCATTGATAATTGCAATTGATGCTAGGCACCGGCTATGGGGTGGTACTAGAGACCAGCATTTTTTGACTTCTAATTTCTTAATCAATTGTAGTCTTATATTGTTGTAGTTTTCGACTTATTATGTTTCAAAGTATCAAAATTCTTGTCTATGTTTATCTTGGTTGGCTTTTGATTTTTTGATTTTTTTTATCCTTTCTTGCAGTAGGCCACGGTGGAGATTGGGTAATAAAGAACTCTTTCAATTGTGGAAATGGGCAGAACAAAATCCGGTGCGTTTTATATCCTTTTGTGAGTTCTTGGTTAGACAACATGTTGGTACTGAAAATTCCCTTGGGGGTTTTGAGGTGTGGTGAATAGGACTTTTGGAAATTTTTTACTCCCTTTTGGTCCTATCATGTTTATAAACTTTCAATATCCAATTATTATTGCTAGTTTGCTTCAATAGATTAGCTCAATATTAGTCACTCAATAGGGTTGCTAATGTAGTTCGAATTTTGAGGAAGAATGATCCTTGACGGACAAGGTGTAGAAACTACTCAAGGTTGACCTTGGTCAACTAGGTTATACCCTGGTTGATTGGCCAGTAAACTGAGGTATGGGACCTGGTTAGAGCCAGTCGACTGTGTCTATTAGGAATGAGCCCAGATGAAATTTTAGCTCAGTTTTGATGATTTAGTACTTAGGCTAAGTGGCTTCTTGGTTACCCGCTTTTGATTAGACATGCTTAAATTACTAAATCAAAGGGTATATTTACGAAGAGAGCTTGTATCCCATGTTGAAAGATTAGGACCACCTAAAGTTGTTTTGTATTGTTGAGGGACCTCTTCAACCATTACTTGTTGGTTTTGTATTGGATTGCTTTAACATGGAATTAAACTTGGGCCTTCTGTGGTTGGTCAAGCCTTTCATCCATTTGAATTTTATGGTAATGCTTGTTTGTTTCAATTTTGTATGTCAGCCCAAAGTTTGAGCCTGGATCACAAGTGAGGAGTGGTGTGAAGATAGCTTGAAGCCCACCTAGAAAGATTAGGACCACCCAAGAATAGATACTTCTCTGCCAATATTGTTTTGGGGTTAGAGGCATCTAACAGTATCAATGTTAGGACTAGGTAGTGTTAGTCTTTTGCTGGTAATGGGGTTTTTCTATGTAACTGATGAACTAGATGTCAAGAATATCAGTAGTACCATATTTAATGAAAAAATTCAACGCTCTCAGTGTCCAGGGGTTGAGCAAAAAGGATGGTAGTTTTTAATTTCCTTTTTTCATACAATATGACGTCTTCTAAATTTATTACCCCAGTATATGGCTTGATTCAATAATTACAGATCATAGTGAAACATTATGCAACTCTAGAAAACATTAGTACAGTTCATAGAGAATAAATTGTAAAAGAGAAAACAACATATGTTGCAAGTATAAGAGGCCCTGACAAGCCTAATGGACTACCTATTGCATCATTCTTCGAAAAATTCTATATAGCTTATTGGCACAATGGGTTTGATGTTTAATATTTTAAGGAGATGCCCATCTATTTCCTTTTTTGAAACCTCACAATGACGGTGGTATTCGTATTTCATTCCTTGGGTGTAACTAGGAGGCAAATGCAAATGTAATGTGTATTTTTTTGAAGTTGAAGCCAGCAGGATGTAACCACGATTCAGGATTATTGATTTAAGGTTCTGCCTAAAGTTTGTTTCTGGTTGCTTTGATTATGGACGAATTAACTAGGCACATTTAGGATGAGATTCTATGGTGGGCTTAATTTGTTAATGATGTACTATTAATGCATGAAAGTAATATAGGCATCAATATTTAAGTACAAAATTGAAGAGAAACTTTAGAATTAAAACGATTTAAGTCCAAATAAAATCAGTTATATGGAATGTAATTTTTTGTATAAATGGAGATTGTAAGAGTGAGGTGTAAAGATCGAAGACCAAGAGATACCAAAGAGCAGATGGTCCAGATATTTATGGTCAATTATCCACAATGAGGAGAGACTAGGGATGATGTCACTTTGAATTAAAACAAGATGGAGTAAATGGAGGAATCCATTTGGTAAATTATAACATCGGGAAATACCTCTTAAGCGAAATATGTTTTATGGGACGACCATTAGAGCAACAATGCTTTATGGTACAGAATGTTTAGCAACTAAAACCCATGTTCAAACATTAAGTATGATTGAAATACATATGTTCCTCCATTTGGTAAATTATAACATCGGGAAATACCTCATAAGCGAAAAAGTATGTTTTATGGGACAACCATTATAGCAACAATGCTTTATGGTACAGAATTTTTAGCAACTAAAACTCATGTTCAAACATTAAGTATGATTGAAATACAAATGTTAAGATGAATGTGTGGTAAATCTTGAGAGGATGGAATAAAAATAGATATTTCGATGAAAACGTAGAATTAGTCCCTATAGAAGATAAATGCAGCGGTAATTGAATTGGGTGGTTTGAAAATATTTTATAGTAGTTGTACTGCACTAGTGAGAATGAATTATGTGATACGTATCAGTGGTGATGGTAGAGGTAGATCTAAGTAGAAATTAATTTTGATGGAGGTAGTAAAAATAGACATCTTGCGATTTAACAAAAAATAGGGCCCTTTAGAGAACAATGAAGGAGCATAATTCATGTAGCTGGTCCCAAATGGTTGGGATAAGGCTTTATTGGGCTGAGTAGTGTTGTTAAATGTAGTGGAGCTAGAATTCAGGAAGTGGGTTGGATGGTTTTGGTATTGTCACTTTCCTAAGTAGTGTTTGTGAAAAATTTCTTCAACTTACATTGAAATTTTGTTCAACAAAGATGAAGGCACTTCAGGTCTAAGAGGAATTCGACAAGAACAATGACACATTTGGTTGTAAATTGTTTGTTGCCGCAATAAAATGTTAAAATGGAATTTACTTGGATATTGACTTTTCTAAAAATTTAAAATGTCAAACGAGACTTGGGACTTGGTTGGAATTTTAGGTAGCTTCTAGTTGTTCCGGATTCAGTAGCTTAACCTATCACTACGTAGTCTCCAAGGTGTCATTTATTATCCAGTTAATGATGCAAGGGGCATAGTTGTGCTCTGCCTATATAGTTTTGCAACATCTTAGAATGATCCTACTTTACCCCATAGCTTACTCTGACCATATGTTTTATTTACATTTTTAATTGTCTTCAATAAAATACAGTAATGAAGTCTACATTGTGGATTATGAAATATGTCTAATACTTTCATTTCCCTTTATCTTACGTGATACATCACATCATACTGATATTTTAATAATTTTAGAATGTTAGATCATGATTATCATGCCTTATTTCTTTGCATCTGCAGAATGCTCTAACTGATCCACAACGAGTGCGCACTCCTGCGGTCGCAGAGTACTGGAAACCCTTGGCTGAAGATGTAAGCATTTACCAGAAGTTATCCGAGTTGTATTCCAGCATAAATACATTGTTATGAATTTCCTTTTAATTTTTTCTCTTAATGGAAACAATAATAAAATGTTTATTGCTTATCTCGGACATATATTTACCTGAAAGAGATCTATCTTCTTTTGAAATTACAGATGGACGAATCTGCTGGAATAGATGAAGAATATCACCACAAAAATAACCGGGTTAGCTTTGTCTTTTGCTCTTCTTGTGCTTTGTACTCAATTGTCTTTAGGTCTTTGGTAGACTGCCATTAGGCCTTAGGCTATCTAGCCACCACCTTCTCCAAATTTGAAAATATTAGATTCAATAGATATCCAAATGGCAGTCTGTAATTTGCCCGCTTTTTAGAAATGCTATTGTATCAAATGCAAATGTGAACTATGCATCTTATTCTATGATGATATGTTTTGGATTATATTACTTTTATTGAAAAAGCAAATAATTTTACTTCTGATGCAGGTTTATTGTTGGAAAGGTCTTCGATTTTCAGCCCGACAAGACTTGGAAGGATTTTCGAGAGTAAGATTTATCCTACTTATGAGATGTTAAATTCCTTCAGCAGCAGCTAACTCTCTGTGAAACGAATCTGGTCAACTTTATTGCAGTTTACCGAATATGGTATTGAAGGGGTTGTGCCCCTAGAACTTTTGCCACCTGATGTGCGGTCTAAATATCAAGCTAAACCAAGTGACAGGTCTAAGCGTGCTAAAAAGGAAGAAACAAAAAATGCTGCACAGCAAGCCGAAGAAAATCAGGTACATTGGAAAAGACTTGTTAAGTTTGTGTCATTTGGGACACTATATTCCTGCAACAGGTTAAGTAAAAAACAAGTAGGATGTAGAACTCTTCTTTTTGTGCCAAATAGAGAGGCGATCCCCTTTTTTTTGTTTTTACTCTCCGAAAAAAGATGGAGAGATTGGGCTTCTCATTTTAAGCCTACAATGAATCCTTGCCTTCGAACTGTTAAATGTGTTCTTTTTTCCTCATATTTATACTTTCTCCTTGATGAAAGTAGTGCAGTTAAATTCTGAGCATCAACAATTACTGCTTGGACTGAAATTTTCAATGGGAACATTTTGGTTGTTCTTATAGTAAGCACAAAAGTGGCTTCCTTAGCAGAGATGTAAATGAAAATAAGGATATGCATTCCTTAATCAGGCCTTAGGAACTGGGATGTGAAAAAAAACTTGCATGCATGAGTTGAGTTCCCAAACTATTATACACTTTTTAGTTTGTGAACAGAAGTGGGCATGCCATTTCATTGGATCACATGGGGCATAGTTTGTCTGTAAGCTAGAGTCAATGGTCTTCAAACAAGTAGTTGTTGTGTGCAAAAGCTTGGTTAAAAATCTGGTGACCAAAACATGCAAAACCTTTACACTCAGTACTTATACATTTGTGCTTAGAAATGGGCATGTCATTTTGCATGGGTTGCTCTGGGCAAAGGTGGTNGGTTAAAAATCTGGTGACCAAAACATGCAAAACCTTTACACTCAGTACTTATACATCTGTGCTTAGAAATGGGCATGTCATTTTGCATGGGTTGCTCTGGGCAAAGGTGATTCATAAATTAGCTGGCCACACTATTATTGGGACAAGATTGTCTAAAAATGCCTCAAGTTCTGTTCCACATGAGCAAGGTTGTCCTGAAATGCAAGTTTTGGTTCCACAAGGAACATGCATGAGCTCGATAAGTCTCATTTTAACTTGTTGAGGAAAGACATGTCTGGGATGGAGTTCTACGTCCTCAGAAACCTTAATTCTGGCTAGGATACATTGAACAACACAAAGCCAGAGAGAAGTCTATTTCAGTTGGATCTCCTTCAAATTCCTTAAGAAAATAAGGTTTTTGTCTAATATCCAAGGGATTTCTTCCAACACTCTTCACATATAAACTATATGGAATTTAAATACTAAAAGGTTGACACTGATATATGTCACATCAGGCCCTTTTGCTCAACTTTAAATGGGTTGGTGAAAAAAGATATGATAGCTTGCAGTTTAAGTGAAAATATAGCTATAGCTCTTGATAGAGCACAATGAAGGAAGAGGATTTACATAGCTGACCCGAAATAGTAGGGATAAGGCTTTTCCATGCTAAATTTTGTTTTCATGGCCTTGACATTAGAAGGACAGGTTTTTAACACTTCACCTTCCAGAACCTTTTTTGACTTGTAATTTGATAAAACTGTTGAATTTCGGTGGTCAAAGTTGGATCGACACTATTAGTGTTCAGAGTCAGTTGTTAATTATGCCTCAGGTTTTTTTTCTTAATTCACGACTGCTGGGGTCGGATTTTATTATCCTAAAAAATGACCAGCAGTGTAGTAAGGTGGTGTTATATTTTTATTCTTGTTGCTGATTCTATTGTTTCCTGTAAGAGAAATCCTAAGGCCATAGGTTTTCCAGTTTTCTCATTCTTTCTTTTTTCTCCACTTTTCATTTGTTCTTTTCTTGTTTTGGCAAAGACTGCTACACCTGCTAGTGAAATTGATGGCGATGGAACAAGAGCTGATCTTGAAACTGCAGCAGCTCCTGTGGACGCTGATGCCACAATAGCAACTGTCAATACCTACCAGGGTGGAACTCCAACATCAGAGGAGCATCAGAAGCTAAGCTCAGACACAGACATTGGTCAAGAGACAGGCCAAATAGAAGCAGATGCAGATATCGGTATGATAGATGGAGAGACTGATGCGGAGGTTGATTTAGATGCAGTAGGCTGAGACTAGCAACTGCCTGTTCATATCAACCGGATAGAGCTCCAATCTCGTAACCAAAGAATGGGCAAAATTAATCTTAATTTGCAGACTCATTAGNAAATAGAAGCAGATGCAGATATCGGTATGATAGATGGAGAGACTGATGCGGAGGTTGATTTAGATGCAGTAGGCTGAGACTAGCAACTGCCTGTTCATATCGACCGGATAGAGCTCCAATCTCGTAACCAAAGAATGGGCAAAATTAATCTTAATTTGCAGACTCATTAGTGTAATTGCTCTACATTCTCTTGGAATTTCGAGTAGTGTCTAAGTTGTAACTTATTTGATGATGCTTGGACTGTGACCCCAATTTGTGGCGTCATGTGNTTTTTGAAAATGTGTTAAAAAAATTTCTTGTGTTGGGTGGGGGCAAGAGGGGTCTCTCCCTTAGGGCCCAGGATTTTTTTTTGGTTGTCGGTTTTGGGGGGGCGGGGGGAGGAGGAAAAATCAAATTTCACTAACATTGTAAACTTTGTCACTTTGTCTTTCCCTTGAGACAGTTTACTAACACGATGCATCTCATTTATGCATCCTACATAAATTGGCTAAATTACCGTGTATGGATCTATATTGTCGTGAAACATTCATTAAAATAAATTGGCATTTGGTATGAGAGACAATTGCGATTGTTTTTCTTTGTTTGGCATTGATAATTGCAATTGATGCTAGGCACCGGCTATGGGGTGGTACTAGAGACCAGCATTTTTTGACTTCTAATTTCTTAATCAATTGTAGTCTTATATTGTTGTAGTTTTCGACTTATTATGTTTCAAAGTATCAAAATTCTTGTCTATGTTTATCTTGGTTGGCTTTTGATTTTTTGATTTTTTTTATCCTTTCTTGCAGTAGGCCACGGTGGAGATTGGGTAATAAAGAACTCTTTCAATTGTGGAAATGGGCAGAACAAAATCCGGTGCGTTTTATATCCTTTTGTGAGTTCTTGGTTAGACAACATGTTGGTACTGAAAATTCCCTTGGGGGTTTTGAGGTGTGGTGAATAGGACTTTTGGAAATTTTTTACTCCCTTTTGGTCCTATCATGTTTATAAACTTTCAATATCCAATTATTATTGCTAGTTTGCTTCAATAGATTAGCTCAATATTAGTCACTCAATAGGGTTGCTAATGTAGTTCGAATTTTGAGGAAGAATGATCCTTGACGGACAAGGTGTAGAAACTACTCAAGGTTGACCTTGGTCAACTAGGTTATACCCTGGTTGATTGGCCAGTAAACTGAGGTATGGGACCTGGTTAGAGCCAGTCGACTGTGTCTATTAGGAATGAGCCCAGATGAAATTTTAGCTCAGTTTTGATGATTTAGTACTTAGGCTAAGTGGCTTCTTGGTTACCCGCTTTTGATTAGACATGCTTAAATTACTAAATCAAAGGGTATATTTACGAAGAGAGCTTGTATCCCATGTTGAAAGATTAGGACCACCTAAAGTTGTTTTGTATTGTTGAGGGACCTCTTCAACCATTACTTGTTGGTTTTGTATTGGATTGCTTTAACATGGAATTAAACTTGGGCCTTCTGTGGTTGGTCAAGCCTTTCATCCATTTGAATTTTATGGTAATGCTTGTTTGTTTCAATTTTGTATGTCAGCCCAAAGTTTGAGCCTGGATCACAAGTGAGGAGTGGTGTGAAGATAGCTTGAAGCCCACCTAGAAAGATTAGGACCACCCAAGAATAGATACTTCTCTGCCAATATTGTTTTGGGGTTAGAGGCATCTAACAGTATCAATGTTAGGACTAGGTAGTGTTAGTCTTTTGCTGGTAATGGGGTTTTTCTATGTAACTGATGAACTAGATGTCAAGAATATCAGTAGTACCATATTTAATGAAAAAATTCAACGCTCTCAGTGTCCAGGGGTTGAGCAAAAAGGATGGTAGTTTTTAATTTCCTTTTTTCATACAATATGACGTCTTCTAAATTTATTACCCCAGTATATGGCTTGATTCAATAATTACAGATCATAGTGAAACATTATGCAACTCTAGAAAACATTAGTACAGTTCATAGAGAATAAATTGTAAAAGAGAAAACAACATATGTTGCAAGTATAAGAGGCCCTGACAAGCCTAATGGACTACCTATTGCATCATTCTTCGAAAAATTCTATATAGCTTATTGGCACAATGGGTTTGATGTTTAATATTTTAAGGAGATGCCCATCTATTTCCTTTTTTGAAACCTCACAATGACGGTGGTATTCGTATTTCATTCCTTGGGTGTAACTAGGAGGCAAATGCAAATGTAATGTGTATTTTTTTGAAGTTGAAGCCAGCAGGATGTAACCACGATTCAGGATTATTGATTTAAGGTTCTGCCTAAAGTTTGTTTCTGGTTGCTTTGATTATGGACGAATTAACTAGGCACATTTAGGATGAGATTCTATGGTGGGCTTAATTTGTTAATGATGTACTATTAATGCATGAAAGTAATATAGGCATCAATATTTAAGTACAAAATTGAAGAGAAACTTTAGAATTAAAACGATTTAAGTCCAAATAAAATCAGTTATATGGAATGTAATTTTTTGTATAAATGGAGATTGTAAGAGTGAGGTGTAAAGATCGAAGACCAAGAGATACCAAAGAGCAGATGGTCCAGATATTTATGGTCAATTATCCACAATGAGGAGAGACTAGGGATGATGTCACTTTGAATTAAAACAAGATGGAGTAAATGGAGGAATCCATTTGGTAAATTATAACATCGGGAAATACCTCTTAAGCGAAATATGTTTTATGGGACGACCATTAGAGCAACAATGCTTTATGGTACAGAATGTTTAGCAACTAAAACCCATGTTCAAACATTAAGTATGATTGAAATACATATGTTCCTCCATTTGGTAAATTATAACATCGGGAAATACCTCATAAGCGAAAAAGTATGTTTTATGGGACAACCATTATAGCAACAATGCTTTATGGTACAGAATTTTTAGCAACTAAAACTCATGTTCAAACATTAAGTATGATTGAAATACAAATGTTAAGATGAATGTGTGGTAAATCTTGAGAGGATGGAATAAAAATAGATATTTCGATGAAAATGTAGAATTAGTCCCTATAGAAGATAAATGCAGCGGTAATCGAATTGGGTGGTTTGAAAATATTTTATAGTAGTTGTACTGCACTAGTGAGAATGAATTATGTGATACGTATCAGTGGTGATGGTAGAGGTAGATCTAAGTAGAAATTAATTTTGATGGAGGTAGTAAAAATAGACATCTTGCGATTTAACAAAAAATAGGGCCCTTTAGAGAACAATGAAGGAGCATAATTCATGTAGCTGGTCCCAAATGGTTGGGATAAGGCTTTATTGGGCTGAGTAGTGTTGTTAAATGTAGTGGAGCTAGAATTCAGGAAGTGGGTTGGATGGTTTTGGTATTGTCACTTTCCTAAGTAGTGTTTGTGAAAAATTTCTTCAACTTACATTGAAATTTTGTTCAACAAAGATGAAGGCACTTCAGGTCTAAGAGGAATTCGACAAGAACAATGACACATTTGGTTGTAAATTGTTTGTTGCCGCAATAAAATGTTAAAATGGAATTTACTTGGATATTGACTTTTCTAAAAATTTAAAATGTCAAACGAGACTTGGGACTTGGTTGGAATTTTAGGTAGCTTCTAGTTGTTCCGGATTCAGTAGCTTAACCTATCACTACGTAGTCTCCAAGGTGTCATTTATTATCCAGTTAATGATGCAAGGGGCATAGTTGTGCTCTGCCTATATAGTTTTGCAACATCTTAGAATGATCCTACTTTACCCCATAGCTTACTCTGACCATATGTTTTATTTACATTTTTAATTGTCTTCAATAAAATACAGTAATGAAGTCTACATTGTGGATTATGAAATATGTCTAATACTTTCATTTCCCTTTATCTTACGTGATACATCACATCATACTGATATTTTAATAATTTTAGAATGTTAGATCATGATTATCATGCCTTATTTCTTTGCATCTGCAGAATGCTCTAACTGATCCACAACGAGTGCGCACTCCTGCGGTCGCAGAGTACTGGAAACCCTTGGCTGAAGATGTAAGCATTTACCAGAAGTTATCCGAGTTGTATTCCAGCATAAATACATTGTTATGAATTTCCTTTTAATTTTTTCTCTTAATGGAAACAATAATAGAATGTTTATTGCTTATCTCGGACATATATTTACCTGAAAGAGATCTATCTTCTTTTGAAATTACAGATGGACGAATCTGCTGGAATAGATGAAGAATATCACCACAAAAATAACCGGGTTAGCTTTGTCTTTTGCTCTTCTTGTGCTTTGTACTCAATTGTCTTTAGGTCTTTGGTAGACTGCCGTTAGGCCTTAGGCTATCTAGCCACCACCTTCTCCAAATTTGAAAATATTAGATTCAATAGATATCCAAATGGCAGTCTGTAATTTGCCCACTTTTTAGAAATGCTGGTGTATCAAATGCAAATGTGAACTATGCATCTTATTCTATGATGATATGTTTTGGATTATATTACTTTTATTGAAAAAGCAAATAATTTTACTTCTGATGCAGGTTTATTGTTGGAAAGGTCTTCGATTTTCAGCCCGACAAGACTTGGAAGGATTTTCGAGAGTAAGATTTATCCTACTTATGAGATGTTAAATTCCTTCAGCAGCAGCTAACTCTCTGTGAAACGAATCTGGTCAACTTTATTGCAGTTTACCGAATATGGTATTGAAGGGGTTGTGCCCCTAGAACTTTTGCCACCTGATGTGCGGTCTAAATATCAAGCTAAACCAAGTGACAGGTCTAAGCGTGCTAAAAAGGAAGAAACAAAAAATGCTGCACAGCAAGCCGAAGAAAATCAGGTACATTGGAAAAGACTTGTTAAGTTTGTGTCATTTGGGACACTATATTCCTGCAACAGGTTAAGTAAAAAACAAGTAGGATGTAGAACTCTTCTTTTTGTGCCAAATAGAGAGGCGATCCCCTTTTTTTTGTTTTTACTCTCCGAAAAAAGATGGAGAGATTGGGCTTCTCATTTTAAGCCTACAATGAATCCTTGCCTTCGAACTGTTAAATGTGTTCTTTTTTCCTCATATTTATACTTTCTCCTTGATGAAAGTAGTGCAGTTAAATTCTGAGCATCAACAATTACTGCTTGGACTGAAATTTTCAATGGGAACATTTTGGTTGTTCTTATAGTAAGCACAAAAGTGGCTTCCTTAGCAGAGATGTAAATGAAAATAAGGATATGCATTCCTTAATCAGGCCTTAGGAACTGGGATGTGAAAAAAAACTTGCATGCATGAGTTGAGTTCCCAAACTATTATACACTTTTTAGTTTGTGAACAGAAGTGGGCATGCCATTTCATTGGATCACATGGGGCATAGTTTGTCTGTAAGCTAGAGTCAATGGTCTTCAAACAAGTAGTTGTTGTGTGCAAAAGCTTGGTTAAAAATCTGGTGACCAAAACATGCAAAACCTTTACACTCAGTACTTATACATCTGTGCTTAGAAATGGGCATGTCATTTTGCATGGGTTGCTCTGGGCAAAGGTGATTCATAAATTAGCTGGCCACACTATTATTGGGACAAGATTGTCTAAAAATGCCTCAAGTTCTGTTCCACATGAGCAAGGTTGTCCTGAAATGCAAGTTTTGGTTCCACAAGGAACATGCATGAGCTCGATAAGTCTCATTTTAACTTGTTGAGGAAAGACATGTCTGGGATGGAGTTCTACGTCCTCAGAAACCTTAATTCTGGCTAGGATACATTGAACAACACAAAGCCAGAGAGAAGTCTATTTCAGTTGGATCTCCTTCAAATTCCTTAAGAAAATAAGGTTTTTGTCTAATATCCAAGGGATTTCTTCCAACACTCTTCACATATAAACTATATGGAATTTAAATACTAAAAGGTTGACACTGATATATGTCACATCAGGCCCTTTTGCTCAACTTTAAATGGGTTGGTGAAAAAAGATACGATAGCTTGCAGTTTAAGTGAAAATATAGCTATAGCTCTTGATAGAGCACAATGAAGGAAGAGGATTTACATAGCTGACCCGAAATAGTAGGGATAAGGCTTTTCCATGCTAAATTTTGTTTTCATGGCCTTGACATTAGAAGGACAGGTTTTTAACACTTCACCTTCCAGAACCTTTTTTGACTTGTAATTTGATAAAACTGTTGAATTTCGGTGGTCAAAGTTGGATCGACACTATTAGTGTTCAGAGTCAGTTGTTAATTATGCCTCAGGTTTTTTTTCTTAATTCACGACTGCTGGGGTCGGATTTTATTATCCTAAAAAATGACCAGCAGTGTAGTAAGGTGGTGTTATATTTTTATTCTTGTTGCTGATTCTATTGTTTCCTGTAAGAGAAATCCTAAGGCCATAGGTTTTCCAGTTTTCTCATTCTTTCTTTTTTCTCCACTTTTCATTTGTTCTTTTCTTGTTTTGGCAAAGACTGCTACACCTGCTAGTGAAATTGATGGCGATGGAACAAGAGCTGATCTTGAAACTGCAGCAGCTCCTGTGGACGCTGATGCCACAATAGCAACTGTCAATACCTACCAGGGTGGAACTCCAACATCAGAGGAGCATCAGAAGCTTAGCTCAGACACAGACATTGGTCAAGAGACAGGCCAAATAGAAGCAGATGCAGATATCGGTATGATAGATGGAGAGACTGATGCGGAGGTTGATTTAGATGCAGTAGGCTGAGACTAGCAACTGCCTGTTCATATCAACCGGATAGAGCTCCAATCTCGTAACCAAAGAATGGGCAAAATTAATCTTAATTTGCAGACTCATTAGTGTAATTGCTCTACATTCTCTTGGAATTTCGAGTAGTGTCTAAGTTGTAACTTATTTGATGATGCTTGGACTGTGACCCCAATTTGTGGCGTCATGTGCCGAGTTATTTTTGTCCTCATAAATCTTTCTGTTGATAATTCAATGGCTCAATATGAGTGTAGCAAGCAAAAATCACAATTTCTTTTTGAAAAATTATTGAGTACGTTGTGTTGAAAATCTTTGAAGGACGAATATAGCTTAAACTGCTTGTGTAATCTGTACTGCCTATCTCCCAATGCTGCCTGCTGAATCAATGGATGGTCAGGCTGGCATAGGTTAAGGCAGTTAACATGCCCATGCCTTGTGGTATTGAATCTCTGTCATCTTACTGTAAAGGGATAGCCCTGTANTGCCGAGTTATTTTTGTCCTCATAAATCTTTCTGTTGATAATTCAATGGCTCAATACGAGTGTAGCAAGCAAAAATCACAATTTCTTTTTGAAAAATTATTGAAGGACGAATATAGCTTAAACTGCTTGTGTAATGTGTACTGCCTATCTCCCAATGCTGCCTGCTGAATCAATGGATGGTCAGGCTGGCATAGGTTAAGGCAGTTAACATGCCCATGCCTTGTGGTATTGAATCTCTGTCATCTTACTGTAAAGGGATAGCCCTGTAGATTCATTCTCATGGTTCAATCCTTCCCAATAAAATGTGGCGTGTTCAAATTTTTATCACTTTTACATGAGAAAGGGGGACCACAATGACTGATAGAGTTCAAGTTTTACTCACAAAAAGGTATTAAAATCCTTGTTTCACAGCCCAATTTACCAACATGTCTAAATCTTCTGGAAAAAAAAAATAAAAAAATACTCTCGTCACCTTATAAATTNTAGATTCATTCTCATGGTTCAATCCTTCCCAATAAAATGTGGCGTGTTCAAATTTTGATCACTTTTACGTGAGAAAGGGGGACTACAATGACTGATAGACTTCAAGTTTTACTCACAAAAAGGTATTAAAATCCTTGTTCCACAGCCCAATTTACCAACATGTCTAAATCTTCTACGTGAGTAAATGCTGGACTTTATCCAAATCTTCTGGAAAAAAAAAATAAAAAATTACTCTCGTCACCTTATAAAATATAAATGCAAACTTCTTCATTGAAAGTTTTGGTGGCCTAATTAGGGTATAGAATAATGTGGTATCTAGACAACTCATCATTTAGGGATAACATGAAGCACATTAACTTTTTTCAGGGGAATGTCCCACAAGGTTTCCAGCAAATCTGGCTGAAGAGATCCCAGACTTTCGTAGGCAACAAAATACATTCTTCTGTCACCCAGCCGTGTCCACATTAGGCACATCTAGGTCGATCAATTGCCTTAGAACATCATTCACTTAATGCCACTAACAACAGAAAAATCAACACCACAAATCAACATAAATATAGAATGGATAGTTTAAATGAGCTTACAGTCATAGCAAAGTCCAACAGTATCTCCCTTTGTAGCTGGCTGCATAACTACAGTTAAATACCAGATTAACCAAGACCCTTCTAACCATATCTCAATACTAGGTAAACTTCAAAATTACAAACAACTCATAAACCTTCTACAATCCCACAGAGTGACCAACTACTCCAACTCTAATGGTTTGCAGAAATTTTCCACATAACAGTCATGCCTTCTGCAATCAAAGCATTACAAGAAAGATAAAAATTTCAAAGCCAATAATAAAGTTAAAAAACCCAACACTATGCTAGTTTGCATATCTAATGAGGTTCATCTTACCTGCATTGGCAGGTACAATTTGAATTCTGGTGGGAGTTCCTCCTCTGAATAAAGGCGATCAGAGAAATATATCCTTCTCAGTCGACAGTTTGCATGGACTTGAACTCGCAAGGTCTCTACATAGTTTGTCCCATAAGCTCGTCTGGTATAATCAGCAAGATTAAGCTGGATTTGATTCCATCCTTCATCCATCTTCAAGGGCATGGTGCATATATATGGTTTCACCCGTGTCACAGCCTGTAACAGACAAGTGATTTTCTTTGGTCAAGACATTTATACTTGAATGTCAGCTAGTCACCTCAACGTTGATCTAAATAATGCATCATCAAGCCATGATTTGAAGGCCACAAAATATTGTTCTGCTACTACTAAGGTCATTAGCATGTCAAATATCCGTTTCTTGCAGTAATAGATGCATCCCAATCCTGTTACATCCTACCCTCCCATTCTAAATCAACTATACCACAATTCAAAGAATGTAGTGAAATTATAGCAATTGCACAAATACAACAATGGCAATGACATGATGTTTACTTCCAATGGTGTTTTTTCTTTTTCTTTTTATTTGTCCCTCTTATCCAGCAATTTCTTTTTTAAAAACCTTCTATTGGAATTTTTTTTGTTTTGTGTGGGTGGGGGGTGGGGGCTGGACGCAGCTATAGAAAANTTTTTTAAAAACCTTCTATTGGAATTTTTTTTGTTTTGTGTGGGTGGGGGGTGGGGGCTGGACGCAGCTAGGTGGGTAGGTGAGGTGGGGTTAGTGAGACTGAGCTCATTAGCCAACACAAGAACATGGATTTGCCTCTTACAACAATAAAAAGAAATCAGAACACAAGAGAGAAGCTCTCCTTTCAGTCCTACGCACTATAGAATAACATGTAAAACATATAACAGAATGTCATATCTCCCATAAAAAATCACCATGTACAGATGTAAGGATGTGTGTTGTTGCATAAGGTACACCTAATCCTTGCCACTCACGGCACAACAAATTAAAGCTCTTTGCATAAGCACTAGTTTTATACAGAGGTCTTCGTAACACACATGCACACATATATATGGACACACAATAATTCCCAATTTAGACTCTATTAATAGGGGGCTGGGGGGATAGAGTTGACACAGAACTAAACTTTGGCATTTTTTGTACAAAGTGACTCTGCCCTCAAGTTCGAACCCACCACCTCAAGGTTATTGAGCCAAATTTTAGCCACTGGTTCAGTGGCCCCCGATACAAGTAACATGTCTACATATACATACACACACACACACACACACATATATTTCAGGTGGCACATGAAGCAAAACACATATCATCTCTTCAAGACTAGTATCCAATCAAAGACTATAATTACTCACTGAAGCATTCTCTGAAGCACACAGAAGTCAAGGAAAAANCTATAGAAAAACATGTAAAACATATAACAGAATGTCATATCTCCCATAAAAAATCACCATGTACAGATGTAAGGATGTGTGTTGTTGCATAAGGTACACCTAATCCTTGCCACTCACGGCACAACAAATTAAAGCTCTTTGCATAAGCACTAGTTTTATACAGAGGTCTTCGTAACACACATGCACACATATATATGGACACACACAATAATTCCCAATTTAGACTCTATTAATAGGGGGCTGGGGGGGATAGAGTTGACACAGAACTAAACTTTGGCATTTTTTGTACAAAGTGACTCTGCCCTCAAGTTCGAACCCACCACCTCAAGGTTATTGAGCCAAATTTTAGCCACTGGTTCAGTGGCCCCCGATACAAGTAACATGTCTACATATACACACACACACACACACACACATATATTTCAGGTGGCACATGAAGCAAAACACATTACTTANTTTTGTACAAAGTGACTCTGCCCTCAAGTTCGAACCCACCACCTCAAGGTTATTGACCCAAATTTTAGCCACTGGTTCAGTGGCCCCCGATACAAGTAACATGTCTACATATACATACACACACACACACACACACATATATTTCAGGTGGCACATGANAAGTCTACATTGTGGATTATGAAATATGTCTAATACTTTCATTTCCCTTTATCTTACGTGATACATCACATCATACTGATATTTTAATAATTTTAGAATGTTAGATCATGATTATCATGCCTTATTTCTTTGCATCTGCNAAGTCTACATTGTGGATTATGAAATATGTCTAATACTTTCATTTCCCTTTATCTTATGTGATACATCACATCATACTGATATTTTAATAATTTTAGAATGTTAGATCATGATTATCATGCCTTATTTCTTTGCATCTGCAGAATGCTCTAACTGATCCACAACGAGTGCGCACTCCTGCGGTCGCAGAGTACTGGAAACCCTTGGCTGAAGATGTAAGCATTTACCAGAAGTTATCCGAGTTGTATTCCAGCATAAATACATTGTTATGAATTTCCTTTTAATTTTTTCTCTTAATGGAAACAATAATAAAATGTTTATTGCTTATCTCGGACATATATTTACCTGAAAGAGATCTATCTTCTTTTGAAATTACAGATGGACGAATCTGCTGGAATAGATGAAGAATATCACCACAAAAATAACCGGGTTAGCTTTGTCTTTTGCTCTTCTTGTGCTTTGTACTCAATTGTCTTTAGGTCTTTGGTAGACTGCCATTAGGCCTTAGGCTATCTAGCCACCACCTTCTCCAAATTTGAAAATATTAGATTCAATAGATATCCAAATGGCAGTCTGTAATTTGCCCACTTTTTAGAAATGCTGGTNCAAATTTGAAAATATTAGATTCAATAGATATCCAAATGGCAGTCTGTAATTTGCCCGCTTTTTAGAAATGCTATTGTATCAAATGCAAATGTGAACTATGCATCTTATTCTATGATGATATGTTTTGGATTATATTACTTTTATTGAAAAAGCAAATAATTTTACTTCTGATGCAGGTTTATTGTTGGAAAGGTCTTCGATTTTCAGCCCGACAAGACTTGGAAGGATTTTCGAGAGTAAGATTTATCCTACTTATGAGATGTTAAATTCCTTCAGCAGCAGCTAACTCTCTGTGAAACGAATCTGGTCAACTTTATTGCAGTTTACCGAATATGGTATTGAAGGGGTTGTGCCCCTAGAACTTTTGCCACCTGATGTGCGGTCTAAATATCAAGCTAAACCAAGTGACAGGTCTAAGCGTGCTAAAAAGGAAGAAACAAAAAATGCTGCACAGCAAGCCGAAGAAAATCAGGTACATTGGAAAAGACTTGTTAAGTTTGTGTCATTTGGGACACTATATTCCTGCAACAGGTTAAGTAAAAAACAAGTAGGATGTAGAACTCTTCTTTTTGTGCCAAATAGAGAGGCGATCCCCTTTTTTTTGTTTTTACTCTCCGAAAAAAGATGGAGAGATTGGGCTTCTCATTTTAAGCCTACAATGAATCCTTGCCTTCGAACTGTTAAATGTGTTCTTTTTTCCTCATATTTATACTTTCTCCTTGATGAAAGTAGTGCAGTTAAATTCTGAGCATCAACAATTACTGCTTGGACTGAAATTTTCAATGGGAACATTTTGGTTGTTCTTATAGTAAGCACAAAAGTGGCTTCCTTAGCAGAGATGTAAATGAAAATAAGGATATGCATTCCTTAATCAGGCCTTAGGAACTGGGATGTGAAAAAAAACTTGCATGCATGAGTTGAGTTCCCAAACTATTATACACTTTTTAGTTTGTGAACAGAAGTGGGCATGCCATTTCATTGGATCACATGGGGCATAGTTTGTCTGTAAGCTAGAGTCAATGGTCTTCAAACAAGTAGTTGTTGTGTGCAAAAGCTTGGTTAAAAATCTGGTGACCAAAACATGCAAAACCTTTACACTCAGTACTTATACATCTGTGCTTAGAAATGGGCATGTCATTTTGCATGGGTTGCTCTGGGCAAAGGTGATTCATAAATTAGCTGGCCACACTATTATTGGGACAAGATTGTCTAAAAATGCCTCAAGTTCTGTTCCACATGAGCAAGGTTGTCCTGAAATGCAAGTTTTGGTTCCACAAGGAACATGCATGAGCTCGATAAGTCTCATTTTAACTTGTTGAGGAAAGACATGTCTGGGATGGAGTTCTACGTCCTCAGAAACCTTAATTCTGGCTAGGATACATTGAACAACACAAAGCCAGAGAGAAGTCTATTTCAGTTGGATCTCCTTCAAATTCCTTAAGAAAATAAGGTTTTTGTCTAATATCCAAGGGATTTCTTCCAACACTCTTCACATATAAACTATATGGAATTTAAATACTAAAAGGTTGACACTGATATATGTCACATCAGGCCCTTTTGCTCAACTTTAAATGGGTTGGTGAAAAAAGATACGATAGCTTGCAGTTTAAGTGAAAATATAGCTATAGCTCTTGATAGAGCACAATGAAGGAAGAGGATTTACATAGCTGACCCGAAATAGTAGGGATAAGGCTTTTCCATGCTAAATTTTGTTTTCATGGCCTTGACATTAGAAGGACAGGTTTTTAACACTTCACCTTCCAGAACCTTTTTTGACTTGTAATTTGATAAAACTGTTGAATTTCGGTGGTCAAAGTTGGATCGACACTATTAGTGTTCAGAGTCAGTTGTTAATTATGCCTCAGGTTTTTTTTCTTAATTCACGACTGCTGGGGTCGGATTTTATTATCCTAAAAAATGACCAGCAGTGTAGTAAGGTGGTGTTATATTTTTATTCTTGTTGCTGATTCTATTGTTTCCTGTAAGAGAAATCCTAAGGCCATAGGTTTTCCAGTTTTCTCATTCTTTCTTTTTTCTCCACTTTTCATTTGTTCTTTTCTTGTTTTGGCAAAGACTGCTACACCTGCTAGTGAAATTGATGGCGATGGAACAAGAGCTGATCTTGAAACTGCAGCAGCTCCTGTGGACGCTGATGCCACAATAGCAACTGTCAATACCTACCAGGGTGGAACTCCAACATCAGAGGAGCATCAGAAGCTTAGCTCAGACACAGACATTGGTCAAGAGACAGGCCAAATAGAAGCAGATGCAGATATCGGTATGATAGATGGAGAGACTGATGCGGAGGTTGATTTAGATGCAGTAGGCTGAGACTAGCAACTGCCTGTTCATATCAACCGGATAGAGCTCCAATCTCGTAACCAAAGAATGGGCAAAATTAATCTTAATTTGCAGACTCATTAGTGTAATTGCTCTACATTCTCTTGGAATTTCGAGTAGTGTCTAAGTTGTAACTTATTTGATGATGCTTGGACTGTGACCCCAATTTGTGGCGTCATGTGCCGAGTTATTTTTGTCCTCATAAATCTTTCTGTTGATAATTCAATGGCTCAATACGAGTGTAGCAAGCAAAAATCACAATTTCTTTTTGAAAAATTATTGAAGGACGAATATAGCTTAAACTGCTTGTGTAATGTGTACTGCCTATCTCCCAATGCTGCCTGCTGAATCAATGGATGGTCAGGCTGGCATAGGTTAAGGCAGTTAACATGTCCATGCCTTGTGGTATTGAATCTCTGTCATCTTACTGTAAAGGGATAGCCCTGTAGATTCATTCTCATGGTTCAATCCTTCCCAATAAAATGTGGCGTGTTCAAATTTTGATCACTTTTACGTGAGAAAGGGGGACTACAATGACTGATAGACTTCAAGTTTTACTCACAAAAAGGTATTAAAATCCTTGTTCCACAGCCCAATTTACCAACATGTCTAAATCTTCTACGTGAGTAAATGCTGGACTTTATCCAAATCTTCTGGAAAAAAAAAATAAAAAATTACTCTCGTCACCTTATAAAATATAAATGCAAACTTCTTCATTGAAAGTTTTGGTGGCCTAATTAGGGTATAGAATAATGTGGTATCTAGACAACTCATCATTTAGGGATAACATGAAGCACATTAACTTTTTTCAGGGGAATGTCCCACAAGGTTTCCAGCAAATCTGGCTGAAGAGATCCCAGACTTTCGTAGGCAACAAAATACATTCTTCTGTCACCCAGCCGTGTCCACATTAGGCACATCTAGGTCGATCAATTGCCTTAGAACATCATTCACTTAATGCCACTAACAACAGAAAAATCAACACCACAAATCAACATAAATATAGAATGGATAGTTTAAATGAGCTTACAGTCATAGCAAAGTCCAACAGTATCTCCCTTTGTAGCTGGCTGCATAACTACAGTTAAATACCAGATTAACCAAGACCCTTCTAAACATATCTCAATACTAGGTAAACTTCAAAATTACAAACAACTCATAAACCTTCTACAATCCCACAGAGTGACCAACTACTCCAACTCTAATGGTTTGCAGAAATTTTCCACATAACAGTCATGCCTTCTGCAATCAAAGCATTACAAGAAAGATAAAAATTTCAAAGCCAATAATAAAGTTAAAAAACCCAACACTATGCTAGTTTGCATATCTAATGAGGTTCATCTTACCTGCATTGGCAGGTACAATTTGAATTCTGGTGGGAGTTCCTCCTCTGAATAAAGGCGATCAGAGAAATATATCCTTCTCAGTCGACAGTTTGCATGGACTTGAACTCGCAAGGTCTCTACATAGTTTGTCCCATAAGCTCGTCTGGTATAATCAGCAAGATTAAGCTGGATTTGATTCCATCCTTCATCCATCTTCAAGGGCATGGTGCATATATATGGTTTCACCCGTGTCACAGCCTGTAACAGACAAGTGATTTTCTTTGGTCAAGACATTTATACTTGAATGTCAGCTAGTCACCTCAACGTTGATCTAAATAATGCATCATCAAGCCATGATTTGAAGGCCACAAAATATTGTTCTGCTACTACTAAGGTCATTAGCATGTCAAATATCCGTTTCTTGCAGTAATAGATGCATCCCAATCCTGTTACATCCTACCCTCCCATTCTAAATCAACTATACCACAATTCAAAGAATGTAGTGAAATTATAGCAATTGCACAAATACAACAATGGCAATGACATGATGTTTACTTCCAATGGTGTTTTTTCTTTTTCTTTTTATTTGTCCCTCTTATCCAGCAATTTCTTTTTTAAAAACCTTCTATTGGAATTTTTTTTGTTTTGTGTGGGTGGGGGGTGGGGGCTGGACGCAGCTAGGTGGGTAGGTGAGGTGGGGTTAGTGAGACTGAGCTCATTAGCCAACACAAGAACATGGATTTGCCTCTTACAACAATAAAAAGAAATCAGAACACAAGAGAGAAGCTCTCCTTTCAGTCCTACGCACTATAGAATAACATGTAAAACATATAACAGAATGTCATATCTCCCATAAAAAATCACCATGTACAGATGTAAGGATGTGTGTTGTTGCATAAGGTACACCTAATCCTTGCCACTCACGGCACAACAAATTAAAGCTCTTTGCATAAGCACTAGTTTTATACAGAGGTCTTCGTAACACACATGCACACATATATATGGACACACAATAATTCCCAATTTAGACTCTATTAATAGGGGGCTGGGGGGATAGAGTTGACACAGAACTAAACTTTGGCATTTTTTGTACAAAGTGACTCTGCCCTCAAGTTCGAACCCACCACCTCAAGGTTATTGACCCAAATTTTAGCCACTGGTTCAGTGGCCCCCGATACAAGTAACATGTCTACATATACATACACACACACACACACACACATATATTTCAGGTGGCACATGAAGCAAAACACATATCATCTCTTCAAGACTAGTATCCAATCAAAGACTATAATTACTCACTGAAGCATTCTCTGAAGCACACAGAAGTCAAGGAAAAATATAAGTAAATACACAAGACTACAAGAGCGTAACCATGGGGCAGACTTACACACTTGAAAATTAGAAGCTCGGAAACGTCGCCTGACATTCTTATCATCCAGCACCTGGATCTCAAATGTAAAGTATTTCTTTAGATTTTTCACAATGATAACCAAGAACGGTAGCTTTATACCAAGGGTTGCAGCTGGGTCTGCTGGGCTTGTAATGTATGTTGACTGAGCATTTGATCCAACAATCTCGAGGACATTAGATTGTATATCTTCATCCTGCAATCGTTTAATCTGCCCGTTCACAACTGCAAGCAACCCAAGACAAAGAAGAGTGACTTTGCATATCAAGGTCAACAAGATTAGTCTGGTGAACATTTAAAACATCACACCAGAGTAAAGCTTGGCTTCGTATAAAAACCTGGAATAATGGAATGAATATAAAAAAGAGAGACAAAATCCTGGAATCCTACTCCAAATTTCCATTACCAATCCCCGCAATAAAAAACAAAAATACAAATGCAGAAAATTGGGACACCTGCTCCGCTCCCCCAAAATAAAAAAGGGAAGAGAGAAAACCCAGAAATAAAGAAGAAAGAAGAAAAACAAAAGTTCCTAGCTAGCACGTGGCACATGTTTTCAACATGTCGCATATCTGAAGGTGAGAAAAAGAAAGAGGATACATAATTTTTCCCTTTTACATAAAAAAAACTCCATGGGAAGATAGGATTAAGAAGCCCTACAAAACATGCCCAAGCCAGTAAGTGGCACAAGAACAGACTAATGAATTGGATAATTTGCAAAGCCAAAAAATTAACAGCAAAGTGGCAACACTTCAATGGATCAGAGGATCCAATCAATACACGTAGCACCTATTAAATGATGGTAAACCCAGACATCCAATTCTTGATTCTTATACAACAAAAAAGCAAAACTCACATAGTCATGATGACCCGAGCATACGAAATAGACATGAATGACACGATCAAACTCATAACAAACACAACACATCGAGGGCTAGAATAGATTGTGTCACAAGACCAATGATCACAGTTGCCACCAAAGCCGACACATTCCTGTTTCAATGGAGACCAAAACATTTCGGTTTCCATGAAAACCGAAAAAAATTAGTAATTGAATATTGAAATTCCTTTGTTTCAAGGAGTTCCAAAATATTGAACTATTTTGAACTATTTTCGACCAATGTTTCCAATACAAATTTTTTTATCCGTTTCTAAAATATTTTTGAAACATTTCCTTTTCCTAAATGAAATTTTAATCCTGGCATAAGATATCTTAAGTCTGAACCATGCAAGCAACCAATTGATATATAAGTGCAACAAAAAGTTGTTTGGGATGCAGGTGAATACGTATGAGTTAAGGAGACACAATAACATGGTACTTCTTGAACATGGTAAATATGATCATATAAGCCTCTCAGTCTTGCATACCTCACTGTCAGTAAAACAATACAAAAACTGCAGCTCCTTCAGAACCACTTCAAATAAATCAAATCTTCAAGTCAACAAAATATATACTTCAACTTTTCTGATCCAGAAAAAGCCAATGTCCCCACACAAAAGAACCACATCACTAACTAAGGGGCTATTTGCAAAAAAAAATTTAAATTTCAAGAGCTGGATTCTTAGACACAGAGAAAAGATTAATCACTGGTGTTCCTCAATCAAGCATTTAGTATGGGCCGCCAAACAACCCTTAAGCATCCAGCTATGTAAAGAAACAACCAGTATGTCGTATCGTGAAAAAAATAACCCGTGACATGCTGCTCACCTTCTTTATCCCATATCTGCAAAGGCTTGCTCCTGAGAAAACCCAAAACAATATAAATATATCACGAGAGCTTCAACACAGGCACATATCTACAATAGAATGTGATTAGGATCCTCTCTATTATTAGAATCCCTCAGTTGTAGATCAACCACCTTAAGCCCACTTGGATTCACAACGGGTGATCTAGAAGTATGGGGATTTAGGGAATAGGATAATTCAAAATTTAAACCCTTAAAGTATGGACATAATTCTATCTGGTCACTCAAGTTTTAATTGACACAATTATCCTTAAAGTTTTAATCGAGTTTCAATTCAATTTCAATCCGGTCCTTTCACCCATATCTATTAATTTGTTCCAACATAAAGACATCACAAGACTTACTCGTAAGGTATATTTGTCTAGTGAAAAATCTCTTTCAAATGTATCGATATTTCTCTTTTTGTCTGGTATGATATCATTTTGTTCCTCAAAATTAAATGAAATAAAGTCAGATTCTATNCGAGTTTCAATTCAATTTCAATCCGGTCCTTTCACCCATATCTATTAATTTGTTCCGACATAAAGACATCACAAGACTTACTCGTAAGGTATATTTGTCTAGTGAAAAATCTCTTTCAAATGTATTGATATTTCTCTTTTTGTCTGGTATGATATCATTTTGTTCCTCAAAATTAAATGAAATAAAGTCAGATTCTATAGCCTACACATAATAGATTTTTCACTAGACAACTATACCTTTTTACCCAATTCATGTGTTGATCACGGAAGAGGCAAATACCATTCTGTCGTAATAAATTGATGAATTTTTATTTAAGGACTAAATTGAAACTTAAATAAAACTCTTAAGGATTTGATTGTTGCTATAAGAACTTCAATGACCAAATAGGAATTAGGTGTATACTTTAAGGTTGTAANGTAATAAATTGATGAATTTTTATTTAAGGACTAAATTGAAACTTAAATAAAACTCTAAGGATTTGATTGTTGCTATAAGAACTTCAATGACCAAATAGGAATTAGGTGTATACTTTAAGGTTGTCAATTGTAATTTACCCTCGGGAATATAATGTTCGAGAGAATATAATTTGAGTCCGATAAAATGTACAAATTTGGCGGAAAGATAACATACCCAAGGCTGTACAAAATCGATAAGAAACCAGACTGGAACGTGTTCTTGAACATTTTTACAGATGGCAGGATTTTAAAGCTGCAATTAGATCAAACTCATCCGAATCATATCATCATATCAGATTCCAAAAACTCACCCCACACACAGAGGAAAAAGATGTTCTGATGTATATATATATATGCACACATAGGTATACAATTTTCCATGAATTTTTATATCTTGAGAGAGATAGTCCAATTTGATTCAAAAAATGAAGTTAAACTGCACACACGACACACATATGTACACATATACATGTAGAGAGAGAGATAGACAGATGATGTCAGTGAGTGTGTAAATATTTAGGGATTGGAGGAATTACCAAACGAAACCCAGTGGCAGAGAGCGGAGGTGATAGTTTCAGAGGGTCTTTCGCTTCTCTCTTCGCTAGAAAGGAAGCAGGTCGATGAAACCCTTGTTTCTATTGCTTGCTGCGGTCTCTAAATTTTCTTTTTAATTTTTTCATTCGGTTAATTTCATTTTGTACCCTAGAAAATGTTCGAATTATTAATTGGGAAAATTTCACATTGCACAATGAAAGATTGCTAAATTCTTACTTTACAACCTAAAAGATAAAAATTCTCATATTGTACCCTGAAAAAAATAAAACGACAACAATTAGGTTTAACACCTGACTACCATTGAGTTTACCGTCTGTTTTCTNAGATTGCTAAATTCTTACTTTACAACCTAAAAGATAAAAATTCTCATATTGTACCCCGAAAAAAATAAAACGACAACAATTAGGTCTAACACCTGACTACCATTGAGTTTACCGTCTGTTTTTTGGTCACGTGCAAAACACGTGATAACATAGAAGGGTAAGGTTGTAAATTAACAAGGTAATCTCTCATGTGAATTGCACATGACACCACCTTGGTGCTCGAAACCAATCAACTACAACCTTGACATTTTGAGAGTACTGAGAGAGAAAGACAAAGGAAAAGGTAGCATGATTTTCTTCTAAGGCTTTGCGGTCAAAGAAAGAGGCTNTCTGGTCACGTGCAAAACACGTGATAACATAGAAGGGTAAGGTTGTAAATTAACAAGGTAATCTCTCATGTGAATTGCACATGACACCACCTTGGTGCTCGAAACCAATCAACTACAACCTTGACATTTTGAGAGTATTGAGAGAGAAAGAAAAAGGAAGAGGTAGCATGATTCTCTTCTAAGGCTTCGCAGTCAAAGAAAGAGGTTGTATATATTCTCTATGAACAGTTTACAAACTCAGTAGGTTGATTCTGTACCAGCTCTATTGCTTGTTTCAAACATACTCATTGGGATGCACTATGCTTTGGTAAACGTATTTTTTGTGTTTGTTTTTCTACTGTGCTTGGAATATAGGGTTCATTCTAATATGTTTGTAGGTATATTGTTGGGANTGTATATATTCTCTATGAACAGTTTACAAACTCAGTAGGTTGATTCTGTACCAGCTCTATTGCTTGTTTCAAACATACTCATTGGGATGCACTATGCTTTGGTAAACGTATTTTTTGTGTTTGTTTTTCTACTGTGCTTGGAATATGGGGTTCATTCTAGTATGTTTGTGGGTATATTGTTGGGACCAATTTTTCTATGTGGATTTGCGTGTTTGTTATTTTGNTATGTTTGTAGGTATATTGTTGGGACCAATTTTTCTATGTGGATTTGCGTGTTTGTTATTTTGTTACTATTTTTCTATTGTGTTTGCATTGTGGGGTTCATCGTTGAGATGTTTGTGGGTCTATTGTGTGGACCAATTTTTCTCTACAGGTTTGTGTGTGTTGTTATTTTATTACTTTTTTTTTACAATTGTGTTTGCATTGTATGGGTATATCAAATTAACAGTGTGTAGCTTGTTGGCCATTTGGTGGTGCATGTAGATCATTCTTCTAAATATTTCACTGGTAGATTGGAACATTTGGGTGATAGAGCATATATTGGTGGGAAGTTCAATCACTGATATGTGTCATGCTAATGAGATTTCATTGATTGAGTTGGATAATATGTTAACGGCTTTAGGATTAGGATACTATGAGATTAATAAATTCTATCATAGATCCGGGCATGTAGGGTTGCAACTCAGGCGGGGTTGGGTGGGTTGAGAGATGAACCCTAAGTATATAATCTTCAATCTTAACTCTAACTCTAACCCTACCTCAAACCGAGGTAATCAACTTGAGTATTGCTCGAGTTTAATTCGGACGGGCTCGGATTGAATTCGGGTTACGTAATTTGGGTTGATTTTGAGTTAAAAATTGGGTTAAACTTTGGTTACTTAATTTAGGTTGATTTTTTGAAGTGTAAATTTGATTTTTCAAGTGTAGATCTAATTTTTCAAGTAACCTGAGATGAAGCGCGAGTCGCANCGGACGGGCTCGGATTGAATTCGGGTTACGTAATTTGGGTTGATTTTGAGTTAAAAATTGGGTTAAACTTTGGTTACTTAATTTAGGTTGATTTTTTGAAGTGTAAATTTGATTTTTCAAGTGTAGATCGAATTTTTCAAGTAATCTGAGATGAAGCGCGAGTCGTAGATGAAGAGAGAGGAAATGAGAGAGAGAGGAGTGACGAGTGAAAGAGGGAGGCTGAGAGTCTAAGACGACTCAGACGAGTGACGATTGAGAGAAGGAGGCTGAGAGACGGAGGAATGACGAGTGAGAAAGGGATCTAAGAGTGATGGAGGTGCAGGGGTGAAGACTTTAAGTAAAGTGAAGATTTGGACTTTAAATAGTGAAGATAAATATTAACCCTAGTTAAATATATTTATATATTTTATGTATATTCGGGGTTCAACTCGATTTAATAATCGTGTTCAACCCAATTTTAATGTTTGGGTTGAACCTGACAATCCGATGCCTTAATCCAAGGCTTGCCAAAATTCAATTCGAGTTGAGTTTTTTTACTCAAGCACAACCCCAAGTATTAAAAATTCTAACCCAAGTCCTGTTGGGTTCAGGTTGAATTCGAGTTGGCTCGTCTAAGTTACNCCAAAATTCAATTCGGGTTGAATTTTTTTACTCAAGCACAACCCAAATATTAAAAATTCTAACCCAAGTCCTGTTGGGTTCAGGTTGAATTCGGGTTGGCCCGTCTAAGTTGCACCCCTATGGGCATGGATGAAGAGTGTTAGAAAATGATGTGCAGGTCTTGAACATTATTAATTGGCTTGATAAGGATAAAGTAACTAAGATTTATGTTGACCATATTAACCAAAGTCAGGTTGAGTCAAACTGTGGTACCATACAACAAAAAATTAGAGTTGAGAATGACCATGTTCATGAACAATGTTTAAAATCAAGTGGTACTGGGATATGAATGAGAATGATTCATACTCAGAAGGGTTGTTANAACTGAGATTTATGTTGACCATATTAACCAAAGTCAGGTTGAGTCAAACTGTGGTACCATACAACAAAAAATTAGAGTTGAGAATGACCATGTTCATGAGCAATGTTTAAAATCAAGTGGTACTGGGGATATGAATGAGAATGATTCATACTCAGAAGGGTTGTTATCAAACTATGAATATTTTTATGATAGTGAGTATGACATCATTGATGATCAATTATATGAGACATTTGTTGATAAGGATGTTGAATTTGTTGGTCTTAACAAGGAGATAGGGAAAGGGGTTAACAAAGGGAAAGGCGTTAATAGTGATAGAGGCACAACAATGGATGTTAATAATGATTTTTATGGTGAAGACTATGACACTGAAGAGTTATTAAGTCTTAGTGGTTCATCATCGGATGACGAGGAAGGAGGAAAATGTAAGAGACAGAGGGTGAAGTATCCACAATATAATGCAAAGTTTGATATGGTTGACCCACAATTTAAGCTAGGTGTGTTGTTCAAAATAGATGTTAAATTTAGGGTTGCAATTAGGTAACATGCAATAAAATGGGGAAAACAAATAAGATTCACTAAACATGAGAAGTCTAGAGCAAGGGCCGTTTGTAGGGAAGGGTGTGATTGGTTGATTTATGCTTCCAGCATGGCATGAGAAAAGACAATGCAAGTTGAAACTTTTAATAGTGCACATAGTTGCAATAAACTTTAAAAGTGAAGCATGTCAATGCCAAGTGACTTGCAAATACGTGAGTTGAAAGGTTGAGATCCAATCATACATGGCCAGTGAAATCACTTAAGGAAACTGTGTTGAAAGAACATGTTGTGACCTTAAGTAAAAGCCAAGTATATAGAGGGAAAGTTGTAGCAAGGACAAGGGTTAGTGGCAAAGACAAAGACCAGTTCATGTTGTTATGAGATTACAGTGAAGAGTTAAGGAGAATCAACCCAGGTACAACCTGTATTATCAAAACCAAAACAGTAGGAGGTGATCAAGTAAGGTTCAAGAGGATATACATATGTTTTCGGGCACTAAAAAGTGGGTTTCAATTGGGATGCAGACCATTAGTTGGTTTGGACGGCTATCATTTGAAATTGCATCAATATGGTATTTTACTATTAGCTATTGGAATTGACCCTAACAATCAGGTATATCCAATTGGTTATGTAGTAGTAGAGAATGAAAAAAAGAAGTCTTGGGCATAGTTCCTCCAATTGTTGAAGCAGGATATATGTATAGTTAACAACCATGCATGGAACTTTATGTCAGATAAGCAAAAGGCAAGTTTTAGCTAATGTTTTTGTTACTTATTTTATTTTATACTTTATGTTTACATTTGCATTACTCATTTACTCCTCCAATTGTGCATGTAGGGAATACTTGATGCAATTGAGACTCTTTTTCCAAATTCAGAATATAAGTTCTGTGTGAGACACTTATATAACAACTTCAAAGTTGAGCATAAGGGCTTAGCTTTTGGGGACACAGTGAAAATATAGGACCTTTTGCACCAGTTCTTACACAACACTCCAACTCATCCGAGAAAATGTGTAAGACAAACAATGTAATGGGGGCACAATGAAAATCTAGGACCTTTTGTGATTTCTGGGATGTACTGTTAATGAATTATGGAATTAGTTAATAGGGGTAAAACTCAATAGTCACTTTTTGTATCTCACTACAGCTCTTTTAGTTGATTTGTTGCAGATACACAGTTAGTTTTTGTTATGGGGGGTGTATCTAACTGCAACTATTTTTGCATGAAGTTAATGAATAGTGGATATACAAAAATCACATATAAAATCAACAAATATTTCACGCATATGGATTTGTACTTGATCAACTTATTGAAAACCAAAAATCTTATGAATAAAAAGGAAAACAAAAGAACTTTTATGGAAAACTCAATCAACGAATTACCTCATTTTTTGCGCAACTGATAAACCTTCTTCCAGAGTTTAAATCCGTCCAAGAGGTATTCGTTACAGCTCTCCAACCACTGTAACATAATGTTTGCATTTTCCACGCTTCGTATACCTCCCAATTTATGTTTGTTATTCTTGCCATGATTCAATAGTTCTCTCTGTGTACAAGTTTAGCATTTAGGTCCTAAATGTAGAAGGCAACCACTGTGCAATATTTGAGCGCCAAAATAGTTCATTTACAACCTTACCCTTCTTTGTTATCACGTGTTTTGCACGTGATCAAAAAATAGACGGTAAACTCAAGGCGGTTAGATGTTGGACCTAATTGTTATCGTTTTATTTCTTTCAGGGTGCATTATGAGAATTTTTATCTTTCAAGGTGTAAAGTGAGAATTTAGTAATCTTTCAGGGTGTAAAGTGAATTTTTCCTTATTAATTTATACTCCAAAAAGATTTTAATTTTTAACTTGTACCCTCAATATCATAAAAAAATTATCACATAAATTCATTTCTATTATAATAAGTGATGCAAATCTATCTAATATTACAGTTGAAAAGTTAAATTATCAACTTAAGAAGCACGACGACGACTAATATTGATTTAATCTTCATTTACTTCGATTCAATGATATAAAATTCATCTCAAAAAAATTTTATCGCTAGAAAAAAATACTTTCTATGCACAGTCTTCAATGTTAGACAACCCTACTAATTCACACCTACCTTTCTCTTTTCTCTCCTTTGTCAATTTTTTATTTTCTTTGTATTCACTTTTAATTTTAAAATACGTAATCAAAGAAAAAATTAATTTTTATTTAAAATAAAAATAATGCATGATCAATGTTCAATTTTTTATATTGCAAAGTGTCTTTAAGTACAGGGTTATTACTAGTATAATAATTAATTGTGCTTTTAAGATCGAAAAAGTGGACAACAACTTGAGTCTAGATTATAGTATAATGTTTTTATGATATTAAGGATGCGATTTGAGAATTAATTTTTTTTTTATTTTAAAGCGTTAAATTAAAAATTAGAGCATTTGGAGAGTGTAAAATAATTTCTTTTGCTAGGTTTCTATTTGGTAAGAGCATTTATAATAGGCTCTTTATTCCTACTCAATTATCCATTTTAAAAAGTTAAACATACAAAAATATGTCTCCAATAGGCTCTCTATTTAAAATAATTAAAATAGAGAGTGCAATTTGGCTCTTTACATTTAGAGAGTCAAACTCTGTCTATAATTAATGAATAAAATATGATACATATACATGTTTTATTAAATTCTTTAACTATAGAGGCTATTTTGGTATTAGAATAAAAAGTCCCATTGAAGTTGCTAAATATATTTCTCTCTCTATTTTAAATTTTCATACAAAAAATAATACTCTCTAAAATAGAGAATACCATTGAAGATGCTCTAGGCAAATTGTGGTTATCATTCTTAAATTATGGCTTTGGCACGTGGTGTATATGCATCGCCAAAAGAAAAAATATCGGTATCATAATGAAATTGATTTATAGTTGTAAATCTTAGTTTGATTGATTTATAATTATTGATTATAAATATATACACCTGTCATGTTTTAATTGAACGAAAAATATTGGTATAAAATTAAAAAATTATTTTTTGATATGATACCATAGTGGGACCCTCGATTTGCCTTCACCTCTTCTATTATTTAGTTTCTCACACCATATTTTCCACTAATTAAACTATTTTCAAATTACTCTAAAATTAAAATTATGTCTCAAACAAAAAATATATTCACATTACCCTATATGTGGCAGTTGAGAAAAAAGTGGACGGCCACCATTGGGTTAATAACACTTTGCACTCTGAAAGATTTTTGCATTTTAAATGTTAAAAATTCTCGTAATGTTTGAAGAAAATTGAGTACAATTTTTTTAGTCAAAACACTTAAAATTTAATTTCATGTAAATAACTATGGATATATACATATATATAATAATATTGCAAATACAAAAAAAATAATAGAAAAAGGTGCATTATACAATGTGAGAATTCTAAACTATGTTAATAACCCTCATGTAATGTAATATTTACTCATAAAAGATCCGTATTATTACCGACTAGGGGTGTCAATCATGTAGAGTTAAATGCTTATAAGTCGAGTCTAATCGGGTTTATACAAGAAATTAATAAACCTGTACACCGCTTGTTTAAGTAAACGGGTGAAAATTTTCTAACTAAACACAATCCCTTTATTAAACAAGTTATATGACATGATTCATTTAATCCATTTAAAAAAAAAAATTTAAAAAATTATTATTAAACTTTTTTTAAAATTGATCTAATTAATAACTGCATATACTATTATGACAATTTTTTTTTGAATAATTATTAATTTTATTTAAACAGATTGATATACATCAGCCCAAACACAACCTGTTTATTAAACGGGTCTACCCGTTTATTACTTGAACCCGATAAAACCATTCTTTTATACAAATTCTGTTTGCCGTATTTGTCTTTGTTTCTGTCGCATTCTTTTCTACAAAAATTTTAAAAATTGTCTTTAATACCTAGGTGCTGGGTTTGGGACAATCCTCTGTTCTATGTGTTGGGGTTATTTACAACTAATCAATTAAAAATTCTCACATGCTATTAATGCAACTAGCATAGGTATGGAGAATACATAATGAGACTAATACCCTTCTACACATAGTTATGAAAGCGAGATACTTCTCAACGTCTTCATTCTTGTTGGCAAAGATGGGATATAGGCCATTCATATACGTGGTGAAGTATTTTGGAGGCGGGAAAAGTAATCGAAGCTGGTTCAAGGTGGAGGGTGGGCAACAATCCTACAATTAAAGTTTGGAAGGATAGATGGCTACCCATTCCAACTACTTATCATGCCTATTCTTCTCTTGGATATTCCTATCTAATTGAAATTCTACCGTTTCTTTTAAAAAAAAAAAAAAAACAACAACTGCGATGATGCCCCTTTATGCTCTTGTTTCGGTCTTGATTTTAATTTTTTTGTTCTCCAGAATATCAAGGATGATGTTCTATGAGATAGAGAGAGGAGAGAACAATGAAGCACCNTCATAGGTATGGAGAATACATAATGAGACTAATGCCCCTTTATGCTCTTGCTTCGGTCTTGATTTTTATTTTTTTGTTCTCCAGAATATCAAGGATGATGTTCTATGAGATAGAGAGAGGAGAGAACAATGAAGCACCAGAGATAGAAAATTTGGACAATCAATTTTGTTTACCAAACAAAGTATTAGGTCCGATTAAATAAAAAAAAATATAATATAATATTTAATCTCCTCTTAATACGTCTACTAAACGAGTCCAAAGTCATTTGATTGCAGTATTAAATAATGGATTATAATTGATAATATTTGTATTCCATATATAATATTATGTTTTATCCACTTATATGCATCTAGCAATGTACGACATGCGTTACACGTGAACATATTTAAAAAAATATTTTTTTTTATAAAAAATTAACTTATATTTGTAATTAAATTGAACAATAAAATTATATGTAAAATAATTAATTCTTATTTTAATTATTGCTAAATCTAATTATTTATTTATTCTATCCTTCTTAGAGTATCTAATTTGTCATCTTTTGGGTATCTCTCCGACCCCTTTAGAAATTTCTTTTGTTATGTATAATAAATCTTAAAAATTATCATTATTGAGTATTAGCACATCTAACTATATTATAAATTTATTATTTTTATTAACAAAGAGATTGACTAGATTCTAATACTATTATTTGTATTAATATTATGATATCATTGAATACCCAAAAATCAAGTATGAAATATATTTAACCGTATAATCTAATCAGGCAATTACATGTTAACAAAATTTTGGATCATGCTATTTTATGTACTTGTATTAACCAGTTATTGGAGTTCTCAAAGTTATAATTGTAATTAAAGATTAAACTCTATAGAATAAGCAAGCACTTAGAAACCTAATGCTATCTAATAAGAAAAATTTTGGTTCAAATAAAATTTGTAGGCTAATAGAACATGAAAAGAAAAAGCATGATATTAATAAGAACATGTAGGGGTATAATTGATTTTATAGTAGTAATTAGGAATAAAATAAAATAAATTTTTTTTNGAAAAGAAAAAGCATGATATTAATAAGAACATGTAGGGGTATAATTGATTTTATAATAATAATTAGGAATAAAATAAAATAATTTTTTTTTTTTACAAATGTTGACGTTTATAGCTCAAAGTTACAACTGTAATTAAAGATTTAACTATATAGAATAAGTAAATAGTTTGAAATCTTATGCTGTCTGATAAGTAGAGTTTTTGTTCAAATGAAATTTGTAGGCTAATAGGACATGAAAGGAAAAAAAATGACATTAATAAGAATATGTGAGAGTATAATTGACTTAATAATACTAATTAAGGATAAAATAGAAAATCATAAATTTTTTATAGATGGTGATATTTATAAGTAGTATATAGATATAGATATAGATTAGCCCGTGTTATCTAATACAATTATTTTGATAGAGTGTTATCATTTNTTTTTTATAGATGGTGATATTTATAAGTAGTATATAGATATAGATATAGATTAGCCCGTGTTATCTAATACAATTATTTTGATAGAGTGTTATCATTTTGAACCTAAAACTTTATGTTGTTCACAAAAAAAAAAAAATAAATAAAAAACAAAAGACTAAAAATTTATTACTTGAACTTATTAAGCTATAAATTATATATATATATATACACACACACACACACACTAGGGTAACTCATGTCTGAACGTACTGTGTAATATGAATGGTTTTGAAATAGATGCTGGTGATTGTTAGATGAATTTATTTGAGATTATCGGATAAATTTATTGAAACATGTNATATATATATATATATATATACACACACACACACACACTAGGGTAACTCATGTCTAAACGTACTGTGTAATGTGAATGGTTTTGAAATAGATGTTGGTGATTGTTAGATGAATTTATTTGAGATTATCGGATAAATTTATTGAAACATGTCATGTTTATTATTATATAATATATCTCCACTTTCTTATCTCATTTCTTTACCCATATAAAAAATTATACATGTAAGTGACTTGTCAACAGATTGAATTTAGACTAATTCAAATTTGAATAAGATTTTAAAGTTCGATTGGAACCTACCAGAGTTAGCCGTCCAACTTTTATTTTCATGGTCCATATTCAAAATTCATTAACAATTTGAAATTCGATATGAAAATCTGATATAATTCGAATAATTTAATTTAACTAAAACTTAATGAATTACATCTAAATTTAAACTATTTTTAAAAATAATTATTTAATTTATTTAGTGTCTATATATAATTATATAAATATTTCGGATCGGATCATAATCGGATTGAATGATCGACATATTTCAATTCAAATTCATGAAATATAAGATAATGAATTCAAATTCGAATTTAAAATATCGATAGAAAAATATCAATTTATATCTAATTAATTAAATTCAGATCGAATTCTGATTAAAAGCCTCCATCTTTTTTTATTTTTTTTGTTGGTTAAAAAAAAGGGTGAGGGCAAAGGAAGAATATCCAGCGACTACCTCGTCAGGTCCTCACGAATAGAATTATAAGGTCCTTAACAACGCTTGAAACACCTTTCTAGGTCAGACTTTCCTAGATTAGTATAACGATTAATCACCGAAATTTCAAGATTCAAACTTCCAATCTCTAAACGAGGAATAAGATCAGTACCACCATTAGACCACCCTCGTGGGTGGCTCAAAGTCTCCATCAAATACCAAAAGAAAGGAACAAGTCTCCACCAATCACAAAAGAGAGGAACACCACTTGCGCAAAAAAAACAAAAACAAAAGAAAAGAAAGAAAGTAACACCTAATCCACAAACCCTAATGCCTCATTGGATCGCCCAATTCCACTAGCAAATTGCCCCTTTGGGGCCACTGATCATGTGGCTCTCTCTCTCCAGTCTCCAACCCTAAATAAACCAAACCTCCACCTTTTTTATTTACTTTTCTTGCGCTTAACCCCACTCAATTATTATTTTATCTTAAAAATATTTCCAGTTGTGACACGTGTCAAACAGAGCACCTAGGTGGTGACCAGTGTCAACAAAACAAATCTATTTTGATATGTGTAGCTTTTGCATTTTGCCACGTGTCATTCGGAGATCTGAAAATTAAAATTGGTCTAAGGGTATTCTAGTAATTACACTTCATCATGATCCTTGTCTGGCCCTTGGTCTTGTCACCTTTTTCTACACCACATAGTATTACATCAAATTCTGGGATTTTGCCGACCTGTGGGACCCATGTTGCCACGTGGATGAACGAGAGATCAGTTTTTTATGCAGGGGGGAATTGTGAGCCACTAATTCAGACGATACTTCTCAGCCACAAGCGCGAGCGCGCGCTCGCTCATACACACGCGGACACTATAACAAGGTTCACAGCCGCCACCCTTTGGCCAACTATTAGCTCTGCTCCTACAATACAGTACCTCAAAGAAACTCAAACAAGGTTTCTACTTTCAACAACTTCAATCTGTTTTATTCATTTGGGTTGTGTTTTTTTCCTGAATCTGAAACTGGGTCTTCTTCAGTCCTCTGGTTCATCAATCAGACTTGTGATTTCCAGCAATTTCTTGAAGTTTTAATACATGGGTAATATGAAATTTCAATACCAGATGATATTTGATCTTTATATTTTGTTCTTCACTAAATATTTGATGTTTGAACTGTTCATATTACAAGGATTCATCCTGACTTATGATCTTTCGCCTTTTAGTTACATGTTGAGTTTAATTTCCTGCATATTTGTAGATATATTTGCATATGGTTAAGCTAATTTTGTACGGTTTGCTGCTCTGATATGTGGATGTGTTTGTTTCAAATATGCTTCTGCTTTTGATAGCCTCTCATGACTTGGGTTTTTGATAGCTTTCTCATGATTTGGGTTTTTGATAGCTTTCTCATGATTTGGGTTTGATAAATTGTTACCACCAGACTTCTCTGTTGGTTGGCTGAAAGAGGGCTTCCTTAGTCTTACCATTTCCTTTATACTTCTCTATGTTCTCTATCTCTGAGGATTCTGTGAAAATCCCCATTTGTCCCTCTTCTGTATGTTAAACTCACCAACTTACTTGAAGGCTAAGGTAGGGGGTCTAACAGAAGTTTCATATCCCTACCATGTTCATCATTATTGTAGTTACAAATGTGAAGGAGATTCAAAGAACTGCTGAGAAGTTTATATGGGTTGATATTAAAGGCTAAGATTTTTTCTGACCATTTCAAAAAACATCTTTTACTTATGTTTTTCAAGACTAAGATAGGGGTCTAACAGAAGTTTTATATCCCTACCATGTCCATCGTTGTTGTAGTTACCAATGTGAATGAGATTCAAAAGGTCTTCTGCGCAGAAATTTATATGGTTTGTCATTGAAAGCTAAGATTTATTTTGTCCATCTGAAAAAACATATTTTTATTCATGCTAAACTTGTCCTGTGGACCTATATTTGGATTCATTGTAACATTTAGATATGTTATCCTTTTCAGATAGTCTCATGGAGTGGTATTATGCAAGTGATGTTGATGATCTTGTTGTTCCGAAAGATCAAGAATCAGTTGAGAGGGTTCCTTCACCAGATTGTTGGTCACAGTGGGGATATGCTGCATTTGGAAGTATTGAATACCCGAAGAAGCACCTCGTTTCGGGGACGAATATTAACTGGGAGGAACTCAACTTTAAGGGGAAAAGCTTTTCTGATGAGGTTAACATCAGTTTTTCTGGCAATGAAAGAGCGCAGTCTAGTGAATCAAGCATGTGTCAAGGATTACAAAGCGGTTTGCTTCAATGGACTTCATCTCCACTTGAGCAGCAAGATTACCAGCTCCATGACCCAACTGAAATTGATCAAACGTACGAATATACTTGACTTGTTGCATGTAGGAAATCTTTTAGTTTATAAAATGCTTAATAAGCTTGTCATATAGGTTAAAAGCGTGTTTGTATTTGCTATTGTAGTTGAATGTTTCATTATGTATTATGGATCATCTATGTACATGCATGGGCAGATTTTTGGGTTAAGCACATGAGCAGTTATCCCAATTCGGTTGGCAGTGAGATTACAATTAACGCATTTGGAAGCTTCAACCATTGCAAAGTGTGTAATGCTAGGATATATATACCTCTACTAAGTTAGATTATTATTTTCGTAAAATGATAGCAGTCACACCTTAGCACAAGTCATTTTCCATGGGACACCAAACATGCTTTGAATATTTAGTTATCTGCCATTTTCCTAAGAAAGCGATGGTTTCTTCTTGTTGCAGGAGTTCTTTACTTGAAGAAGATGTAACTGGCTCGGATTATTTGCATGGATCATTCGGGTTTTATTCCAAGTTCCAGGAAAGTATGATGCCAGATGATACTTTCTTGACCGACATGACTTTGGAGTCACAATATAATCCAAGTCACCTGTATGGCCCGAGAAGCTCAGAGTACCTCAAAACACATGCCTTTTCTCCACCAATGGGTTGGGAGAACAAAGAAGTTGCTACTTATTGTCCACCACTAAAGGTGAGATTTCTCATTTGTTTATTAATCAGGGGAAGTGCAGAATTTTTCTTGAGCACCAGTGTGGTTCATGGTTTTGGAACACAAGCTGGTCAGATAAAACCAGGTGTGTAGGTATATTACCAAAAGAATTTGATCCACTTGTTTGCATTATAGTTAGTTTTTCAAATCAATTTACATTATTAACTTTTTCGGCTTTAAAATTTGTCTTGTTGGACCGGACAGCTGAACCAAACCTAATTGCATGATGAATGGTCTGCAAGCTTTTGTAGAAGACCATGGAGATCTTGCCTTGTGGAACCTTTTGGAAACTTAACTCGCATGACTGCATTGGTCATGTTTTTGTGGAAGATAAATGCACGAACCCTTGCTATATTATTTTGTAATGTTTTGTGATTAAAATTCTTACTGGCATTGACATATGTTCTTTCAGTTATTTCTGAGATTTCCATGTTTATACATCTATATTCTTTACATGTTATATTTTTAGTTTTTAACACATTGTTTCAGATTCCTGATTCCTTCTAGGCTGAAATTTTTGAATATTGATCTTTTTCGGTCTCTAGTATTCCTCTCTCTCTCTGATCCCATGGGAGCTCATTTCAGTCAACTAAAATGTACAGTCTTTTGTTGCACTGATTTTACTGTCATTAATAGACATTTTCGAAAACTAAGATGTGCCCAAGCAGTAAAATTTTTGGTTTGACGGATAAACTGGTCTTGAAAATTTACTCCCCCAACCCTCTTTTTTCCTTTTGCAATTCTACTTTTCTTTTTCTTGCTTTCACCAAGATTATTTTTACTTTTTTCAAAACGGAGAAAAGGGGAGAAACGAATGTAATACTGTCATCATTTTTGTCACAAGACTCGCAACAAAAATTTCAATTCTTAACTACTTCTCAGATGACACATCCTTTTCAATTGTACCATATCTTTGCAGTTGCATAGGCCCCATTGCTTGTACTATTCTATTTTGACTGTGGAAATGGGGAAGATTCATGGTGTGGGCATGCTAGCCTTTTCTTTTTCTATATTTGATTTTTTATTTTTTATGGGTCTTTTTTTTTCCCTGTTTAGAATTCTTGGCAAAATGTTTCTTTTTTTGGTCTTCTTTTCTTCTCTCTTTCCCTCTCTCCCTCGCTCTTGTTGTTCGGTTAATGGGTTCTGGGCTAATGTGACATTAGTTTTGTAGGGGTCAATGAATTCTACCGCAGAATACCAATTCCTAGATGTCTTTCAGGGCATTAAATTGTAACTTAGAAACCTGGAAGTCATCTGCTACTATTATTGTTAGGTGGGGACGCACACATGCACATACACAAATGCTAGCATAATGTAGAATCTCTTTTCTCCACCTGTATTATAGTATATATGCACTCCGTTTTCTACACTTTATACTAATCATGAAAATATTCATTCCAGGCGCCAGTGGTAAATCTCTCTATCACCTTTGAGCAAGATAATGGAAATGAACAACTGGGTGAGGAAACTTCAGTGGAAGAATCTGCATTGCAGGAACTTGAAAGGGTGAAGGCACAGGTGACGAAAGTTTGAATTAACAGCTTTTGGGAAACTGCAACTCTTTTTTCTTATATATTAACTTTTATTCATGTTGAAATTGTCAGTTAACAGAGAAGACCAGATTATGTTTTCGAGATGCTCTATACCGCCTGGCAGAAAATTCAAAGCAAGATAAAGTGATCCACAAACAAGATGAGGAACTCCTATTGGAAAAGCACTCCCAGTCGATGTCTAGTCATGAAACATTTAGGTAAATGCAATATATTTTGATGGTGCTTGCATCTTCGTTCTTTTGCTTTCCTATTTTCATTTTACGTGGAAACTGTTGTTACACTTTTCACATTGAACACATCAAAAGTGTTTTTGAACTTGATCTTTGATTTCTGAATATTACAAAGAATCATATTGTCAGAGTCATATGGTCGTCCTTTTATTTTACTCTTTTCACCTGAATTCTCTTAAAATCTTCCTATCATCAATAATAAAGCTATGTAATAGCAGTTTTCCATTTTGATATACATATATGCCAGTCAAATTTCTTACGGACCATGCCCAGGCCATTTGACATATTCATATCAATGGTATCGGTGTCATTGCATCAAAGCTGTAGAGATCTTTGATCAAAACCGTTCATTTTATATTCAGGTTAGGAAAAAGAGAAGCAAGAGAGTTGAGGACAAACGCCATTGACAGGGCCATTGCCAATCTCTTGTTCAATAAGATGGATTTCAGTGCTCAGCATCTACCTCCTCTAGAAACAACTGGACAGTGTGACTACGGCTTAAATCAGCCGCAAATTGCTTGTTGCTCTCATTTCATCGCAGGTGATGCTGAAGTTCCAACCTGCGGTCCAGAGAACCGACCTTCTAAAAGATTGAAGCTGCATACAGATTTCTCAAGCAGTGCGGCGAGCTTGATACAAAGTCGTTGTTAATCGTAACAAGTGAGAGATCAAAACCAAATGTGGTGTTAAAAAAAAAACACCCTTGTATTACATGCTTTTGAATGTGTAAATTTTGTAGATACACGTTAGTTGCTATGCACGATGCAGATACATGATGCATTGCTCGGTTTGGATTTGTACTTAAAATGAGTTGTGGATTGAATGAATGATCGTGTTTTTTGGCTTTTCTTCTATCAGTTGGGCAGCTACATGAACTTTAATGGGGTTTTCTTTTGGTTTCTCTCTTGGGTGCCTTGCCCATGGTCATGGTGGCTGCCACTGCAGTGCCAGAAGCAAAACCCAGTTCCCATATAGAGGTACTAGTTATTGCGGATTATAAAAAAATGATCAATAATAATTATATTTGTATATACATTTAAAATTAAATCACAAATATAGATAACAGATAAAGGAATTTAAATATCAATTGTAGTAGAGTGAGTGGTGGTAGTGGTTGTGGTGGGAGACAGTGATAGGTGACAATGATCGTGATGATGGTGGCAACTGTGGATGACAATAATGATGGTAGTGGTAGATTTTCGTTGACGACGATAGTAGCCGTAGTGGTGGTGGGTGAAAGTGATGGTGGTTGGCAGTGGTGGTGGTGGAGTGACGATTGTTGTGGTGGTGGTGGTGGGTTGTGGTGGTGGTCGGCTATGATAAGTGTTTTTGGGCGATAGTGTGATGGACGAGGGCAAATGACGATGGTGGTGGTGGTAAATGTGGTGGGCGACGACGTGTGGTGGTTATTGGTAATGGTAGGTGTGGTGGGAGTGGGAAACAACGGTTGGCGATGATGGTGGCCGACGATAGGTGTTGGTGGTGGTGGCGGCGATGGTGATGGTGGTGGGAGTAAGGGTGATTGTGAAACGATGCATGGATGTGGTAAAGTGACGATAGTTGTGGTGGTAGTGGTGGGGTGGCGATGATGGTGGTGGTGAGGATGGTTGGGTGGCGATTGGGGCGGTGCTAGTTTTTGTGGCAGTGGCAGTGACGACGACGACGACGGTGACGGTGGTGGTGGGAGTGGGGTGATGAAGGTGGTGGTAGTGTTGATAGGGTGACGACAACGGAGGTGGTGGTGGGATAGTGGGGGTGGTGGTGGTGGTGGTGAGGCAATGAGTGTGGTTGTGACGGGACGGTTTCAAACACTATTTTGTTTTAAAGTATTCATGAGAAGTTATAAGTCATAGAAGTACTTTTCAAAAGTCATCTCAAACATATCCTTAGGGCCCTATTTTCTTATTAAATTTAAAATGTTAATATTAGCTGTTGAACTAACTTCAAAATAAAATTTAAAGAGATTTCAACCTCGAAAAATAAAAATCATTTTGTTTATCTTTTGAAATTTGAATTGTATTGTACTTTATTATATATATATATATATATAATAGTCGGGGATCAAAATTTTGTTTCGATTAATTGTTTCGATGAATTTAAAAATGAAAACATTTCGATAATATTTCAGAAATATTTGAAAAATAAGATGAAAATGAATAAAATTTTAAAATTTATTTTCAAAATATTGATTGAAATATACCGAAACATTTCGAAACAAATAGGTCGAAATATGTTAAAACTTATCAAAACACATTGAAACATTTCAAACACATAAGACTTTTATATTCAATAAATGATTCGTTTTAATCTTCGTGAAAACGAAAATGTTTCGAAACGAAACTTAGTTTTTTGGTAGTAGTTGCATACTTCTTGTCCATCAATTTCGATGTTTGAATAATCTTTTGAATATGAGAGCGAACATTTTTATTTTTAACGTCTCATCTTCTCTAAAAAAAAACAAAACTCGAACCAATTAAACATATGGTTCAACTACATAACTTTTTATTTTTCTATTTTTCTATTTTTTGAACGAATAAAACATATAGTCCAACTATGTAACCCTTTATTTTTCATTCTATATCACCTCAAGGAGAAACCTCACTAGATCTCTAGCATAGCTGGGCAATGCACTCGCAGGGAGCTATTTTGTTCCCCTTTTAAGTTTGGGTCATCTGGTCTTGACTCTTGTTAGACGTGGTGCACCCGGCCAATGAAATTGACACAAACTTTGCAATGACACAAGATTATAGTGGGCATCGAATTGAAATCTCCTTGAATACATTTTCTCTGTATCTCCGATTCTTTTTTTTTTTACATACTTTTTATGATAGATTAGTTACCATTAATTTCATATGGGATCTATTACGTATAAACAGGTCAATGTTCTTTCTGATCTCTACGTATTTCGCGGCTCCACCGAAAATTCCTTGTGCACTTACCGTATTCAAACTTGGTAGTTTTCACCGCCTTATTACTTGTCGGTGATTTTACTTGGAAAAAAAAAAGTATTGGAGGAAATTTAGGCTCAAAGGCACCATTTGCATTTCTATTCTTGCAAAAGTTTAATTACTTGATCACCAAATTTTCACCAACCTAAAATGCCAGAACTTGCTAACATAATACGGATTATGTCAATCTTAAATATGAATAGTTCGATTTAACACGACGTTTAACCAACATTGTATGAAAATATATCTAATATGAAAGCCTACATTAGGAAAACAATAGGATACTATCCTTTATGGCCTACTCAGAGCTAATTTTACCTACTTAATTCTGTCAATGGGGTTATTTTTTATTCGAATTATGATTCAACTATGAATAACTCGTGTTTAAAAGTACTTTATAATCTAAGTGAGAAATTATGAATTTTTAGAAGAAAAAAATTCAATATAAATAATTTTGAAAAGGATGTTGGTGACTGTTAGATGAGTAAATTTGATGTTGTCAGATAAACTTATTGAAATATACTATATTTTATTTTATAAATTCGAATATGATTAATCACTATATGAAGTGATACTTTATACTGATAATTTAAATAAGGAATTAGTTACATTATGATTAATAAATGTGAAATTATTCAAAGAATAATTCATACACGATAGAATTCGGTATAACATAATTCTTTAGACATAAATTAATAAATAAATTAAATATAAATAAAATATTTTTCGAGACAAACTTACTAGACCTCAATACGAAACTGTCTCACTCAACGCCCAATTGCCTACTAGAAAAAGATAAAATGATTATTTGCACCGGTGGTCCCCAAATTATTCACGCTGTCTCATTTTGGTCCTCAACATTTCAATTGAATCAAATTGGTCCCCAAAGTATTCATGTTGATTTATTTTGGTCCCAACCATAGACGTCGTTTGCTTTTTGCCGGCTCCATCTCCATGTGCCATTCACGTGAGGGGCAAAGTGGACATTGCACATACCTACTTTGGGGGGGAAACATTCCCGCCAACTCCTCCGATGCCTCCATGATGCAGATGTTATAACCTGTGAAACCAGAAAGAAGAAGTGGAGGGAAAAAGAGAAAATGGAGGGAAGAAAAAGGAAAATATGAGGGATGAAATTCATGTAATGGAGGAGTTGGCGAAAATGGAGCCAACACCATGCTATTGTAGGAGAATGGGGAAAATGCGAACTTCTTGGACTACTACAAACCCAGGAAGAAGGTTTATTGGGTGTGAGAGATATGGGGTAATTTCTATTTTTATATCATTTGTTAGTTTGGTATGAACATTTGAATTTTTTTAACAAAGCATTACATTGTTAGGAAGCTGGAGGCTATGGATTTTTTGTTTGGTATGATCCTCCAATGTGCGATTGATCGAAGCATGTGATACCTGGACTTTTGCGATCTCTCCGAAGACACGACGAGCAACAACGACTATCAAAAAAGAGGGAGAAAATCTTATGGGTTGCTTTGTTTTGTTCATGGACAATTTTCATTCTCACTTGGGTGTTGTATTTCATGTAACTGGACTTTGTAAAGTTGTATGTAACTGTGTAACTAGGTTGATGTTCTCTATGTAATCCCTTTTTTTTTTCTTTTTTTTTAAGAAAAGAGAAAATTTTATTGCATGACATTCAAAAATGACAAGAATCAAAAACTTGAACTATTTAATAGCCAAAATAGTAACTGTACAAAATAAACCAAAAATTCTGTTTCGGGAACCAAAGCATCAGGTCTAATAAAAGCATAAGTCAGAAACATCTCCCCAAGCCAAAAGCATGATACAAAGAATATCATGCATGAAAATCACCAGCAACCCTCCATAAAAGGATCTCCTACACAGGGTAGAAACCAACAGGAACCCACCATGAAACGCAAGAAAGATGAAGAAGAAATAAGGAAAAATGACCAGCGAAGTCCAAAAGCCATCAAGAAAAGTGTAAAGGAAAGCACAGGGAAGATAACCCCAAGTCTCCCCATGCATCTGATACGTCTGATACAATAGCTCCGGCTTGAATGGCCACTGAAACCAGAGAATACCCAGCACAAACAAAATCCATAGAATCTCCATCCACATCTCTATCCCCCACAGTGTATTTTATTTCATGATTCCTCAAAACCACCCCTCTTAATTATGTATAAATATGACTTTTCTTTTGTGGAATGCTTAATTGTTGAAATGTGAAAACATGTGACTTCTCAAAAAGTATTTTATAAGAATCTCAAAAATTATAAACAAAAGTATTTTCCAAGTTGTGGGTCTGTTTTGGTTTGAAGGGCACTGTTCATGTCACTATTCACGTGACTGTTCATGTGCCTTTCCAGCTGCTACTTAGCAGCTTCAGGCCTTCAGATCACAGAAAATCTATTACTTAGCAGAAATTCAGTCACAAGATCACAGGCCCTAAGATCACAAGCTAATGACTGCAAAACAAGTCAATGATTACATCATATACCAGCACATTTTTTGCTCTCTACACAAGAAGACACCTCTAATCACAGCAACGGTTGTTACACTTTTGCACTTATATTAACATGGCTGTTAACTCTCATTACAAACCCAAAAAGAGTGTTACACATATCCATTGTACCAAAAAATAAAGTTGCACATCATATCAACATGACTGTTAACTCTCATTACAAACTCAAAAAGAGAGTTACACATATCCATTGTACCAAAAAATAAAGTTGCACATCATATCAACATAGTTGTTAACTCTCATTACAAACCCAAAAAGAGAGTTACACATATCCATTGTACCAAAAAATAAAAGTTGCACACCATACAACATGGCTGCTTTTTGATTTACTCTTCCTAAATGACAGTTTTTCCCTTCGATTATGAATGAAGAAGGCTTTAGTTGCATTTCCAGTATTTGAAGTTGCTCTAGTGGTTGAAGCTTGAAGCTGTTCAAAGTAAGACCTTCCTGTAGGTGATTGGCTTGCTGCTACTACTTGGCTCCCTAATGATACTGCTCGGCTTGCTGCTACTGATTGGCACCCTACAGCTACTTGACTCCCTCCTGGCACTGCTTCGCTTGTTGCTACTAATTGGCTCCCTGTTGGTACTGCTTGACTTGCTGCTACTGATTGGCTCCCTGCAACTGCTTGACTTTCTCCAGATTGGCTTCCTTCAGCTTGTAGTCATTCTCCTTCTGTCAATGCAGTAGTGCATGTCCTCCTGTTATGCCCATTCTTATCACATCTCCTACACTTAAGTGATATCAGCCCAGTTTTCCTCAACTTATGTGGTTGATGTTTATTATTCATCTCATCTGGTTCCTTCCTCCGTAATTTCTTTGGCCTACCAGGTTGTCTTCTGTTAAAATGAAGCAATACTGGGGTAAGTCCACTTTTAGGCCACATCTTATATCCATTAATTGGGTTGATAAGTGGTTCATATGCCTATATAAATGTCCCTTTCTTGTAGTGTCCAGTAACATAATCTTCTGGCAGTTGACCCCTATTCTTAATAGAAGCAATGACACGTGGGCATGGGATTCCTGTCAAGTCTCATTTCCTGCATGAGCATGTCTTCTCCTTCAAATCAACACAATATTGATCTCCATTCATACCCATCACCTCAAATTTTAACTCACCATGCCAATCAACAATACAACCAAAACTGTCACCTTTCCATTTCTCCAATCTCTTCTGAATTTTAGGGCATATATTTCCACTATAACTTCTAGCTCATTCCCTCCTCCTTACCATTTTTTGGATTAAGTAGCATCTAATCCATTCTAGCATTTCCAAGATGGGCTTATCCCTTACTTCCACAATTGCCCATGGAAGGTCTCACATAGATTGTTTAACAAATTGTCACACTTTGGTTCTACTCTAAAATGTGACCTATTCCAGTACCTTGGTGGCTCATTGGCCAACCACTCAAAAACCTTTTCATCATCTTCTTTAAGTAGTTGCATCCCAAAGTCAAATTCTGGAACGTGTGTTGCCCTAGCCCATTGTGAAGACTCCTCCCATTACCGGGATGTAGGTCTTCCAAGAGCATTACCGCCCTCCACCAAAGAATTTTGGCTAAAGCAGGACTCGCCCCACAGTAGCCTTTACCTCTGTCCCACATCGGGGAAAGAGTCGTCTCCCCACCCCCATATAAGCCGAAGCACAATATGGAAGCAGTACCCAAGTACCACAGTGTGCTACTTGGGTACTGCTTCCATATTGTGCTTCGGCTTATATGGGAGTGGGGAGACGACTCTTTCCCCGATGTGGGACAGAGGTAAAGGCTACTGTGGGGGTTTGACCCACAGGTTAGCCGAAATCCTTTGGTGGAGGGTGGTGATATCCCGGTAATGGGAGGTTAACCCTTGGAAGACAGGGTCCCGGTAATGGGGCAGGGTCTTCACATAAAAGGCGCCTTTTGTGTGAAGACTCCTCCCATTACCGGGATGTAGGTCTTCCAAGAGCATTACCGCCCTCCACCAAAGGATTTCGGCTAAAGCAGGACTCGCCCCACAGTAGCCTTTACCTCCGTCCCACATCGGGGAAGGAGTCGTCTCCCCACCCCCATATAAGCCGAAGCACAATATGGAAGCAGTACCCAAGTACCACAGTGTGCTACTTGGGTACTGCTTCCATATTGTGCTTCAGCTTATATGGGAGTGGGGGGACGACTCTTTCCCCGATGTGGGACAGAGGTAAAGGCTACTGTGGGGCGAGTCCTGCAGGTTAGTCGAAATCCTTTGGTGGAGGGCGGGTTCCCGGTAATGGGAGGATTGCCCTTGGAAGACCTACATCCCGGTAATGGGAGGAGTCTTCACACAAAAGGTGCCTTTTGTGTGAAGACTCCTCCCATTACCGGGATGTAGGTCTTCCAAGAGCATTACCGCCCTCCACCAAAGGATTTCGGCTAAAGCAGGACTCGTCCCACAGTAGCCTTTACCTCTGTCCCACATCGGGGAAAGAGTCGTCTCCCCATCCCCATATAAGCCGAAGCACAATATGGAAGCAGTACCCAAGTACCACAGTGTGCTACTTGGGTACTGCTTCCATATTGTGCTTCGGCTTATATGGGGGTGGGGAGACGACTCTTTTTCCGATGTGGGACAGAGGTAAAGGCTACTGTGGGGCGAGTCCTGCTTTAGCCGAAATCCTTTGGTGGAGGGCGGTAATGCTCTTGGAAGACCTACACCCTGGTAATGGGAGGAGTCTTCACACCCATTTCCAGAATTTCTTCCTAATACACAAACCCTTAAACTGTCTCATGAAATTGTTTAGTAGATGCCTAGCACAATGCCTATGTTCTGATCCAGGTAGGCTCTCACTCAGTGCTGGAAGCAAACACTGTTAAATAAGAGGAAAAAGTCAATACATAAAAAAATCAGCGCATAAAAAAATTAGTTCATAAAAAAATCAGTACCTTCTGCTTGCAGTGATAAAGGCCCATTGGTTTTGGTTCTGGTGATTGATGCCCAAGTCAATGGATAGTATTGCTAATTACCGTGCCCATGATTCTTTCATCTCAATCTCAACAACACAGTATGCAATAGGAAACATAGAATCATTGACATCAATACCAACTACTGTCAATAACTGTCCACTGTAGGCTCCTTTCAAGTGGCAACCATCTAGTCCAACTACTTTCCTGCACCCTTCCAAAAATCCTCTCTTACATGCTGCAAGACAAATATCTAACCTCTGAAATCTAAGTTTACCTGTTTCCTCATCTGCATGAGCATCCAAAACAACTGTCGAACCAGGATTAGCCCTCCTTATTTCCTCAAAATAATCTCGTAATCTACCATACTGTTCAATGTCATCCTCATGTATCAATAGCATTGTCCTTTTCTTTGCTCTGTATAATTGATTCGTTGTTACATCAACATGTAAATCTTGCCTAACCCTCTTTTTAAAAGCTTTTATAGGCCAACAGGGGTTGATTCTCAACTCCTCCAGATACTTCAATGCAATCATCTTTGAGTTCACATTTATATTAGTATAAGTCTTCCCACATGTGTGCTTCCTAATATATGTCTTTATTTGATATGTTTTCTCACCATGCACTCTAGAAGCATAAACAAGCCAACTACAACCTTTTTGACATTGTGCCCTTACCCTCCTCTTATCATTTTTGACCAACTTAACATTTCTGTGATTTTTAATTGCATGTTGTCTAATAGCAGCCTTGAGCTCCTCAGATGTACCAAATAACATATTTAGCTTAAATTTTGGGTTTTCATTATCTTTGTTTTCCTTAAACACTTCAAATTTTGATTTTTTTTTCTTGCATCAGTCTCTCCGTCAGATGAACTACAACAACTTACAATGTCCTCAGAATCACCATCTGAGTCACTTGGGTCTAAGCCATGCCTTATGCCTGTTACTGTTGTTTTTTGGCTGTTACTTTTCAAACTAGTCCATTCAACTTCATGATCAACACAATTCTCATACAACATGTCATCATACTCACTTTCATAATCATTATCAACCAAATCTTCACATTCACTGCATTCAGATTCTGATGCTTCCCCATCCCCTATGCCATTGTCATCAATTGGGTGATCACCATCAACAGAATGATTGTTTTTGCCTCTAGATGATCCAGTTTGACTCTCCAGTAATTTAATACCTCCTATATGTTTAAAATATACTTGAGCTACCCTGTTTTTATGCAAATGATGTGACATATCCAATACATGTTCATCACTACTCATATGTACTAGCCCTTTGTCCAAATCCAACCCAGAAAATTTGTAGTAAAATCCAATATATGGAGCATAACTAAGAGTATTAGTTATATCATCCATTTCAATGAGCGACATCAGTTCACAATCACAGTCATCTATGTAATTTATTTTGCCCCCAACATAAGCTTTGTTTGGACTCTCTGTAAATTGACCATTGTAGTGAACCTTCATTGAGAAAAGTGAAGAATCATGGCCTAATGATTTCCAAAAACAAGTAAATATAAAATTCATATTACATAAACAAGTGGTTTCAGCAACCACATAAACCATAAAATATTGCAAAAAAAAAAAAAATTGTTTTGCATAAAAAAATATGTTTGACAGCATCAAGACCATTTTATATTCAGTTGCACCCATGAAACTGAAACCCAAAACTATAAAAAGCCACCACATACCGTAATGGGGAACATTGTATGATCATGCCTAATTCCCTTTCTCCTTCCTAATGCAACGAACCATCTTTACACTATGATTCTCACTCAAAGAAGATAAAGACAAAGCTAATCACTCTTGTATTTTGCCCTGATGGACACTGGACATTTTGCCCTAAGTTGGAATTCTTACCTTTGTTGTCGTTGAAATGGAAATTAAGAGGCAATTCATCGTAGCATTTGACTGGCTAAGCAAGAGACGTAGGGTGTAATGTCCATTTTGCCCCTCATGTAAATGGCACATGGAAACGGAGACGGCAGAAAGCAAACAGCGTTTGTGGTTGGGACAAAAATAAATACTTTGTGGACCAATTTGATTCAATTAAAAAATTGGAGATCAAAATAAGACAACGTGAATAATTTGGAGATCACCGGTGCAACTAATCCAAGATAGAAAAAAAAAAAAAAAAAGTCAAAACAGTAAAAAATATACAGGGAGTGTGGGGGAGAGAGAGAGAGAGAGAGAGCGTTTTGAAATCCTGAAAACTAGTAGGAAGCCGAAGATTGAGGTGCAATTTTGTTTCCCTAGCATTCTCGACTGGACCAATAATGGAGGCAGTGGTGGTGGATGCTGGGTCTAAGCTCCTCAAAGCTGGCTTCGCCGCCCCAGATCAGGCTCCACCCCTGGTAACTTCTCTCTCTCTCTCTCTTCCGTTCGGTTGCCAATAAAGCCGAGGGAAAGAACGTTGAATGACAAGAAATTGTTCAAGAAAAAGGAAAAGAGAGTTTGAGAATTCAAAGGCGGAGTGATAAATTTTCTTCATAAGATATTATAAATCCACTTATATGTTCCTCAGAAAATATTTTAGCCACTGTTTGGTTGCCCAGAATACGAAGGAAAGGGAAAGCTGAGAATTTTGAAGACCTATGCATTCTTCTTTTTGGTTCCTAACAAAAAGGGTCTTTAGGGTTGTCAATAGAACTGGGTTTTGGAAGTTTTTGGAAACGAGTTTTCTAGTGTCAAATTAGAGGCCAAGAGTTAAGGAAATTAATTAGACTTGATTAGAGCTAGTCAGGGTAGAGTTAGTTGCTGTGGTAAAGGGCTATTCTAGGGATGCAAGAATTCGTAAGGATTAGGCTTTATCACACAAACAAATTCACACTCTCTCATAAATCAAGTTTCCCTTAAATGAAAAGGTTTAGGTGTTTATTGTTTGCCAGAGCTAAACCTATACTACTTGTTTGTAATTCAAAAACTATTGACTATTGGAGTCTGTTCTCAATGCATTGAAATATGCATCATCAGTCGCGTGTTAATACCAATAAATTCAATGCATAATGTACCAACGAGTATAGCTTGTTGATAAAATCTGAAAACTGGTGATTGTTTCAGTGTTATATTGTTAAGTTTGTGTTGATAAAGATTAGAGTGAAGTTTCATGTTACACTTGATCGCGGTGAGTCGGGTTGAGGCGATTTAAAGTCTATTCATTTCAAGCCATACTACTGTTTATAAGATTTAATACATTGTTTCCCAAGGCTTTGAAAGTATATTGTCATCGTCCTTTTCCTTTCATTTTATTCCTTCCTTCAAGATTATTTGGATTCCTTAATGCATTAACTTTATGACCTTCATTTAGATTCTTGTATTATTGTGGTCAAGACATCTTGGAGAGCCTTTTAACTTGTTTGAAATTGTGGTTTAGGTTATTCCAACTCAAATGAAATGCATGCCTGAAGATGCCAACATGGCCGATGCTTCTTTGTTTGAGGACACTATGGTTGATCCAATTGTGCGAGGTTTTATTAAGGATTGGGATGCCATGGAAGATCTGTTGCACCATGTTCTATATACCAGCCTTGGATGGGAAATGGGCAACGAAGGACAAATTTTATTCACAGATCCACTTTCAACTCCCAAGGTTAGTAGAAGCTTTCCCTCTTTTTTTGGTGAAGTTCAATATTGGTTTAATTTTGGAAAATAGATTTAATTGTGCATCATTCAAGTGTTTAAAATCACATATGGCGGGGCGAAACTTGGAGAAATACACTTGGTTATTGTTATGAAGAGAGGATATTTCAATAATTCTCTATTTGCATGTGGTCAAACAAAAAGTTGGTTGAGGACATACCCTCTCTAATAAATAACTTTTACCAATAAGGGCCATTTTTGTCATTCTTTGTGGCATTAGTGGGTAAATGGATTTGGAGGTTTCCATTTAAAATAAGTTCTTTGTTAAATTTAGTTATCAAGAGTAAATATGGGTTACATATCAATGGATAAGACGCTAATGGGGTTGGGGAGGGGAGTTTTCGATCTCCATGGAAATTAATTTCTTGGGGATTGACAACGTTTTTCCAAGATGTTAAGTTTGTGGTGGGTAATGGGGACATAATACGATTTTGGGAGGATGTATGGGTGGGAGAGTGTTCTCTTTCATATTTTTTCCTCGTCTCTATCATTTATCTCACTTTAATGGTTCTTCCATTGAGTCTATGCTTCAATCTTTTGGATATTTGTATTTTTTGGACTTTGGTTTTCGAATTTAGATGATAAAGGCACCATTGATTTGATTTCGGTTTTTGATATTCTTAATAATGTTTTCGTGAATCATGACTCTCATGATACAAGAAGATAGATGCTTGATCGGGATTATTTTCATGTATATCATTCTTTATTGGATGAAAATACTTTTCTTTTTACCATTCTTGATTTGATGATTTGGAAGGGTAAAGTCCCTATTAAAGTATTGTGCATGGTAAGATTAACACTAACATGCTTCCAAAAAGGAGGTCTTATTTTTGTCTTTTTCCTCAGTGGTATGTAATGTATAAAGGTGATTTCGAGATTATTAATCATCTATTTTTACATTGCCATGTTGCCTTGACTTTGTGGTATCATCTGTTTCAAGTGGTGGGTTTGAGTTGGGTGATTACGGCAATGTCAAATTCGTTGTTTGTTGATGATGTGAAAGGTTTGGGAAGATTTGATAAAGGTGTTACTTTTGGAATTGTGTTATCATCGCGACATTTTTGGGTTGTTTGGAAAGAACGGAATGCAAGAATTTTTTAAGATCGGAGTGAGTGCATGAATGGACTATGGAACTGTATTCATTTCTTAGCATCTTTTTGAGCTTCAATTTCAATGGAGCTCAAAGGAATGCCGGTAGCAAGTTGGGTAGAGAGTTTTTATCTTTGTTTTTTGTTTGTTCTTAGTTGGATTTCTCATCCAACCTCTTTTTATGTACTTTATCTTCAATTTATTAATACAAGAGTTATGTTTCCTATATAAAAAATAATTAGTTAATCATCATGGGGGGGTATCTGGTGAGCTTATGAGAGCTACAGATTTTAGCCTCATCTATCAAGAAAAGGAAAAAAAAAGTGATTTATTGTGTGGAATGGATTCAGTAGCTTCCAATGTTCACTCAGATCTAGTCATGGAAGCATTTTAAACTGTGGAAGACGCACCATAAAACACGTCCTATTTAAATCCTGCTCATTTTTTTTCTCAAGATATATCTTGGGATTGCTAAACTCATCTTCATATAAAAAAACCAGTGCTAAGCAAAGCTGTGTCAGGAGTATGAAGTTTTGACATGAAATGGGTTTATTTACCTGTACAGTTTTCTCTGTCTAATGGATGTGCAACTCTATTTACACACCCCTCAATATGCATAAATCAACACAAAAACCAAAGATTAGTTTGTCTTTTAGATTATTCAAATTTTCCTTCTGAACATTCTAAGGATGAGCCTTTAAATTTTTATTGCTGCTAGTCCATGGTGGTGGGAATTCCTTCGGATGTTTTGCACTTGGATGGCAGTTCTATGATTGAACTCGGCGGACCACTGTTGTCACACTTTAGTCCATGCTTTTGTATGTGTACATGAATTTGCTGTCTTTCCCAGGGTGGGATGTTGATTTCATTACATTAGGTGTGTGTTGTTGTTGTTGTCTCAGGTAATAACAAACTCCCATACCATGGGATCCATCATTCCAATTTTGGTAATCTCAAAGGAGTTCACTGGTATCTGAAATGCCATTGCTATATGTTGGTTAACTGCAAGATAAAACATGTGATCAATGCTATCTATTCTGTATATATATTTATGTTTCCTTCGACCACTACAAATTTAAGAACTATTTATATAACAGGCTGTCAGAGAACAGTTGGTGCAATTGATGTTTGAGACATTCAACATCTCAGGCTTTTATGCTTCAGAGCAAGCAGTCTTATCACTTTATGCAGTAGGTCGTATCTCGGGCTGCACTGTTGACATTGGTCATGGAAAGATAGGTATGTACACTCCATAGTGATCTTATTTTGTTGCTGTTAAGCTCATAAAGTTTCCTTTGGGCATTTTTTGTTGGCTGATTCCATATACTTGATTGACCATTTTGATGGTTAACTGTTGCAATATGATATATGACACTTTCATTGGATGGACTTGAGAAGGTCACTAATTGGTAGAACAGATGACTTTTCCTGTTTATGTAGTCAAGCAGTTGTCTCAGTCACAGGATCCATAGGTGAAGCATAGACCAAGGAGATCCATGGGCCACCTAGAATTTTTGAAACTCTGTGTTGCTTGTTCAAACTTAAGTGATTTCTATGTGAGTAATTAAGGAGTCCTTCCATCCCCGATGTATACAAATTTTGCTATAATTTTCTTTACCTACTTCATTGGCTCCTTGAGTATGACATCCTGGCTGGGTCCTCGTCAACTTGGAGTGATGTTATCACACTTTCCTCAAGTCACAGAAAGCAAAGAATTTTTTCCTCCAATCAATTTTTTCCTCCAATCAATTTTTTCTTTCCTTTGTTCTGCTGAAATTATAAAGAATCATAAATAACTAAAGGAAAATAGGCACTGGATTTAATTGGAGATCAAAATCGTGTTTGTCTATTCTCTATTGTATCTTTGATTTTTAACAAATCTAAAATTGTTTGGTGAAGGATATATTGGCGTGGCCTACAAAGCCTAAAAAGGAAACTGTAAAACGAATTAGTATTGTTGCAAGGTGTTGAGATATAAACAGAAGATACCTCTGTGGTGAGCTACTGTCCATGGCTTCAGTTGAAACCAAAGTTATCTTTGTTGCCTTATACTATTCTGCCTAAAGGGTGGAATATGTGTCGGCTGTAGTGTTACTTTGGCATTCGATCTAAGTGTGATATCTGTCTATATTTTCCCTAAAAGAGTAGAAAACTGGTACAGGCCTTCCATTTGAATATGTTTCCTATCGAATCAATTGTTAAGTTGCCCCCCCTTTGTATTAATAGACTTACAAGAACCTATACCTGATGCTCGAAGCAAACCCTTGTTGAAAAATCATTCTAGGATATTCAAATTAGTTGAAGGGTGTTCTTTTTTTATGGCTGCATTTGTAAAAATGGATTTCATGCAAACAAATACATAATAGTGAAGGGCTTTATAGGCCATACAACTTGTTGAAAGTTTTAGCTGAATCAAGTTATCCTAATTTTGCTATAGGGGTAGTGCATAGTTGATTAGTTTAAAAGGTGAATCTCTTGACCATTAGTCAGGATTCACATATCTGCTTGGAGAATTAGTGTTGGGGCATGATCTTTAAGTTAATTCACAAGGCTGTATTTCAAAATACATTGCTTCAAGTTTATCCGTGAGATTTAAGTTCACGTCCGAGCCTCCTGCATCTATCCAAAGTATGGCATTTATTGCTCCAACTGTAGTTTTTGAATTTTGGACAGATGGCCTACAGTTGTAATGTTTCCTCTGATATGAAATGTTCTCTTTGTCACATTCGCACAACATAATTTCTATGTAAATGATCATTTGGATTAATGACGTGTGTTTGGTAAAAGTTTCTTCTGCATTGTGAGGTTGTTAGGGTATTTGGTCCAGTTTGTTTCCTTTTTCTGGTATGTTTAGTGTTATTCTACAATTATGTGGAGGCCTTGTTTGGCTGCCAGAGTGGAATAGAGCAAGGAGAAGTGCTATCAGTCTGTGGGTGGCTGTTCCTCTTTAATACATTGGACATTGGAGAAATGGGAACTGTAGGTCTTTTTGGTTGGGAGGAGCTCTCTAATCCATGAAGATATTACCTTAACCTTTTCGTTCAGCGAGTTGTAGACATGCATATTGAAACTTTGGTTGAGTTCTTGGCTGTTTTTTCCCCTTTAAGCCTTTTTGGACCTTTTGTATGTATCTTATGTGTACTTTTCTTGTATACATCGTGTGTGCATGGGTTGCACCCTGTCTTCAAGCCTTTTTTCAACAAATCTTTGGTTATCCAAAAAAAGGTATTCGGTTGAAGGTTTTTACTGTATAAATTGCATCTAAAATCTCAGTGGACAAGAGTTTCTCTTTAGTAAATAGGCAATTGAATAGTTTTCTGGTAAATACAATTCCAGCTTGGGTGGCTTTTTTGATATGTGAATCTTCTTGGCTCTTTATCAGATATTGCACCAGTAATTGAAGGTGCTGTTCAACACATAGCGTCAAGAAGATTTGAAGTGGGAGGGCGTTGATTTGACAAAGTTGCTTGCACAAGAGCTTGGTAAATCCAATCCATTGGTGAAGCTCAATATATCTGACGTCGAGAAAATAAAAGAGCAATATGCATGTTGTGCTGAGGACGATCTTGCTTATGAGAAGACTGGGAAATCATGTCAGTTAGAGCAACATACTCTACCTGATGGACAGGTTTGCATTTTGATTTTTCAACTTGATAATACACCAGGGTTTGCAATTAGTGTGGTTAAGCTGATCAAGTTCTGGATTTTCTTTTTTGGTTTTGAGTATTATACATCACTTGATTGCTTAATTTAGTGCAAAAATGTAAGGGTTAACAACCACAAGGTTGTGGCATGCGGGTTTGAATTTGAGGACTATCACTTTATGCAAATAAGTCAAATGTTAGGTCTGCAATGAGGCCATCCTTAGCATCCTCGTCTAGTAAAGATCAAACTTTCTCTTCCTCTCCTCACTGCATTCATTATTTAAGCTTTAGATCTATGCTATTTCCATCCCCCAATGCTAGCCTTTTCTTTTTTTCATTTTTTGTTGTTAATTTCCGATCGAGTATCCCAAAATCTTGAATCAAGTATTTTATTTGGTTCACAAATCCTCCTCGTTCATTATGCCTTATCTAGATCCTTTCCTTTGTTTCATAGGGTTTATGTTTTTTCTTGTATCTTCTACTTGCATTCTTTCGCACTGTCCTAAATTCTTTATTCAGACCTTGTACAAAATCTTTTAAATTGGTAGTCATATACGTAGTTTGCACTTTTTTTTTATAGGAAACAAACTTTTAGTGATAGATAAAATGAAGTTTCACATTATCCGAGCAAAGGTGGGCTAGTCATCCAGCCCTACACCATACAAAGTCAAAAGACAGCAGAAAAACATTAACCAAACAGTGAAAGACAAACGCCAAGCCACAGGCCATCATCTAAAAACTCGCACTATCTTCCACACGAGGTTGGCCAACTTGACGTGGTACAAAAAAGAGAACATCCTCAATTTCCTTTGGCACTGAAGCCCAAATGAAGCTAGGAAATAGATCCAATCCCACATCACTTCTTCCAATACTTACTTTCTATTCAAGTATTCTTGGATTCCTCTCCAGCCAAATAACCCAAACAATTGCTACGTAGTTTGCAGTTATTCCTTTATTGAGTCCCAGTATGTTAGACATGCCTTTTGTTCTTACTTCGTAAATAAAATTCCGTAAAACTTGATGATTCGTTAAATTAGAGTTTCAACTGATGTCGGGACAAAAGATGTTCTTATGCAATTGATGATCGTTCCCAAGGCAGCGCCTATAAACGCTATATTGACGTTACCCAAGGAAAAATTGTACGACTGTCCATGATTCAATTTTCAAGACCCAATGGTTCAGAAAATGAATTTTCCATGGATTCTCTCTCTCTCCCCCCCCCCCCCCCACCCCCCCAAAAAAAAAAACACACACACATACATTTTTTGGGTTTTTAGTTTGATTTTCCCGGATTTATTGTGATTTTCTGCAGCGGGTGTACACATGTGAGCGTAACTTTCTATTGATGGTTTCAGGTGATCACAATTGGAAGAGAAAGATATACTATTGGAGAGGCCTTATTTGAACCGTCTATATTGGGTTTGGATACACATGGAATAGTTGAGCAGCTTGTTCGTAGTATCTCAACTGTGTCATCTGAGAATCACCGACAGCTGCTGGAAAACACTGTACTTTGTGGGGGCACCGTTTCCATGGCTGGTGAGCTTTTATCTTCTTTTATTTGAACTATATGAGATTCATAAGTATCATTCAGATTTCAGACTTCCACGTTGTTTTAGAACTAGTATCTTTTCTCTGAATAGACTTATCTTATGATTGTAGGTAGGTTTCGTGTTCTCTTTAGATTTGGTTTTCTCATAATTTTGTATTATCTGTTTTTGAGAAACCCAAATGGGCTTGTGAATATAAACGATAGTTTATGGAACTTGCTACTGAGCTTAAAGGGCAAGCATGAGTTCACAAGCAGTGCAATTAGATAGACATTTTTTTTTTTTGCATTATTAAGTCTCACCATAGTATAGACTACTTTCTGGACTCTCTAAATGCCAAGAAGCATAATAATCTAGTAGTAGGGTGCACTTGGACCATCTTACTTGAAGAAACCTTCGAATCTGAAAGAAATATAAAAATCAAGCACATTTTTTCATGCTTCTACTATATCATTTACATGCTGGATGTGGTTGTGATCCAGAGACTCCAAACCATATTGCTTGTGCTTCAATTAGCAGGGCGCTCGTTGAAAATATGTTTTTTGCACCAAGGTGCTACTACCTTTTTTTTCACCCTTCGACCCATGCCTACGTGCTGTTTAGAAGCTACTGTTTGCATACCTAGCTTCTAGTGCTCATGTCATACCCATCTAGTCTTCTATATGCTCTTTTATTTTGGTAAATCATGTTTAAACTTGTTGAGCAATTTGACAGTCTTCTCTTCAGCATGTCAGGAAAGGTAAATTTGACTTCTCAGACCTTACTACAAAATATCATGTTACCCCCACCCCCACTGCGAAAAACACCAATGGTTTAGTTATAATTTTGTGTCTGGGTAATGATCTTGCTTGAGCAGTATCAATCTTCTGATAGCTGCAGGTGAAAGCTAAACATGATACATTAACTTCACTGAGTCATTAATCAACCTTGTGAAATTAAGTTGAACTCAACTGCTTCTGGGAACTCGTGTTTAGGTAGTCATCTTTCAAGGCAGCAAACTAACCTCAAGTTAGAAGCTGTACTTGCTGGAAGTCATACATATGTTAGGGTTGATCAGTTTGACTTATCAGTCTCTTGAGTAATATTATCGGGACATAGTAAACAGACATAATGATGCGTCTGGCGACTTGATCCAATAAAGAATTCCATCAGTTGTAGTTACAAAAATAATATTACACCATGTCATGAGACACATTGTTTTGTTAGGGAATTATGTCTCAATAACCATTATTCTTTTTTCTGAACTGTTACCTTTGTGTTTCCTTGCTTTTTTTTGACTTGAAAAGCGATGAGATGGGATCATATTCACTGTGGGTAAAACATGTGGAAATATTTTTATACGGTAGATATTGTTATTTCTGAAAATTATGGAAATATTGGAAGATGCTTATATATGAATGTCCTGATCTGCTGAGTCTGGGAACTAGATGGTCTTTAATGACGAACACTGTGAGTTTTAGTAATATAGCACTTGAGCATTGTTAGAGCATCCAACCCAAAACCAATTGACAATGGGTGAAGTAGTCCTTCTAATATATAAACCACCCTTAAGTATATCTAATGTCTCGATGTAGGATCTCTCTTCACACCCTCCCTCACATCCCACTCGGGTTGCACATGGGCTAACAAACCAAACTGAAACGAACCAAACTGGAATAGGCAGACAAACAGCTTGGAGCTGAATTGAAACAAACGGACAAAGAGAGCGAGGAATTAAACTGGGTGATAGACTTGGACCACCAATGACCCAAGCCTAGCTCTGATACCATGTTAGAGCAGTCAACCCAAAATTGATTGGCAATTGGTGGAGTAGCGGTTCAAGTATATAAATCAACATTGCGTGTATCTAATGTTTCGAAGTGGTATAACTCTCTAGTCTCTTCACAATCATAATCTCTCATTTTTGTATCTTTCCAGGGACCATTGTCGTGTTGTCCTGTGCTTCCCAATATTTTAAATATTATTGAGAAAAGATGCACGTCTGATATTCTGATGTTATTATGTTTCAAAGGCATTCCAATGCCTTGTGCTACACATTTTGGGAGGTATCCCTGTATTATCCAAGGAGAAGAGACTATGCCTAGTCATGTATTACTCCTATTTAGATGGGCTTCTTTTGTTGCTTTATTAGCAGCCACTGTGCTATATATCCATTCCTTGATATGCATCAATTTTTTTGTTTTTTTATCTGGCGCCAGACCCCCAAAAAGGCATAAATTAGTTGGCAGTTGTTGCCTATAAGCAACCATCCTTCACCTATTCCATGCCAAAGGCAAGCTATTAATCACAATACTGGCTGCAATGATATGTAAGTATAGTGGATGTAAGCGCCCGGTATCATACCAAGTTCCTGATTTGAAGTTTTTAGACAATATAATGAATGTGTCTTGATAAACTTGGATGGTGATTTTTGTTTGTGCTACTGATTGCATCTTGGAGAGAAATAAGCTGATGATTAGATATGTTTTGTTGATAGCTTTGCTTATCTAAATTACTAAAGAACCCATTTACCTTATCCTATTGGCGCCCACCACAGGTTTTGAAGAAAGATTCCAGAAAGAAGCCAGCCTCTGCTCATCACCTATTTGTCCTTCTCTAGTTAAGGTATGTATTCTCATCATCACCTGGTTTAACTTGGTTTATAGCTTCCTTTTAGGAGGCCAAATGTTTGTTGGTTTTTATGTCTTAATAAAGGTTCCAGTTCTGCCAAGTATTTGTTATAGACTTTTTGATAAACTAGAACAACTTCTTACTCTTCAACATCTGAATTCTTAAACTGGAACTTACCTGAAAAGTTGATTTGGAAATATTTTTATAAAACTCGTTCTTTTATAGAGTTCCCCCGTACAATAAGTTTATTGTCAGAGATATCTAGATATATAATGGAAACAGCGATCTTTTTATTTGTGTTGTTTCAAACTGGTTTCTAGTTAATATGACATAGGCAGGTAGTCCATCAATATTGTAACTGTTCAAATATGTTGTTTTGTGAGGTGGCATGCTAACTTCCAACAAAATAAACACCATCAAGAGCAATTGTAATGTAGTTCCTATGATTTTTATTTCACCAGTGGAATCATGTAAATTAGTGTTAAACTTACGTGTTTGAGTTGGTTGAGAAGTTCTCTCTGTCTGTATATTTAAAATATTTCATATCCTAAAATACCAATATTTCTCTTTGTTCTTTACAGCCTCCAGAATACATGCCAGAGAACTTGACAATGTATTCAGCATGGGTGGGAGGAGCCATACTTGCCAAAGTTGTGTTCCCTCAAAATCAACACATAACCAAGGCAGATTACGATGAAACTGGACCTTCTGTTGTGCATCGGAAATGCTTCTGAAAATTTGTCTTAGTGAGTTCTTAGACACCAGTTTGGATTTATAATTTCTACTTGTATTATAGATAATGGTTAGTTTGGAAAGAGGGGCAACTCAATCAGCATCATGACACGGGGAAGAAAAAATTGATTAATTTATGATCTCCATTGTTGTTGTTTATCCCTGTCTCTTAGGTCCTAGACAACCTTTTGTACACTGCACACAGCTTCTATTAATGGTTTATCAAAGAAGATTTTCCTTGTACATGCGCCCCCATGCGCCCTTTCTGTTTGTTTAGAAGAATTTTCGATGTTCAAATTACTTGTAGGATACTCAATTTACTGTGTTTCTTTGTGGTAAAAAGTTCTCATCATTTTGGTCTCAGAACTTTATTAGTGACTTAATTACCAAGCAAATCTGTGGAGATTGTCACTGTTAGTCAACTGCATACTCGTCGTGCTGTTACACCTTCTCCTTTGATCGCAAGTAGGTGAACCCTTTCATTTTTCGTTGTCCTGCCCCGTTTGTTTTTTCTTTCTTGGATCGATGAGGAGGATTTCGTTGTCTAAGACTTGGGGGCGTCCTTTCTCTGTGTACTTGATAAGGACTTCCCCAAGAGTTCTAACACTCCCTTTTGGATTGTTGGCAGAAAGAAATGCTTTCAGTAGACATGCTTATAGTTTTATTTTTTTATGCATGAGGTTGTTGAAACAGGGGGTAGTTTCTAACTTAGGATAGGTGAAGTTCAATTTAGTGAGTTTGATGCTTAGGTACTTGCACCCATTTCCTTTGCCATTTCCATGTACTGCTTAGTAGTCCAGCTGACAAGTTAATGTAAGTCCCTTGTGAACTTCATAATTTCAAAAATGGTGTGACACAGCAATACTTTTTTTTTGTTTTTGTTTTTGTTTTTGTTTTTGTTTTTGTTTTTATATTTTTGTTTGTTTTTTCATTGATTGGAGCGTACCCATCCACATACCTCAACGAATTTGCGTTTCAGATTGCAAATTCGTGAATTCAGAGTGGATTCAGCATAAATTCACGTATTCAAAAAATACTTTATTAAAATCGCTGTCTAATTATTAAAAAAATTCACCCCAAAGAGTAGTGAAAAAATTATTTATATTTTTATAGCTAATTAAAAGATTCCTTGCACCTGAGCTAATGTATTGCTCCAGTTGATCCCATTGCATACTTGTCAAGGGTATCACAGCTGAAAACTAAGAAGTCAATCAATTAGGAGAAGATTACGGTACCGAGAAAAATGTTTTGTACTATAAAATTTTAAAAAAATTATGAGTAAAGATATACATTTTTAGGTTTGTTTACGAGAAAAAAAAAAATATATATATATATAATAAAATATAAAATAATTCAAATTTCAAAAGATAAACAAAAATGACTTTTACTTTTCGCAATTGAGATCTCTTTAAATTTTATTTTAAAATTACTCCGATGGTTAATAATACTCCAAATTTAATGGGAAAAATAAGTCTATAAAAATATGTTTGAGGTAACTTTTTAAAAGTATTTCTAAGATTTATAACTTTTCATAAATATTTTAAAAAAAAATAGTATTTGAAAATGTCCCACCACCATCTCCACTGCCGCCCCGACACTATTACCACCACCACCACCACCTTAACTTCAACAACCACCACCACTATCATCATCACCGCTGTCGCTACCCTACCACCACCATTATGCCAAATCCCACCACAGTTGTCACCCCACCACCACCTCTTCTACAACAATCATCACCACCATCGTCTTTGCCACCACCACCCCTCGCTCTAACTATAATTAGTGTTTAAATTTCTTTCTCTTTACTTTATTTTGTAATTTGATTTTGGGTGTAAATATAAATATATTTATTATTGGCCATTTTTTTTATTACTTCGTGCCTTTAAACATAGTAAATTATTATATATATATTCAATTTTTGGAGTTATTTTATGATTTTTATGGTTCAAATTACAATTTTTTGCATTATTGTACCCAAAATTATAAATGGGCCATAAAATTTGTAAATGACCCTCAACAATTATAAATGATTATTAAAAGTTGTAAATGATCTCAAAAATTTATAAAACGAACCCACAAAATTTATAATTAACAATACGGTACCAATTATTTTTTCAAATACCATTGACTTTGCAGATTGAAAATAGGACTGTGGAGGTAGCACGAGGATTCAAAAAGTCAACTCAAATGAATGTTGAGAGCAAAAAACTCAACGAAATGTTGCAATAATTAAGGCTACTTCTTTTAGGATTTGACCAGCGTACCTGACAAAAAAAAAGTCGGTGCCGCACCTCTAAAATTTAATATCTTAGAGCGTATTTTTATAATAATTTATAATTTTTGTGGATATTTTTATCACTGTTGTAAGTATTTTTATTACATTTGTGGTAATTATTTTTATCATTTTTCTTCTATTCAAAATATTTTTTTGGGTATTTTACCACATTTGTAAATATTTTTATTACATTTATAGATATTTTTACCACTATTGTGGTAACTATTTTTACCATTATTTTGGGTATAACAACAATGGTAAAAATACCCACAAATATAATAAAAATAATCATAAATATGATAAATAGAGGTATGATGCCGAATTTTTTTTTTCGATACTGTAGTCAACTCGTTTATTTTATTAAGAAAATCAAGAAACGTTAACAGGAGGTTTAACTTAATTTTTTTTGTCAAAACTCTCACATTTATAAAAAGAAAAAAGACTAAAAATTTTAAAAAAAAAGAAGAGAATATATCAAACCTCTTTTGACATGTTTGTTTGGTCGGTAAAATAAAAACAAAAAAAAAACATTGAGTTTATAATTATAATGGATTCTGATTAGATTTGAATTTCTTCGATTTTAAATATTCTCAATTTTAGACAAATTTAATTATTCCTTTTAAAAATTGATCAGGTATCACTAAATGTTGGTGAGATCAATCCATACAAAACATTACTTAAATTGACAGAATTTAAAATTGTAAGATGGATATGATTCGAATCCTATTTCTATAACACCCAAAAAGAAAAAAAAAACCCTTTCTTTCTTTCATATTTATTGTTCTCACATGTATAAAATTTGGATAAATTTAATCTGTCTATAATAAATTACCGCCACTGTTGCCGCCTCCACCACTATCACCACCATTACCACCACCACCACTATCATTGCCGTCGCCGCCACTACCACCGCCCTTGCCACTGCCATCGCCGTCGCCACCCCCACTGTCACCACCGCCGCTACCACCGTCACCACCACTACCACTACCATCGCCGTTGTCACCCCACTACAAACCGATAATTAAATTCTTTTATTTCTTCTCTATGTTTATGATTTAATTTTAAATATGAATACAAATATGTTTATTATTTATTATTTTTTATTATTTTGTGCCTTCAGGCAGAGACAATAACTACTCTATATAATAAAGTAACTTACAATTCAAATTTCAAAAGATAAACAAAATGACTTTTGTTATTCGCGATTCAGATTGCTTTAAATTTTACTGTATAGTTAATCTAATGGCTAATATTAACACCCTAAATTTAATAGAAAAAATAGGCTTTTAAGGGTGTGTTTGGAGTGACTTTTTAAAATTACTTATAAAAATTATTTTTCATAAATATTTTTTTTAAAAAAAATAGTGTTTGAAACCGTCTCACTACTATCTCTACCACCGCCGCCGCCACTACTGTCGCCGTCACCACCACCGCCCCCACCACCAACGCCATCACCGTCGCCCTAGTCTCCACTACCGCCACTACAGTCATTGCCAGCTACTACAACCATCACCGCCTCCTACCACCATCACCTCTCACCCCCACTATAAATTGATGCTTAAATTATTTTATCTTTTTTCTATGTTTGTGATTTGATTTTAGATAAAAATTCAAATATGTTTATTATTTACCATTTTTTATTACTATGTGCCTTCAGACATACACAATAACTAGTCTATGTAATAAAGTACAATACAATTCAAATTTCAAAAATAAACAAGATGATTTTTACTTTTTGCGATTGAAATCTCTTTAAATTTTATTTTAAAGTTCATCCGACGGTTAATATTAACACCTCAAATTTAATAAAAAAAATAAGTCCCTAAAGGTGTATTTGGAATGACTTTTTAAAAATATTTCTACAATTTATAACTTCTCATAATTATTTTAAAAAAATAAAATTTAGTGTTTAAAACTGCTCTACCACTACTACTACCACAACCACTACCATCTTCACCGGCCCACCACTATGACCACTGTCGTCACCTCACTACTACCTCTACCACAACAACCACTACCACCACCACCACACCCATCACCCCAACATCGCCATTATCACTATAACCACCACCACTACCACCGTTGTCCCCACCACCATCACCGCCATTACCACCGCCCTGCTACCACCATCCCCATTACCACCGCTACCCTACACTCACCCACCCCTATTACCACCACAATCGTCATTACCCCACCACCACTGTCACTGTCACCTACCATCGATTGTTATCACCGTCGTCTATTACTATTATCATTGTCATCTCATTCTTATATATATTACCACTACCATCATCATCGTCATCCACCGTCTGCACCCACAACCTACCACCACCCGTCGTCACCCCACCATCGTCGCTAGCCCCTGTCACCCACCCCCACCAGCTGGCACTGCCGTCATCCACCCTTACCACACCTGCCACCACCACCCCCATCGTCATTTATTACCATCCATCACACTGTCCCCCAGTAAGCACCCATCGTCACCCACCACCACCATCGTCACTATCCACCACTACCGTTGTCACCCCATCACCGCGACTATCAACCACCATCATCGTCGTCCACCAACACCACCATAATAACTAGTATACTTAAAAATTTTAAGCATGTTTTACCTAATATCATATTATAGTTATAAGATCAAACAATTAAAAGTAAGATCAAATGATTAAAAAGGATCTTATTGCTATCTCGTAAATGCTTAAAAACAAGATCAAAAGATGTGGCGTTGCCGAGAGAGTAATGTTAATGTGATAGCTGACGAAGCGAGGTTTCATTTTAATTTTTGATTTTGAGATCAAAATTTTGAAACTTATTCTTAATTACTTTGGTTTAAAAAAAGACAACTTTTTAAAATCTGATTTGATGTTCATTTTCTTGCTTAGCCAATGATTCAAAAACCAGTAATTGTAGCCAAGATATATGCCTATGAGAAAGTATTCAATATAATTGTTATATCACGTTATCAGTGACACGGGATATCATTCAAGTAATAACTATATATAATATGTGTGTGTTATAGATCACATTATTTAGTAACTTACAATAATTACCATGTTGCATAACTAACAATTCAACATTGTAGCGTTTTCTACATGTTATGTTATTATTGAATGATAATATCACGTAATCATCGCTAGCGTGTATCACTGTTAAATTGAATATATACGAGAATAAAGATATTATTTGGACCTCATAACCATTAACTTAATAGTGAGTTTCATCTTAAGTTTATAATTAATTGAATTAAATCATTAATTAGATTTCATGGTGCATTGCTCTTACTATAAATATAGGGCTTCAAAAACAGTCTGAAGTAGTTTCACTCTCTCAACAGAATCAGAGATACAAGCCTACCTCTAAGGCTTTCCACAATTTCATATTCTCTCTATCCCCCTCTCTCCAAGTAAACCCTAACAACCTAAACCAAAGTCAAACTCTTCCATTACGTAAAACCAGAAATGTAGACTTCTCCCATTTTTTGAAAAAAAAAAAAAACTCCAATCTCTACGTGCACCCCACCACTCTCACTCTTCATATACCACTCCTGAAACTTTGTCATCCTCTGAAACCCTAGCCAAAGGCAAGTCTAGATCATGATTCTCTGCCTCGGCCTATCCCATAGTCTGAAAGTTTTTTCAAATGTGAGACTTTGCTAAACATGAGATTTGATCCATCTCGGTTTATCCCGACAATGAAATCTGTGTTAAACACTAGACTTGATCATTCTCTCAGTTTATCTCAATTCTCTATACTCTCATTAGCTTTGTGACTTTGTCAGACTTGATCACCCTCGGACCTATCCCGATACTCTGAAAGAGCTTTACCAAAGCCATAACAATGGCGGCACCAAAACCTTCATCATTTCCTCCTCCTTCACCGGCGTCTCCTCTTCACCATGCAGTGATGATAGAAACACCAGAACAGTCACCTGCTCGCCCCAAAATCTCACTTGAACAGCCAAACAAAAAGGGTCCATCAAAATCAGCACAACTTTTCCGGCGAGTCCGGTCACTTTTCCGATCATTTCCGATCATCATCATAAACCCTCCTTGTAGAATGCCAGCTTCACTCCGGCCACTTGACTGCCACATCCACGCCGGAACACGTATGACTGGAACGCTCTTCGGCCACCGGAAATCTAGGGTTAATCTCTCCATCCAAGAAAACCCTAGGTGCCTCCCCATGGTTGTTCTCGAGCTCTCTATTAACACCGAGAAGCTTCTGCAAGATATGGGGATGGGACTGCTCAGAATTGCACTGGAGTGCGAGAAAGTTCCGTCTGAGAAGACGAAGTTGATGGAAGAACCGGTGTGGATTATGTACTGTAATGGGCGGAAAGTGGGGTATGCGGTGAAGAGAGAGCCGACGGAGGATGATCTGAACGCCATGGAAATGCTTCGTGCGGTGTCGATGGGCGCCGGAGTGCTGCCGGGAGAATCACCGGAGGGAGAGCTGACGTACATGCGAGCGTACTTTGAGAGAGTGATTGGATCGAAGGACTCGGAGACTTACTATATGATGAGTCCGGATGGGAACAGTGGGCCTGAACTCAGCATCTTCTTTGTTAGGATTTGATTTTTGGAATTTTTTGTATAATATTTTTATTTTTTATATTCAACAAAAATGTGAAATGTATAAAAAAATATATTTTACTGTTTTTCTATGGTTACAAACCATACTATCCAAAAATTAATGACTGCAGACACGAGTGTCACATTTTACCGGATGACACTAACTCGTCGTGAATAATTCGATACGGATGATTATAAAATTAAGATAATTATTAAATATATATAATAAGTAATTTAAATTAATATTTAATATTCAAAACACACTAATAAATTTTTTTTTTCGTTTATCTTGACACAAACACGACACGAATAACAATGACATAAAACGAATAACACAACATGTAGGTCACAAATACGACACCATTGACACCCCTAATTGAAGATGAATTTTAAACTTATTTATCAGTATAAAACAATTTTGTAACAATATTATCAATTTGTAGCAATTTTGTAACAACATTATGTGTTAGATTAAATTATTTTGATTCGGTAGTTTGAATAATTTTATTGTGATTGATTAAGTAATTCCTTCTTATACACAGTTAGTTTGATAAAATAGTCATAATTTACGTTTGTTTCGATTGTTTGTTAAATTTTAATTATATATCATTGAGCTAAATTTTTTTAATTCAAATTTTTTTGTTAGGTGATTAGGACTTATAGATAAACTAGTATTTGTCTGTGTCTGAAGGCACTGCGTTACTTGTAAAAAATCAACAAAAAATTTTCCAAAACAACAACACATATACAAAACATAGTTTCTCCACTATTGCCAAACCTGTGTTTTGTACATATATACAATAGAACGTACCCTCATTTTTTCTATATTTGTCATATAACATATTAATGTAAGATTAAACTTTGATATAAAAACTAATATTTTCACATGCGAACTAATTTGGAGGTCCATTACTCCGGCCTGCACCAAAGGACACTATAGGCTAATGGAAGTTTGCTAGAATTTAAATGGGTCTGGCTTTGAACTACCAAGTTATGGACAATATCACGTTGGAGTTCACAAAATCTTAAGACAAACACATGGGAACTAATATAAGAAATATGCTCCTTGTCAAAGGTAAATCTCGTATTTAGAAAAATAACAATAGAATAAGACTTAGATGCTTAATCAAAAGGCATAGAATTGTACAAATGCATAAACAGTCATGGGCTTATACTCGTTCCAGTTCATATCTAAAATCTTTGGCCCTCTGAAATAATGTGTCAGTGTGATGCAGTGCCAGTGTGATGCAATGGGTGTGCTTGTGTGAGCAAGGAATGAGATCAGCCACTTAAAAGAATTTTTGTATAACATATGCAGTGGGTGTACAAATGCTTTGTCGGCTGGTGAGAAGTGAATTTCTAATTCAAATTGACTTTCTTTTGTTACATTGACTGCCTCATTTGGTACCACCGCCCCTTGAAGCATAATTATGGTAGTCAATTTCTTCTTAGTTGATTAGGATTTAGTAGAGATTAGTTTAGTAGTATATCTTTTTTATTTTTTTTCAGTTAGTATCAGGAAGAAGAATTTGTTTCTTTCAGATTTTTGGCTATAATAAATTAATTTCTTTCCTTTGTTTTGCTAAATGATTCAATTTGTGTGGGTGTTTCTCTTTCTCAGTTTGATTGGAATTGTTTATTTGCAGTTAAAAGATTAATGGTTCATTGAGGTAGTTTTCCAACAACAGGGTATTTGATCTTGACACGGATAAAAGATTGAAGCATTCAGCACTAAAATAGAAGTTGAAAATCCTTTAATCCATCAAGATTTATCACCTGAGCTAAGAGTAACAGGATAATTATGTTAAAAGTGATAAACTCAACCATCTTTGTGTTTGCATATTCATTCGATTCTTTCTTATGTTTCAAGTGGGACTCTCTAGTTTTAGTGTCTGAGGATCCTCCAATTCTCTTTCGAATGGTTCAGATTATAACTAATTTAAAGAGCATCCTGAATTTCTTGAAGCTAAAGTGTATTGTAGGTTCCTCCAGTTCCAGTTTTCTACATGATGTTGTGTATAAGAATGCTGATTACATAAGAAGGTAAATATTAGGTATCAACTAAATTACTGGATCATAACTATGGTTATTCCCTATAGAATCCCATCAGCTCAAATACAAACGACTATAAACATAGTTTCAGGTTCTTCTCTTTGGCATTATGTCAATCACCTAGTATGCATTACCGGGTGGTCCCAATGAAGCCCGAATCATATTGTACAGTTGAAAATGAAGAGACAGAGGAATACACAAACAGACATAAACCCATCACAAAATATATTTCAATATATCTCACTAAAAAATTTAAAACGGAGAGGAATGAAAACCAAAAGCAATATAGGAAAATATGTACCTGGGCAGCAAATTTACAACGGAGAGGAATGAAAACCAAAATCAATACAGGAAAATAAAAAAAAAAGAAAATAATGATCAAATTGGCTAAAATTGGAAATGGCATGAAATGAAGTGATAATCATAATTCTGGTATCCTACTTCACCCACAAATTGGTGATGTTTAGCTCAAGGTGATGTAGACCCCTTAAATTATGCATGGTCTAAATTGTTTTTCATATCCCAAATTGAATGATGCGGCTTGTAGAAGGGCGTTGATAAGTGTCATGTTTAGTGATACTGCCTTGTTTAATGATGCAACAAAACAACATTAGCACCAAACCCACCATTAGTACATCATTTGCTGCAATCTTGGAATGAAAATTAAATAGCTTCCTCTTAGTTTTAACCTTGAAAGTTTAATACCAAAACAAATTAAAAAATTTGAGGGACAGTAAAAATTGAGCACCTGCAAGGCTTGCAGTTTGGCAGACTGAATCAATCTATCTATCTATCCCCTCTCTGGTCTCACGATTTTGCGATGAAATTGCAGTAAACTTGATGAATTTGCGCCAAAGGAAGAGAATCCCATGGCTGCCATAAGAATAATTGCAAAAATCAAACAAAACACATCAAAAGAGAAACATAAATTCAAATCAAGGAATAGAAAAAATAACCTGTGAAAGAGAAAAAGGAAAAATGAAAAATATAACAAATAGATTGCAGAATTAGAATAGAGTACGCGAAGCCGGTGAATCTGGCTTTGTTTCAAAACACGTTGTTGGGTGTGTGTCATGAACAGAGAGAATAGAGGAAGCACTGTCGTTGAGTGGCGTCACCGATTGCCATGGAAAAAGGTGGCTGATAATAGCATTTAGGGAAGGGGGAGAAGATGAGGCAGCGCCGGTGAGAGAAGAAGAGAGGATAAGAGAGATGGGGGAAGATAGAGTCGAGTGTGAGAGTGGGGTTAGAGAGATGACAGTGAGAGAGGCGAGAGTTTAGGGAGAGATTGGGGGAGGAAAGAGAAAGAGCGTGAGAGAGATCATCTGTTTTGGGAGAGTGAGGCATGGATTTGGAAGATTTTTTTGGCATTATTAATGGCGTTTAAGATGGAAAGTTACTTGGGCGGGAAAACAAAATTGAATGGTCAATTTGATTCGTCGGATTAGTATTTTATAAGATGATTTGAACCGTTTTTTATGTTGGGATTATATTATCTGTTGAATGTATTTATGTTTTGTCTCAAAACGATTTAGACCTCTCTTTGTCTTTTGGATTCAAATTTCGTTTTATTTTACTATATAGATTTATAGTAAGTTTTTTTTTTGTTGACTCTTTTTGTATAATGCTCATGTATATGGGTTGTGATTTTAATTTGTGTTTTACTCGTGAAACTATGCTTTTGAAAATATTAGTAATTTTAATATTCATATAATTTAACAAAACAATTGTAAAATGGTATTGATCGTAAGTTGGGGTTGTCAAGTTAGATCTCTGTTAATATATCGTGAATTCATATGAGATTTATTATATATTAATTAGTTTCTTACGAAAGCATTGTAGTTGATTGGATCTAGATCCTCTCTATTACCCCTTCCTTTTAATTTCACTCAATACACAACTAGATAAGTGACACGTGTCTAAATTTAATCTAACGGTCTAGATTTGTACAAAGCAACCACACTGCTTAAACTATAGTTAATTGTACAGTTGGGGACATTTATTGAGATAACTAACTATACACGTTAAATTGCACTGTTTTTTTTTTTTAAAGAAAGAGAGAAATTTAATAGATTTAAACCAAACAATTACAACCAAGGCACCAGAAACCGATCGAGTGATTCCACATGATTCATGCAACATATTTCTTGGTTACATGATTCATGCAGCAGATTTAAGCCAAAGAATTACAAAAAATATCCATCACAATAGTACAACAACGTTAACTACATAACGTTTTATGATATAATATATGGCAAAATAATTTGTTATAAGCTGAAACAATATGGAGCTAACTGATAATTCACCCTTTTGTTCATCATGATTCATGCAACATATTCTTTGGTTCATCTTAATCAAGTTGTTCGGCATCAATTTTTTATATGCAGATAGATTTGTTTGGACAACCCTATTGACCATGAGGTGTTTGTCAAAGTCTTGAATGAAAGTTATAGATTGAAACCAAGTATTATAAGAAGCAAATTTTTACAAGAATCAAACATTGTAAAGCCTGAAATACACTCAAGGCTTTAATCCTTCAAAACTCCTCAAAAAATCTTATAGCACTTCCTAGGCTTCAAGATCCCTGCCCAGAAACAGGACATTGAGGAGGCAGTATACCACTGTGCAAGGTCATCCTCCCAGCAAATGGAGCATAAGGTTCAAAAACCCAATGAAGATCTTCAATCTTTAACCAGTCAACAATTTAAATAAAAAACTGCACAACCTATGGCCATCAGCTAAGCACAAAACAACCCAAATCATCCATAATCATAAAAAACAACCACATTTCTGGTTCCCAACACCGGCAAACACATATGATCTTGTATTATCTACAAAATAATAGTAGCAAACACCTGACTGGATCCAGAAAAATTAGAGGAAAAACCATTCTGCACTACCTGATTAGCCAAGGCATCAACAACAATATATAGTCCCTTTTTTTTTGCTAAT